TCACGAATACGCCTACCATGAAGCCAATGTTTCGACTCTCAATGCTATGATGATGCCGCGCCTGGTGTTGAGTATACTTTGGCAGAAAGCGGCTCAGCTCTAGCCGCCATTTTCGTGTCAGCAATGATTTCGACTAACGGCGAACTTTAGATCCCAACCTTACGCGGCTAGTAAACAAGCGTCAGCACAGGTCGGGCCAGTACGCACGAAGTATGACACGAACACTCTAACAGCATGTCGAATAGGGAGTAGATTGGCTTACGGTACTAATGCTTCACCATGTAATCTCTTGCGATGACGAGCATCAGTGTATCAAAGAATCGTGTCCCACAAGAGTATCAGCCAGATCGAGAAAGAAGAGCAGTTTCGGAAGGAAGACTCTTCTCATGACGAGCAAGTCAGTTCTCTGGCATAGTGTCATATTCCGTTCTTCCAGTCTTGATTTCAACAACGATTTGTTTGTCATCATCACCTGCAAATGACACAACCAAAGATGAAGAGATCTTGAAACAGATATTTCTGTATGATATATTTTAGAAACCGGCATACTACGGCTACTCTATAAGCGAGACGCAACAAGGATGATACTTGTTGACTAAAAAGAGCTGTTTATAGCAGTATGTCGAGCCGAATCCGCGTCTTCCTGTTTGCCACTCCTTGATCCAGTCCGTGTCATCGTCTCATGATGATGGGTATTTACAATGTAGAGGCCAGTTGCCCATAGATACAAACTCCGATTATGTTGATTACTTTCTTCTGTTGCATTTACTAAATCTACAAAAGCGTCGATGGGAAAGGTTGTGGAGCCATCGAAAAAGGGCCCTCGTCCTGAACGCCAGTACTATGTTCTCTCCACCAGAAATCGCCAAGCGTTACAAGATTCCGCAGCAAAAGTACCACAGTGACTTAACAATATATATGATTACCATTCATCTATATTCTTAACGCTCTTCCATCACTTCGCAAAACTTCCCGGTCTCCATCGACGCAGCATCGTATCCACAAAGCTCGGAGTTTATTTCGCGGGGAAATGCGATCCCTGCTAGACGATCTTCTTTGCGAGGCCTGCGCTTAATATAGCTCTATAATCATAACAGAAAAGGATATGGGGCCAGCTAAACTGCTAGAGCATGGGGTGGCGATGTTCCGGACGATGTCGGCCTTTCGAGCTCCCCGGACCAAGCATATTCGTTCAACCAAGGCGAGCCGGTCATCGCAAACCTCATTGACCATCCATTCAGGAGATTCTTCCTCCTATAATCTCACATTCTTTCGTCAGCTGTTGGAGATGCCATTCACAGACCTCCAGCCTCCTAGTCGGAAAGCCATGACCGAAATCCCGATCCAAAAAGATGAAGAGGTGGAAACCCTCCAGACGCTACTACCAAGCCACCACGCCACCAGCACTTGGTCAGGGCCAGAGCTAGGCTAAACGGCTTGGGGGTTGGCGGTGCAAGAAGGCGGCCAAATTTAGACAGGCAATTGGTTGTCTAAATTTACCCAAGGCCTCTCATGCGAAACACGCCGCGGATCCACGACGCAAGGCTCCGTGTCGAACGAACTGCGCTAATCGACGTAAGCATCCCAACGACATCGGGCTAGCATAGAACGTTGAACGGGGTACCCTTTTCTTAATATGGACCGTCTATGCGTCACGCGGAGAAGCTGTAAGATGGCAGTAGTGTGGAACATACCCCAAATAGACACAATGGACGGGGAGTGTGGTGTTACGTGGATCTACCAATTCACACCTTGGTAGGGGTGAAGTCTCTTGTCGGATCCCTGCACTTCCAATCATAGCGATATAAAGCAGGAGGTAGAGTATAATATCGAGGAGTGATTAGTAAGTGCTCTAAAGAATGGACGTGACCAGTGTCTTAGGAGAGATGATTCATACGCATCAAAACATGACACGAATCGCCTGAATGGGAGTACATCTGACATCTTCCTCTAATTTCTCTCGTAATAGTCGACTATCATCAGCTTGTAACGCAATCGCGTCACTGCTTTCTTTGTGAAAGGATACCCAATCGTTGGGTCACAATTCGATGATGGACTTGAAGCTCAAATCTGGACTTTCGGCACTTGGTGCAGGGTAGGATTGAGCCATATCAAACCAAGTCTAAAATGCCCCCCAGCAATGAGATGTTCTAAAAAGATGATGGATATCTAATGTCTCATTTATTGAGGACAAATATGGATGGAATATTTGTCCAGTCTGGCATTAAAAGTCAAATTATATACCGTGGCCCCATCACTTACGGTTGGCTTGATTCCGCTACTAGCCACTTTACCCGTGATGTCTCAATCCAGTTCATACGAGTAGGTAGGGAAAATAATAACAAGAAAAAAAAACATCAAAGAAATATCAATAATCAAATCTTAGCTAAAGTATTCCCAAAGTATTGTTTGCTTGCCATCTTGTGGGCTGATGAAGCGTCAATCGTTTGTACAGGCATCCCGTCACATGACTTGCCATAGCTGCTTGCCAACGTGCTGACCCATGATGATGATTTCTACTCAGCGAACATCAAGAGGGATCCTCTTAATCTTTCTGTGGCCACTTCAGGACCAATGGTCCAAGTCTTCAGATGTCTTTGGAAAGTCAAGTTCAACACGCGTTTCAGGCTAATGAGACCCCTCTTCCGCGTTTCACTTCAATCTTCTCTTCCTCTCGCTTTTCCTTCGTCCATCCGCTCCTCGACGACCGACTCGAACATTCCATTTCGTGACAAGGCGACTGATTCAAATCTCGACTAGGAAGAGCGTTTTGTGGTCATTTGGCGAGTGAGCGAGTTTTTCAGAGCTTCAAGTGTCCCTGGGTCGAAAACAAGAGGCCATGAGAAGAATTTTGGTCAAGGCCTGGTGCCATATTACCATACAGAGAGCAACAAAAGTTGGTTGAATGTACGCAAACAGCCCGTTTACCGCTCAGATGTCACTGCTAACAGATTAAGGGTATTGAAAATAGAATATTTCGGAATCCCAAAATTTGTACCGCCTTGTCCAACGTCAAATTTCCATCGACAATGTTAACAAACCTCGATTCCATTTCGAAAATGGACTCTAGAAGAAAATCAAGTCCAGAGTCTACGAGACATGCTTTTAGACCATTTGCTAAACGACAAGAACCTTTCTTTGCCGTGCGTAATACGGCATTGTTTCCGAGCCGGCCCGAGTTGCGAATGTTTCCACGTGCTTTGGCATCGCAGCCCCTACCGACGAGATTGAACGGACGTCAAAGTCCATCGCAAATTGTATCAAAGAAATTTGGAACAGAAAAAAGGGGGAATTTGGAAAAGAGGAGGATACAAAGACAAAGGAGTGTGATAGCAAGTGTTCTGGGTCTGTTCAGGAATACAAAGAAAATCTCGGCAGGCCTCACGAACAACCCATCGAGCCTGCGGCGACAGAAATAAAGCAAATGGACAATAAAACCAGCAATACGATAGAATTTGGATAGAAGATAAAAGAAAATCTCCAAGGTTTACAAGTCATTCCTTACTGCAAAACCTCTGCATCTCTCCATAATCAATGATCTGCGCGGCGAGGGGTACAAGGGGCAAAGAGAGTCAAGTTATCAAATTTGCTCTTCTGTTTCAATTCTAGTGCTCAAAATAGTTTATTATATATGGCATTTGTAGTGGTAATTGCGTTTAGTTGCCAAGGGCGTCGGTTCGTGTAGAATTTCTGAGTGTCCATGGGGGTATGCGCCTGGAGCGCCCCCCGTTACATTTCACCCACTGACTCACAGCCCCCTTCAAATTTACTGCAAGGAATGGCCTGCAAAAGAAAAACATGAATTAAAAATTGAATAATATTTTATTTTCTTGGTAATCATCATTGCGGCTGCACCAAGCTGCTCTGCGGGAGCAAAAGCCGACAGCTCGACCCCCGTGCCCCCTATTCCACCACGAGCGCCCCGTGCTGCACAATCGTACCGGAAAACAAGCACAACATTTGATCAACGAAAAAGCATTCACAGATTTCATAAATCAGTAAAAAAAAGAGACAGGACACTAAGTCTGCCGATTCTCTACCAGACGCTACAATTTCGAGAGTCAACACCAAAGACTGAGATGGCTACAAATTGCAAAAAAACGAGTCTCGATTCAACCGCGAGACAAAGCGAACAGGTAGGCACCGCGAATCGAACACCAGTCTTCCAGAAATGGACAAAAAGAAAGCAACGTAGAACTTTACCGTGAACTCTAGACGTCACGGTAAAGTCCTACGCTGAGAGGGACTGTGTTATTTTACCTTATAACCCCTTTCCCCTCCCTGGGCACTGCCAGGGTACCCATTACTTGTGTCTGTATCTCCTGCCTCCTGAACATCTCTCGCACAACGTGTTACATCACTGCTCGCTCTTGAGATGGAATGTGCCAGGCATCTCGGAGACATCTTTACTCTCCTATTCGTTGGAGCCTCGCTACTCGTTTCGCAGATGCTGCTCCTTCTCTTCTTCTTGCCCATTCTCTGCCTTCCCTCGCGGACTTTCTCTTCCATCCTCTTTATTTGCCTTCTCCCCCCTCTTCCCAACTCTCTCCTTTTCGCTTCTCTCCATCATCTCTATCATCTATCCTCTCCATCCTTTCAAGAGTCTCTCCATCAAACACTCAAACGCTCTCTTCATTCAACGTACCGTCTCGCTCTCCTCTCTCCATCATCAACATCAACATCAACATCATTACCAACATCTTTACAACATCTTTACTTTCGTAGCACTCTTGTGCACGGTAAAGTCCTACGTCCGCCGAAGGCACGCCTTCGGCAGATTTCCAGCGCCCGCTACTAGATTTGTGCCTGTGGAGCGGCAAAAAAAAGCCATCATCAACGTCCGAACAGAATCTACGGGCAGCGTAGCCGTACAGGTCGGTGATTTCGAAATCACGCCAGAAGACGAGACGGACGAAGAACGGGTTTGGAGACAGTGGCTGGGGTGACAGCCAGCCAGGGTTAACCCTGTGCCAACCAACTGTAAGTCCTTGACTCCAAACATGACACGGTAAACCTCATTGGCGAATACTGACTCTCTCGGCAGTATGGGCGTTGCTTTATTTGCACTCCTGTGCACGGTAAAGTCCTACGTTGGTCGGGCTCGACAGAGCCTTAGAGGTGGACGTGGCGGCGGTGGTCGCGGAGGAGGTGCTCCTCGCGGCGGTCGTGGAGGCTTCGGCGGTGGCCGTGGCTCTGCTAACGGTCTGCGGGACGTGATTACTCGCGAGGGGAACGCTGTGATTTGATGGAGGATGCGTGTGGTTTACTGTGGCGGGGAGGGTTTTGAATCGACGGACTACACAAGACAAGGTTGGGATCTTTTTGTACTTCATTCACAATAACCATCCAGTCGAAAAGCTTTAGTGTGCTCTCTTGTGCACGGTAAAGTCCTACGTCGGCCGGCTCGACATCAGGTGTATAGTCGAGCCCGGCAAAGCCTTAGGGCTCTGCGAGATGAGTTGATATGCGAGAAGAATGACGTGGGAGAAGAATGGTGCCTTTCGTTTGATGTGGTGGGAAGGATTGAGCATCGATGGACGGCACAAGACAAGGTCGGGCTCTCTTTGTACTTCCTTCACAATCTCCACACAGTCAGACATCTTTAGTGTGCTCTCTTAATGGAGGGAAGGGTGAGAAATAACCAAGATTGGCGAACTCGTGGACCACAAGATGCATTCATCGGGAGGTAGTTTGCAATGAACACAGCTATTGATGCAAAGCCTGTCAATTTGACGACGTGATGGGTTGGATGTTGTTGGATAGGAAGTAATTAGTTGGAATATATAGAATTACCACACGCAATGAGTTGCTTCATGGCAATTGTTCTACTTTTACAGTACCATATCCGTAGGTTTTTGTCTCTTGTCAACTTTGGGAACCGCACGTATTTCAGGCACACATCTCTGATCAAATTGACATGGACATTGATCACAGAACGGAGAAGACTGGCTAGTTATAGTGTGCTTTTACGCCACTCTTTGAGGCTGATTCAATTTCTTGCATTGCTAGTAAACACGATGGCGTTCCCTCTCTTTTCTTTCTCTGTGGTCAATGTATATGATTCCGAACACTTTGCCAAGGATTATTAGTGATTGCTTTGCTTGAGCTTGTCGTAGTTAAGCACCGATTCGAGAAGAGTCTGGGTTCCAATAGCACTGTTACAAATCAATACAATTAGCATCGACACACTGGCAGAAGCAAAGCTACAGACAGGCATGAAACTTACCAGTCCTCTGGGCTGCAGTATTCTTCGGGATGGTGGCTAACGCCGTCTTTACAGGGAACAAAGATCATGGTGGTAGGGCATTGGCTGCTCGTGTTGATGCTGTCATGACCTGCTCCGCTGGTGATGTATTGCCAGCCTTGTTCTCCGAGAAGATCGGTCGCGGCCTTTGCGACCATCTTGATGCAGTTAGGGTCAAATTTTGTGGCTGGAGAATCAGTATCAAGGGTCCAGTTGAACTGAACGCCACGGCCATCTTTTTTGGCGATGGCTTCGAAGGACTCGAATATACGACGCTGCATTTCGTTGAGGATTGCGTCCTCGGGATGGCGGATGTCAAGCGTAAATGTTACCTGGGAAGCGATTGTATTAGTAGACGAGTTTTGTGGGATTTTGATGACGCCGGTAGATGCCAGGGCATCAAGATCCTTTGCGATATCGTTGGAAGAAGTAATCATTTTGGCAGCTGCCAAGAGGGGGTCGCTGCGATTGTTGAGAGGCGTTGTTCCTGTATGGGCATCTCGACCAGTGACGGTAATGGTGAACCAACGGTATCCCTGGCCTCCCTGGACGACGCCAATCCTCGTTTTCGTCTGTTCGAGGATTGGACCTTGTTCGATGTGTAGCTCAAAGTGAGCTTTTAGGGGGTACCCGGCTGAAGAGCAGGCAACGTCTCCGATGTAGCCCAGCCTTTGGAGTTCTGACTTGACTGTGACTGAAGGGTCCATGATATCGGGAAGTGAATAGGCGTCTTCGAGTGGGATTTTGCCAGCCCATACTCCGGACGCCATCATGGACTTGGGGAATCTAGCGCCTTCTTCGCTGTTGATGCAGTTGGATTAGACAATGCGCAGCAACAAAGACGGGAGAAAGGAAACAATAAATCATGCAAAGCAAGTTGCAAAGACAGTAAATCAGTACAGAAATTAAAACATACTTTGTCCAGTTGACGATTCCAATGTTGTGGTGAGTCTTGTGTCCATTCTCCGCAAGCGTGCGCATCACCTCGACAGCAGCCACGACTCCCAGAATACCGTCGTATCTGCCACCTCGCGGCTGGGTATCAAGATGGCTCCCCATGGCAATCATGGGAGTGGGTTCTGGCGCTGACCCCCGTTTGTTGGCAAACATGTTGCCCATCTGATCTACTACGAGGTTGCACCCCAACTTCTGCGTCTCTTCGGCGAACCAGCGCCTTACTTGGGCGTCATCATCGGAGAGAGCAAGGCGCGCCATACCCGTCTCTGTTGGGCCGCTGTTTTGGACGTCAGCTTCTCTGGAATTCGAAAAAATCGCAGGGTTGGCGTGACAAACTCTCCATATCGATGAGCGGCACCCCATTGGCAGGTGTGATGAAGCGTCTCTGCCAGTCTATCGGCGTTGATGCGGAAGCCTGAAGCTGATGCGGAGAGGTGAGACACAGTGAAGAGTCGCTTCTGGACAAAACTCGGGGCCTTGCGTAGAATGAAATGGCCCATCTTGATGGATAGAAACTGCGATGTTGAATTTGAAAAAATCAGTGAATGAATTATTCAAAGATAAAAAAGCAGACGGCAATTGCGTGCAAAGAAGCAGGCAATTGAATGAATCGGCCCTCTCTGGTGGAGTCTTGGGCCGATATTTGTTGTTGAGAGATGCTTGTCATTTGGCGATGCGCCCTCCGCCTTCCAATAACATGCAAAACTATTTTTTACTCACGTCAAGAGAGAATTCAGACGACTGACTCAATCTGCGATGCTGTGGCTCTTCCGGCAAAACTGAGAATGGTTAGGCCAAGTTGTTGTCAGATGCGGGTTGAAGAAATCGACGCTGTTTGTCTGCAATCACGCCCAAAATCCCCGGTTGTAATGCCAATCTTTGTACTCCGGATTCGCTCCGGGCGTGGAGACAAGTGAAAGATACGAGCCACTCCACTCATTGTAGCTGGCTACTCAGGTAGCGATACCTTTGAGACAGAATCGTATGGCGGGGTAATGCAGATTGAATCAGATTTCAAGAGGCGAGAAGAGATGGAATATCCGAGGTAGTAGCATCTCAGATCGTCGTTGAGAATAAAATCAAGGTAGACCGTTCTTGGGCATACAGCAATCCATACAGAGAGAAATTACTATGGTTTATAGACAGTGTTCGCATCTGAAGATCTTCACACTGTGCCCGTTTGTTCGCAGTCGCAAGGCAGTTGCAATAGACATGCAGCTACATACCTCATTTTCAAGCAATTGGGTTTTTTGTTCAAACAAGTTTCCTTCTAAACCAGATTGCCTCGCCAAATACAACCGTTTCAACTCAAGGCCTTTCATCAATAGCAGTTATTCAACCCAGCAGCTGCATTTACCGTTCTGATTTCTGCCATAATTTTCTCAGTCATGGCGCATCCTAACAAATCGTGTCTCCTGAGCCGTCTCTTCCCCTAAGAGGAACATCCAACCAGCCAGCTTTCCTCCGGCGAAGATCTCTCGTCGCCAACGCTCTTCGCAGTCCCGGGCTATGTTCTGCATCAAAAGCTCCCAAGACAGAAGCTTTAGCCGATGAACTCAACTACTTCTGGCCAGCGTCAGTCAATAGATTGATGGGAATAAGCGGTGGAAATTCTAGTGTGCACTCTCTACAGGGCCAAGCTTTGTATCTAGATTCTGCATCCGTCTCCCGCGATATCTTGAGCTTAGGGCTCGGAAATTGGTATGAAAGCGGTTCAAATCTACGTCCTAAACCCGTAATATTCGCTACTGAAGCTGATTCAGATTCCTAGGTTCCAATCTAGGCGGAACCCCGAGATGGGACTCGATTCAGGTCAATAACAAGAGCCAAGTCAATTCGTCCTAAACGTTCGTAAAGCTACCTAGTCAAGATATATTTGTCATAGCTGGGACATCAATCGAGCAGCCTTCATGCGCCAACGAGAAATGCATACCGTATTTGCGTATTATGCCAAATCATATTTTCCATAGAAACACCCTTCAAAAGTTGTATTTATCTTGGAGGTGAGTAAGAACATTGACCCTCATTTTTGTAATCTCACCATCTGGGAGATTTTCTATCCCACCATATACAGTAGCTTTCGCATCCAAGTGCCACTCAAAGAGAAGTGCCGCGGTTTGCACCACCGATCTCCCACCCACGATCCCAAATCGTTTCATTATTTGATCATTCTCCGAAAGATTGCTTTCAATTTGTTGTATTATGTTGGCTTTCAATTGGTCCCGGGCATCGGCCACCCAGTAGTCGTCATGGACAGGTCGGCCATCCTCAATCGCCAGATGCCCGAACTGGCGAAATACGTTTCGTGCCTTCACAACGAAGATCTCGTCATAGATTTGCGCATTATGCAAGATATTCTGAGCCATGAGATAACTTTTTGAACCTGCAGACTTAAGCAGAAGTATTGGTAACTGGCCACTTCCCTGAGCGAACCGAGTATAATGATGTCCCAACATACGAACACAGTCCGTCTCCAGCATGTAGAGATCGCCTTTTTGGGTTGGCCCAGGAAATGTTTGACAACGATATTCCCTACCTCCAAGGAGCTTTCCGCTCGGGAGGATTCTCTCTTCTCCCTCATCGTCCAGATCTTCTTCGGTTTTTCCAATGGTAATACCCAGCGTCGAGGGAAGGAGGGATCCAGAAGGCGATAAACCGGGCTCCGCCACAGGAGTGGTACTGGTAGAGGATTGAGCCTGGCCAGTAGTCAATGTTGATGTCACATATACATCTATTCCTTCTAGCAATTGTGGCTTTACCATTTGTTCTGAGTTTTCATCTGCTAGAACCTCGAGAGGAATAACATTTCGTCCAAAGGATGGCTCAACAGGCGGCATGAGGTCTTCTTCTGATGTTTCAACTATCGTCCGGAATGTACTTGGTGCGGATTCAGTTGATTGAGAATCAGGACCCTTCTCGTCGAAAGTCAAAGACTGTCGTAAGTGTTTAAGGCACAGAGAGTTATAACTTCCATCTGTAAGCGTTGAGCAACCTCCGAAAGAGCAGTAATTTAAGGGAGGATATTCAGTTGTGGAAGAAGAAGAAGGTTTACTAGTGGTAGACGAATCGGCAGATGACAATTTGTGGCTGGAAGGGTTCTCGTCATTTCCAACTGGGAATTTCCGCTTCGCCCGGCCTTCTTGAGCCTTTTGACCAGCGTTTTGCGGCAAACTCTTGGTCTGGCGAGTATCTGGAGAAATCCTTTGGTACACAAAGGAACCTGTTGTATTTGATGATACCTGGATACCACGTATAGACTTTGGTGGAAGACTATGACTATGGTACTTGGCGGTATGGATCTTCAATGCTTGGGGAGAGGCAAAAGGCGGAAATTTGCAATCGGCAGCAGTGCAGCGAAGTCGTCGTATGTGCGTCATCTCGTGCTGAAGACAATGCTTCTCCGACTCAAAACCTAATGTGGCTCGAGGACAAGACTTGAGCCGGCAGGTAAACGCTGAGGTACGAAACTGACTCTTGAAAAGCTCCAGTTCCTCGGCGGTGACTCCTGGATAATCGTGTTGGTCGAGTAGTGATCTGACAGTGTCTTGATACACTATAAGCATTGCCGATATCCCGTCCAAAGGAGCCGAATTCTTCGGTAGTCGGCATGTTCCATCGGGACCTGGAGTAGGTATCAGCAAAGTTGTGTAGCGGGCTATGCACATCATTTGACCACCCACCTGCTTCTGGGAAAAGTTCCGCTTCAAGTCGCTTGAGAGATCTTCCTTTCAAGGCTGCTTCAACATGCTTATAGAGAGTTGGGTGTTGTCGCAGGAATGACGTTCGGTCATTCAATCCATTTGGCGGACTCTTAGCCTCTTCACTGATCGTGGGGTTACTTGTTTCGTTAAGTGTATCTGCCAACTTGCAGGCAAGGACGAGTAGCGGTGAAGCGTTGTCTAAGTCTCCTCTAGCAAATTTGACACTGGACAATAAGTACTCAGTCCAGAATTCAGTGGCGTAGACATGGAATCCATGGAGACCCTTGATAACCCGGAGGTGTCTGGCCTGCTCTGGGTACACTTTGCTAAAAACCTGTAATCCAGAGAGAAGACAGGAAACAGTAGCTACCCCATGTTCTAGAAGTGACTCTTCATGGGTGATAGTCAAGCCGCTCGAGGGAGTCTGTAAAAACCTGAAGTGTTGTTAGGAGTCTTGAATACTGACGAGAGGGTTTGAGTTGCTCACTCTTTGACGGAGACGTGAATGAATGTCAAAGTTGTATCACCTCTTTCTTCAATCAGAGGCCCACATATATCCAGTATATACTCAGGGACAAGATTTGTGACCTCAGGTTCCCCAGAGCTAAAAGTTATTGCAGACAACAACTCGAGCCTCTTCAGTGGCCGTTTTGCAAATGCGATCCAGCTGAGAATACTTTTAACGCGACTTTCCGATCGGATATCCAAGTGGGTTAGTATTTGGAGGAGTATCTTGCGGTAGCTAAAAGAAGGGTTAGAACCCATATATCTGCTGGACGAATAGTTGAAGGGTAAAGCCTACAAGTCACCAAGTTTCTCGGGCAGTTGATTGACAGAGGTCATGATTTCATCCCCGCTATAGAATATGTTCGTCGAGAGATAATCTGAGACCAGTCTGGCGTAAAGAAACATTCCTATCAGGTAGTCAGAAATCTTGGCCATTGAGCTTTTGTCTATGTGATCTTACCATCTGCCTTTTTTGCAATCCCGCGCTCGATACTGTCGACTTCTCCCGGAGATATATGGAGTTGGTGGAATTTTTGTTCCAGCGACTGCAGTCTTTGAGATGCATACTGACGTATCGCCTCCTCTAGGCAGTCTTTTTCATCGCTTAGAGAGATTGTCTGCTTTTTGCGTAAACAGTTTGATAGTATTGAAGAGGTACGACTTGAGATGAGAACTTTGCAGGTCGTATTTCCTGGCGATGATCGGTCTGACGCAACCTGATTCATCAAGCTTACTACTCGTGCTTGCTTTTCCAATTCGCATTCGTCTAAGCCGTCTAAAATGATCCACACGTATTCTGCCTTGGACGGTTCGTTGGATATGCTTTTAAACAAGAGTTGTAAAAGACGTTCAAGGGCGGGTACTGTCGGTGACTTTTTCCCCAGAACAAATTCTTCATAAACATGAGCAACCAAATCGCCATCTTGTCGGAGTAGTTGCATGAGTAAGGACTTCAATATCTGCTCGTAGGTCGTAGACGATGTATACAAGTAAGTGCAAAAATGATGGATGACAAACATGTTGGATGCTTGCATAAAGTTGACAAGCTGTGTTGATATCACACTCTTTCCAGACCCCGGCGTGCCTTGTAACCAGAGGACCGATGTGTCAGGCTTGCTCTGAAGCCAGGAGCTGATTTTGGGATTTTTCAGCACCCATGAGCAAGTGCCTGGATGTTTTCGCCCTTCGGCCGATATTGATTCAAAGATTGCCAATTGGTCCGATTCATCCATGTTTAACCATGAGATTATAGATTGGTATTGCTTAGCAGCCTCTTCCCCGTCAAGGTTGGACACCTGCTCAAGGCTTTGCTCCCTCCAGCGGCGGATATCTTGACGCATTTCTTTTGCTTCGGCAATGTTGCGCGCATTTGCTTCTCGATCAATTAACGCCTCATGTCGCTTCATATCTTCAAGAATATTGTCAAATCGTCTCTGGAATCGGCCCCAAGTAGTGAGGAAAAGCAACTTCCAACCTGAATGATAACGGTTAATCGTCAGAAAGGCGCTCGTGTATGCAAATGGTGAGCATTCTTACCACTTCGCCGCACAAACTTGTAAGCATGTTTATGGAACTGCAGAATGTCCGCATAAAAGACAGCCAAAGTTTGCTGAAAATCTGGATCGCGAATGAAAGCATTTCCCAGGAGCTCAAATCTTCCCAGTGATTCTGCAAGTTGTGAGTAGCCCTTGATAATTTGCTCGAATGCGTCGACATATTCCGAGGCGACGCGTAGAATTAGAGCAACTGGCGCCCATATCCATGGTAGATACGGGGTGCCATTACATAGAACATCTATCACTTTAGAATAGTGCTCTATTCCCCTAAAAAAAGGCATAAGCCGGCGCATGTTGCGAAGTGACCCCCGCGCTGCGAGCTGCCGTTCAATCTCAAGAGCCGCATCTCGTACTTGTGCAAGAGTCGAAACACGAAAGTCGCGCGAATCTGCAGGAGTAATTGTGCGATCGAGATCTTCAAATGCCGCCTTTATTGTTTGCCTCGCGGGAGCGGATATGGGAGGAGGCAGAGGCATTCCGACAAAGTCTTGTTATCTCATGTCGCATCGATCCAGGGTTGAAGATAGGGGATGGTGCGAAAGAAAAAGACAAGACGCCGTAATAGAAGCAGATGGCTAAAACATGTTTGTGTAACAGCCATTGGGCAGCCATGCAGGCAGGCAGACAGCCTCGTTGACAGCCTCGTCGGCCGCCTTACCGAGCAGTGCACCCTTTGCACCCTTCACAAGACCGCACAGCCACCGCCAGTAAACAATACTCTGGATCTAGATCTGCGTCAACCATCCATCAAGTTTGAGATATTATATCAGTTTCATTCAAGTACCGAGTCCTTACCTATTTTACAATATCGCTCTCGCGTCGCAGCAGCAACTGATCAGGCAACTCTCCTGAGGCATATTGGATGGAGCCTGGTGATGATCCCTACCGCCACGAAGCTAAGAGGCAGCGATTGGACAATTCTCCAAGCTCTCATACCAGTTCATTCGTTAGAAGAGCCGAAGAGCCTGATAATCTGAGTCCAGCGGCACAACAGCATGTCCCGTCACTATTCACAGGCCAACTGCCCGTCTCTACAGGAGTACTGCCCACATGGCCGTCCACATGGCTGCCAGCTCAGTATCCCATCAGTCTCAATTTTGGATACCAACCCATTTTCCAAATAGCTTCCAACTTTCACGCACAAAATAATCACATGATAAGCCAATCCTATGGGATGGTCGGCCCCAATGGAGTTGCTCCGTACGATAAGCAGTTTGCTGCCAATGGATATCCACGCGGGCTCCCAAATTCCGTCTTTTGGGCTAATCCACTATCAGAAGTCCCTATCGACTCTCTTGTGGCGTCGAACACCTATCAGCTCAACGGTCAACTGCTCCATGCTGAGTCTCTGGCGTTGATTCAGCCAGCTGGCGAACTATATCCCACAAGCTCGTACCAGGCCTCCATCATCTCGGAGCAGTCTTCGGTGTCGCCTTCTACAGCCACTTGTATAGATATTACGCAAGAGCCTGGTGAGGTTGAAGAACCGCAGTCCAACACATACCAAGAGACGTTAGTTTGTTTTGGCATGGTGAGCAGGTTCGAATGGTCGCGTACAAGGACTCTGAACTGACCCTTACAGATCTCGGGTGTTTCTGGGAGATGCGAAAACCGAGCTTCAGAAAAGAATCCACCAGTGTATGAAGTCCAAATAAATTCGTCCGCAAGTTTCAGCGCAATAGACGATCCACGTATGAAAGGAATGATTCTATCGGACCATGGACAGATGATCCAGGGCCTTCTCGATGAACCGACCATAAATCTCCACGCCTCTTGCACTCCGCATAGTGAGCCTTCAGCGCGAAAGATTTCCAAGGGTTCTGCACAGCTATCTTGCGTGTTAGATATTACTGTATACGGCCCCTGGGAGCTATTTGAACAAATCGGTATATGGTTTCAAGAGTATGGGGTGTATCTCCAGGATCCCCGAGTGTGTCATAAAGACGTCAAATACTGCAACCCTCACCGATTGTCATCAGAGGCCTTTGAGTCGTGTCTCTTGCTTTCTCAAGTTGTCTCTCATACAGGCATATCATCTTGCCTTCAGGATATCACAGAAGGACCAGAGTTGCTGGACATGCTGAGCAGCAATGTCGACCTGGAGGAGACTCCGCAACCAACGGCAATACGCGCAATTCTTCAAAGGTAGGTTACCGCCACTGTTGGAATCACTCTGTCGTATGTGTAAACTGACAATCTCCAGTCACCAGAAGAAAGCATTGACATTCCTTCTTCGCCGCGAGAAAGGCTGGGCTTTCGATGATCATCAGTCAGATATTTGGGAGAAAGCAGACACGAATCAGGGACGCTTGTGAGTGCTTATCCTAGTTTTGATGGTAGTAGAACTAACGATCGGTGTAGTTTTGTCAACAGAGTTTCTAATACTCACCAGTCCGAAGAGCCCCCGCAGTTTTATGGAGGCATCGTCGCCGACCCAATGGGTCTCGGAAAGACATTGACTATGATCTCTTTAGCAGCAACAGACTTAGACAGCGATATGAACAACGGCGTTCACATGGATATTGATGATGAGCAAGACAATCCTGTCCCGACTACTCTCGTAATTGTACCTCCACCACGTAGGTTTTATGGATGTTGATATCACCACTGAACGATGCCATATGCTGACTTCTAGTAGTTCTTGGCACCTGGGAAGAGCAACTAGCAGAGTAGGATTGTCAATGAGATGTTGGTTGTATATGCGACTAATACTTAAACAGGCACGTAATAGAGGGCAGCATAATATGGCGTTGCCACCATGGCAAAAACAGATTCGTTGACAAGAGCGAGCTCGATGGTGTAAACGTGGTTTTGACCACATATCACACCGTTTCTGCCGAGTGGAAGACTGGGAATTCCATTCTGTTTTCAGTTCGCTGGAGAAGAATTGTTTTAGACGAAGGTGAGCCGGTATAAAACATGATTCAGATTCGTGTGACTAACGTGAACAGCACATTATATCCGAAATGGAAACTCGAGGATGGCTCATTCAATATGCGCGCTTGACTCCGTCGCCCGGTGGGCTGTCACTGGTACACCGATCCAGAACCGTCTGGCTGATCTTGCGACTCTCCTCAGATTCATCAGAGCTCATCCTTATACTGATCCAAGGGCATTTGATACTGATATATCTCGCTTCTGGAAATCTGGAAAGGACGAGGAAGCCGTGAGGCGATTGAAACACCTTTCAACGTGTCTTCTTCTTCGCAGACCCAAAGCCACGATTAATCTTCCCCAACGAAGAGATGTGCGATGCCCTGTTGACTTTAGCCGCGAGGAAAGAGCACTATATGACGAGATACGTGAGCAAGCGGTCAGCAAAATCGAGGAGGTGCTCCAAAATAGCTCGGAGGCGTCGCGGGCGGGCGGCTATGTCAACGTTCTTCAGCGGATTGAATCACTGCGACTTGTCTGTGACTTGGGCCTCTATTATCACTCAAGGCACCAAAATCTCCAGAACCTGATGGCCGAAGCCAGTGACTGGGCCAGTGTTGCGCAGGAGACGTTTAATGTTCAACGAGGAATGGGTTCAATGGTCTGCGCTCAATGCTCATCAACTCTTGAGCTGACCGAGACGCTCTTTGATGATTCAGCCTCGGCACACACAAGTCCAGAATTTTCCCGTTGTTTGAGATATCTTTGTGGAGATTGCATACACAAATTGGGCCGAGCTAATCACATAGCCCTCTGCCGCCACAAGCCTTCATGTCCAACAGCGCCAGTGTCCATAAGCACAAGCGTCTTTGAAGATGTCTCCAGTCTCATTTCACCACAGATAAAGAACCTTTCAACCGGAATTCCGTCCAAGGTGAAAGGTCTGATTACTGATATCAAGTCACTCCCTCCAGATACTAAATGGTACAGTAATCCCACAACGCCTGTAACCGGCTGGTAGGGCGCTAACATGGAGGCATCATAGTGTTGTATTTTCGACGTGGAGGTTGACTCTTGATGTTATCGAAGCTGGCCTGGATCAAGCGTCGATTCCCAGTATCCGCTTCGACGGCAAAGTGCCTCAAAAGGATCGGCACTCTGTCATAGAGAGGTTCAAGACGGATCCAAATCTCCGTGTCATGTTACTCACACTCTCGTGCGGTGCAGTGGGGTAGGTGGTTCTTTGGCCGAGTTCTTTTGCCTGACTGACATTTCTCAGTCTCACGCTTACTGTAGCCTCGCGAGCATATCTCATGGAGCCGCATTGGTTAGTTCTCACAGCAAAACAAGAGTTGGTAGCCATACTTATCTACCCACAGGAATCCAACTCTCGAAGAGCAAGCTCTGGCGCGAATTCACCGAATCGGCCAGACGCAAGAAGTGACGACCGTGCGCTTTTATATGCGGGATTCGTTCGAAGAGGTTAGTCCAATGCACGAAAGTTGATAATCATATACTTATGCCTATTCCAGCAAGTCATGGAACTGCAAGAGTCAAAGAAGAATCTTGCTGGAGTCCTGCTCTCTCCTCACGATGGAGGGCGCATGGACGACAGTTTGGGGACGCTGCAGGTAAGTGATCTTTATGTCACATTGGTAAAGAATGTCGCGTCTGATGCGCCTGTAGCGGTTGCGTGTATTGCTTTAGTCAGAAACATATGGGGGGCGCTGATCAAATTTGTCAATATGTTGCTGCCAAGGACACATCGTGAGCTTGAGCTCATCGCTCAGATCAAGTGAATGAAGATTGAAAGGGGGGACGAGATCCAGTGTATCAGGCTAAATTGATCATGTATTGCAGAGATTGTTGGGATTGAAAACTTGCATTCGAATGGGGGAGTTGGCTAGCAAAAGCGCGTACCAGAAAGGCAAAAAAAAAAAAGAAAAGAAAAGAAAGAAAAGAAAAGACGGACAGATAGGAAATTTTCTACAGAATGAGACATTTTTGCGTCCAAGAGAATATCTCAAGGCGATTGATATGACGGGCAGGGAGAAACATAAGGAAGATTGTCATTGGCAGTGGGGAAGCACTAAGAATCTTGTTTCTCAACTCGAATATGAATAAAAGAGAAGCATTTGGTAGAGGCCAAGGAAGCTCGAATAGTACATCAACGACAAGACCGCCGGCTGCTGACGGCCGATCTTACGGGAGGTATCATCAATACTGGAAGACAGAGGCAGCTGTTGTTCTCTCTTCCTCTTGTGAAAACCTTCGACAGATTGCCGGGTAGACCATGGCCTTCATGTCATCAGAGCCACGCTCTCCCCACTATGTCGGCGAGCTTTGAGGAGCTTCAGATGCCGCAGATGCCGCTATCCGACCGTTGTCAGGACGGCTATATCGATAGCGGCGACAACAAATGAACCGGTGGATATGGATTTCTGTGGTATTTGCGGTATCAAGCCGGCAGCCGGGCGGCTGGTAAACCGGAGGTCGGATCGGGGGGAGACGATGGAGAATTCGGAGAGTGGAGTATGGCGCTATCGCGGGGCCAAAAGCAGAAAATGGTGCGCAGGTATTGTCTAGAGGAATGGATCAGCTAGTTTCTATGCATTCGGTGGGAAATGTTTGATGGATAGGGAACCGGATTTGCCTCTAGAAATTACATCACTGAGCTGAGCGGAGAGATGATGTAACTCTTGGGATCTTGAAATTGGAAGTTGAATTTTGGTGAAGGTGCTGAGAAGAATTACAGAAGCTGGCAGTGGGGCTGATAGAGCCGATAACAGCTGTGGCGCTGTGGTTGTGGCGCCTCCTTTGGGGAACCTGTACCTGAATCTGCACCTGTAAGGCGCTAGAAAACTTTGTAGATGCTACTGGGCGACATGATTTTCCAGAACAATGGCGCGTGATCTTATCGATCAAGATTGATGGCCATGAACATGAAGGAAGGAACAAGAGAAGCGAGGCCGCGATACACTGATAACAATATTACTCTCATCGCTACGCACACAATAATAATTGCCGAAGTTCATCAACCCTAGAGTTGACATCCCAATACTCTGTGCACTCACTTCAACACTACGCAAGCACACAACTCGCTTGGCATTGTTCTCTATCAGCTGTCAGTCCAGAACCAAACACCGATGCGATGATGCAATCAACACTCTCAATGAGCACCGATTCCTTCGCCTGCATATTTGCTTGGCCACAGCCAGCTAGTGGGCGCACAGATGACCGTGGCAACAAAAGCTGTTCAATCTGTCAGCTTTTGGTCCATCACTAACGAGCGGCTCCATGACTCGGAAGCCAACGCCGAGAAAGCGCCTTCTTGGTACACGATTAGCGCGGTGAGGCCTGGGAGACGTTGCGAAGTTGACATGGACTGACTGGAGAATCTAGACGCATCGACTCGCTGTCCCCACCGAGAGGCAGCGACAATTTGCAGCAGCGGAGCAGATTTGCCTCGGCCCCATTAGCCCAGTCGACGCCTTTCGATTACATACGCTGGGCTGTAAGCGTCGAGGCGCGTCTTGTTGGACACTGGCTGTCCGGGGTGCAGCAGAGAAGCTTCAGCTAACAGCAGATCACCTGCGGCAGTTGCACACCTACACCACGACTAAATTAACGCTGCATTGGGATCCTCGCCCGCGCTCTCGAATTTTCCAGGGCTGCCAATGCGATGCCTGCCCTGTCAAGCCTTTTCCGGGCATCGTCATCACTAAAGAGCTTCTCGCCACGCCTCATTGGAGGCTCTACCTCGCCCAGTCCCCCCAGTGGGGAATCCTCTCGAGCACGCAATCGCCTAGTACAGCGGCCAAGTCCGCTCACGGAAGGCTCTCACACAGCCATCACCAGATTTTTCTCAGTTTTGGATGGGTTTGCATTAGATAATGGCATGGTTCTTTTCTTCTCGAAGACGCTAATGGATGCAAGAGGTATGAACCTACTTCATCTGCATCATCGCCGCGTCGTTGATCCTTTGCTTTCCACTCTCTCTTGTCCACAGCATTTCCTCTGTTGTGCTGCCTTACACTGAAAGCAACGGGAGCTAGCCAGCGAAATCTGAGTAGCGGGCTGTTTCCAGGGCTCTTGATTTCGATATAGCGGATAGCGACGCCACATCCGTTGCCAAGCCGCCGGCATTGGACTCATTCTGGAAGCCGTTCACATTCACGCCAAGCGTCACAAGTCACGCAGCAAAGTCTTGCCCTCTTCTTGTTAATAGCCTTCTTTTTTCCTACAACGCGTTGAATCATCTCTACCAAACACATCACAATGGGTTATCGCCAGGACTACCTCGGCGACGAGCAAACGCCTTACGATGGCAAGAAGGAGCACGACCATACGCAAGATGTGCCAAACGACGATCTTGAGGGGTCAACACACATTCTCCAGGACCGTCTCCGCCGCTCTCTGTCTGCACGCCAGGTTCAGATGATTGCCATTGGAGGCACCATTGGAACAGGTCTCTTTCTCGGCACGGGCAAGTCGCTGGCTACTGGTGGCCCAGCTTCGATCCTCATCTGCTATGCCATCGTCGGTTTTATCGTCTTTGTCACGATGCTCAGCTTGGGAGAGATGGCTGCGTTTTTACCAGTGGCAGGAAGCTTCTGTACATTTGCGGGGTAAGCTCTCTTCGCCTTCTGGATTCGATGTGTTCGTATTTACTGACGGGGGACCCGTGTTAGTCGCTTTGTTGATGACGCCTTTGGCTTTGCCCTGACATGGAATTACTGGTTCAACGACGCTGTTTCGACTGCATCTGATCTAGTTGCGCTGCAATTGATTCTGCAATACTGGACCGATAACTTTCCCGGATGGGCGCTCAGTCTGATATTCTGGTTTGTCTTGATTGTTGTCAACATTGCTACCGTGCGTGCATACGGCGAGGTAAGCAAGCATAACAGCTCCAGGCGACCTTGACCAAAACCAGTTGTAACTAACCAAAATAACAGCTTGAATACTGGCTCAGTTTGCTCAAAGTCATCACCATCGTTGTGAGTAGTAGTTTCGGTGTTGGTGAATCGATGGCAAACTCAACTAACTCTCGTTTAGGTCTTCATTATCATGGGTATCGTTGTTAACTGCGGCGGCAACGCTGAGGGTCGTTACATTGGTGCCGAATACTGGCACATTCCTGGCGCCCCATTCGTCGGCGGCATTGGCGGTTTTGCCTCGGTTTTCGTCACGGCCTCTTTTGCGTGTAAGTAGCTGAAATTCCCTGCACAGATTTGCTTCATTGGCTGACAGCGAGATAGACGGTGGTACCGAGTCGATTGCCATCACGGCTGGTGAGACAAAGAACCCCACAAAGACGATGCCCAAGGTGGTGAAGAATGTCTTTTGGCGAATTCTCCTCTTTTAGTATGTTCTGTCAGCCTTCTGCAACCATGCACCATTGCGGTACTAACAAGTCACAGTATCCTCTCCGTCCTCCTCATTGGTCTCAATGTCCCCTACGACTATCCTAACCTCAACTCTAAGGAGACACGCACCTCACCTTTTACCATTGTCTTCCAGATGACTGGAGCCAAGGCTGCAGGCAGTGTCATCAACGCCGTCATTCTGACCAGCGTCTTGTCTGCTGGAAACCACGCCCTGTTCGCCGGAACGAGACTGCTGTACACTTTGGCCATGGAAGGCCATGCTCCCAGATTCTTCGGCAAGCTTAACAGAAACCAGGTTCCCTGGGTGGCTGTTCTGGCAACCGGCTTCGTTTCGGGACTCTGCTTCGGCTCGAGCTTCATCGGCGCCGGTCAACTTTGGTCGTGGCTGCAAAAGTATGTGATGTCGTCAAATCCGCTCGATATTGTATCGCTAACCAAGTCATCTGTAGCCTTGTCGGTGTCTCTAATCAGCTCAGCTGGATCGCCATCGGTATCACCTCTCTCCGCTTCCGCGCCGCCCTCGCTCGCCAAGGCAAGACGCATCTGCTTCCCTTCAAGAACTGGACTTACCCGTACGGTCCCTGGATTGCCGTTCTGCTGAACTCATTCCTTGTCCTGATCCAGGGCTGGAGCTGCTTCAGTCCATCATTTGATGGCGTCAGCTTTGTCAGTTTCTACATTGAACTGCCCATCATGCTGGTCATGTATCTCGGTTGGAAGATCATCAAGCGAACCAAGTTCGTGCGTCTGGACGAAATGGATCTCGTGACGGACGTGCACACGGCTGAAGAGCAAGTAGAAGAAGAGAAGGGATGGAAAGGAAAGGCAAAGAGTGTTATTGGGTGGTTATTCTAAGCATTAGCGTGTCTGTTTTGGGTGTTTCTTTTTCGTTCTTTTTTTTGCTACACGATGACGATGATTCCCTGGAGTTGGCAGCCAGCAGGATTTGTACAAAGCCGTTGGACATGGACTACTCGGATATACTTAATGGTGAACATTTGACACAACTTACCAAGGAATGCTATTACGGGATCGTCGTGCTTATGAGTTGACAAGCTTTTGTTTGTCAACGGTGACAAAGGGCTCAACAGGGCTCAACAGCCAATGGAAGGTAAGCATTCGCTCCTTAGCGCCAAAGTGTCATGATTATGCAGCGAATTATTTGCATTTTTAATCAGCAACGAGGCTATACCTAAAGCACTTCAGGCGGACAAAGTTAAATAGCCTACTAACATGAGCCGGGCACAGCATCTCCATTTGGAATCCTTGTCCACATGCTGGTAGCTGCTGAAATCCCACGTATGAGGGTTTCCGTGTGGAGCTTCGGAGCTTTGCGTCGCTTTTCACTAGCAATCGGTGTCCGCCCGCGAGCTGGGAGCTGCTACTACTAGCCGTTATTAGCTGACAGCTGGACATATATCTGACGGGTATTCTATTCTTTTTCTCACCTGTACTGGAGAAGAGAGGCATAACGGCTATTCACTCGCTCAGTTTAAGTACACATTCAATCCGCCATGGAGTCGTTGCAGGAGAAGACGCACCCAGCCGGCGACGGGTCGCCCCCAGCTGCTCGGATCTCAACGGCCTCGGACCAGAGACCTGCGACGTCGAAAATGGATCTTGCCGCGTTCGATGGATCGTTCGCTCCGGGTGTGCGGCCCGGCGCCGTGCGGTTGACTCCGTGGTATCGCAGGCGAGACTATTTCGTGGGCCAATGGGTTGATATATCTGTGTGGAAGTCTGCTGTACGTTGTTTTTTGATGATTCTGGGTTTCAATTGGGAGTTCGATGGCTGAGACTTGGTTTGCTGACGGAACTCGTTTGGTGGGGATTCTAGGTTGTCGAGTTTGTTGCGACTTCGTGCCTCGTCTTTCTCTCGGGCCAGATAACTGCTACCCTAGAAAGCTACCAGACGCCACAAGTTGGCGGATACATCGGTATTTCCAACATCATTCTGATAGCGACGTTTATCTACGCGACGGCTCCTGCTTCGGGAGGACATTTGAACCCAATGATTACGTTTTCGGCCATTTTGACTGGTCTCTGTTCCGTGCCTCGAGGTATGTTTCTCTTGAGATGCATCGTGTGGACGTGTCGAGTGATTCAGCTGCCTGATACTACCCTGACTGAATACAAATATGCCACGTACATTATGCACGCATACCTAGTTGGTCAACTCATTGCTAACAGGCTGCCCTCCTTAGGCATTCTCTACATGTGTGCTCAGACTCTAGGAGGTGCCCTCGCAGGTGGAATTCTCTTGGGTGTCTGGGGTCCCAAAAGAGCCACAAGGTATGTGTACCCAGCATGTAGTAATCTTGTCACCTTGTGTCCGCAAGAAGACACGTAATTCAGAGATGCTAATACAAGCTTATTGTTACTACCAGCTTGCAAGGTGGCGGTTGTTGGTACGACCCATCTCAGGCAAACCCCGGTCAAATTTACCTCAACGAAGTCTTCGCCTCGTTTGTCCTCCTATTCCTGTCCTTTGGTGTCGGTCTCGATCCTCGACAAGCAGCACTGTTCGGCCCCCGAATGGGTCCTCTTCTAGTTGGCGCGTCATTGGGTCTGGTCTCCTTTGCCACGAGCGGAATCATCCCTGGCTATGCTGGAGCGCAGATGAACCCGTCAAGATGCCTGGCCTTTGGAATTGCGAGGCGAGATATGACATGTGAGTGCCATTGAATCTTCCCTGGTGGTGCTAAATCAGCCCTTGGGTTTCAAACCCTTTTTGGACAAGTTCAAGTTAACTAACGAGATGTCTGCTACTTTTAGACCAGTGGGTTTGGTGGTTTGGGCCGGCTGTAGGGTGCCTTATGATGGGTATTTTCTACAATCTGATCCCACCGCATCATGTGGAATTGTCGAAGCAAAAGAGCAAAGAGAGCCGGATGAACTCTATGGCTGGGAATACCGAGGTACCCGAGGTTTGAGATAGAAATCGGAAATCAAAGAGGGGTCGGGAGAGACGCTGAATTCAATAAACGGACTCTTGGGATGGCACTGATTGCTAGGGCAATAGAAAAAGAAAAAATATGGCCTGATGGCTTGATGGCAAAGGAGATGAAGCTAGCGAGGCAGCCAATCGAGAGGGATGGTCTAGCTCACCGGTCGACTGCTTCCTTGTTAGTGCTTGGGAGGCTGCATGAGACGAGCCAGGATAGACGGCTTGAGGGGGGTCATTTGAACAGGGGCGATTGGGTCTGTTGAAAGGCATCCTAACCACGCTGGCATTGCGATTTTTCGACGGCGTTTTTTGGAGTCTTTGTTGATTGACTGGAATGAATCATTTCCATTTCTGTACGGCGTATTTGGAGCGGAATAAAGCACCAGTCTGAGGTTTGTACAATGGAGCTTGGAGGTTTGGGCAGCATGCGTGAGAACGCCTATATCACAACATTTAGAGATAATACTTTTTTTTCTTGGCAAACTTCTCTATCTTTGTCCCACAGGTTATCTACGCCACTTACGAGTTGAACAACAGGTCGACCAACAGGCAAAGCCATCGCATGGCCACTCCATTGGATGTTGCGTGTCTCTCCGCAAAGGGCATGCATTGCGAATGAAAAAGCATTCAGAGTCTCATTAACGACATGACCCAGAGATGAACCTCTCGGAGATGCAATGATCCAACTGCGACGTTTCGGAGCACCAATCCATCGGATGCAAATGAGACATCAAGCACTCATGGAGATTGCATCGGAATAGCGATCGGGAGCGTGATGGACCAGGTGGGTGTGCTTTCCCTGGATCGAATGTAACTATCGGGATTTTTAAATTAATGTGGCGAGGGCTAGATCCCGCAAACAACCAGGGTCTGTCCAGGCGATCGTGATATAAACTAGGACTCTGCCAATACCAACCAAATCGAGTTCATGCATGGAGGACGTGGGGAGGAGAACAGACTCAGCTGCCTACGCTTGACCTTGTCCTAATCTAGCCCGCCGATATACGCTTGTGTAGCGTCGGCTTTGAGACATGCGACACAAACATCCAGGATAGGACATACAGGTAGCACGGGCTGATGCCCAGACGAAAAGGTGCCTTGTTTTCCGTGCATTTAAGTACTACGGTAAGCCGGTATCGTGTGCGACTCTCTTCTCCTGCTCTGTACTCGCTTTTGATATGAGCTTACTCTCTCGGTGAGAAATTGACAGGCCATCTTTGTGTTGCTCCAGAAGACAACCTGTTGAAGTATAAGTATGAGTGATGGAATCCTCCCTTTGAGCATCAAACTCCCATTGTCTCATCCCGCAACTTGTCTCCCTTTGTTTCACATCCCTTCTATCTGAACGACTGCTTACCAAGTTTTTGACAATGAAGCTCCTTGCCATCACCGCGCTCTTCATCGCCGGCGCCCTTGCCGTGCCCGCGGGCTCCTACCCGCCTCCGCCTCCTCCTGACTACGGCGGCTACTCTCCTGTTCCCAGCAGTAGCGGAGACGACTACGGCTACGTGCCTCCTACCCCTACCCCTCCTCCCCCTCCCCCTCCCCCTCCTCCTCCTCCAAGCTACGACGATGGAGGCGATTACGAACCTCCCACCGATGGGGATGGCGATTCTTCTGACGGTGGGGATGATGGCGATGATAGCGACGACGGTAGCGATGGCGGCGACGGAGAACGCAGTCAAACCAATCTGTGCCCTGCTGTTATTTCTGGGATTGCTAAGTGCTGCTCTACAAATGTGCTCGACCTTCTTAACCTAGACTGTGTATCTCGTAAGTCCTTGTTGTCATCGTAAATGCAGCACCCTCGGTGGTTCGTCACTAACTCGCTCCCACTACAGCCAACAAGGAACCCAAAGACAGGAAAGATTTTGAAAAGATTTTCGCGGGTATGGGCAGGCAAGCCACATGCTGCACTCTCGGTTTGGTGAGCAATGCTTTTTACTATTGATGGGGAAATTCTAGCTGACTCGTAATTGCATCTAGCTCGGCCTGGGTCTTCTCTGCGGGCACTAGATAGCACGGCAACCGTGTTCATTGCTGAAGAAAACCTTCTTTCAGCATCTTGGTATAGCCCCGTCGGAAAATATGGTTGAATAATAAAAAAAAAAAGCAGAGGGGACATCAAACTGAATTCACGGTCATTTGTCATGAAAGCTGCTAAATGGTACATTTTTCTCTTCGACGCTGGAAATCATGTAGCAGGCTGCTGTGCGCTGTATGATTCCTATTTTTATCTAATTACTAGGTATACTTTGTACTTGGGCCATAATAAAATTATTCCGTACACGAATTTGATGAACGTCTTCTTCTTTTGTTGATTCGATGTCAATTCTTTTCTCCTTGGCTGTTTGTTGTTTTCATGCTGATGTTTTGGTGCTTTTACCCTACAACGGAGTTTCAAAAGCTAGCGCTGTCAAGGGCGGCAAGTTGTCGTGCTAGATTGCAGATTCGCTGCGAGCGCTATGGAATCAACCGAGACGATTACCATCCTTAGGAATCTCTGGCCAAGCACAAAAACAAAGCTTGGGGACTCTCAGGATCTCTTTCTAGGTAGCTCGTGTTGTGCTATAGTGAGCTGGTCTTGACCTTTTTTTTTTTTGCCAAAGCACACTTTAAGTTGCTGATTCCACTGACGGCAGTTGACCTCTACAGGGACATGGTCAACATGCGCCAGAACTCGACAGCTTGATTCCTCTTCTTCTTCCTCCCTTTTCAACCCGCTTCCGACCCGTTGAATTTCCAGCCTTTGGCAATTAATTCCACTTCAAGGACTCCAAAGCTTTTGGCATAATGCTGATGTATTCCGCAGGACCTTTTCTTCCGTTACTCGCATTCCGATAACATCGGCGCCATCTCGAAGACGTTTGAACTCGACTGACTACGAACCAATATTGACAACGAATTTTCTCGATAGCCCGCCAATGATCTCAGCGTGAATTGAGCACCAGCTATCCCAGTCAGAGAAAAAGAAGCCGGTCGGAACTCGAAGCATGCCACGCCAAAGCTGTTGCCCATACGTTGGAGACTTTTGGTACGCGGATTGAACTTTTCGACGAACTGACCGGAAGAGGTTCAAACTCCCCTCTTCAGTTTCCCAAGAAAGATGCAGAGCTATCGATTGTCGGTTGTCGGGCGTCTTTGTTGGAGAGATAGGGATTGAACACCATCGCGGTGCAATTTCTGAGCGAAGAAAGGGATGGTAGAGTGGTGTCTCTCGCAGGAAACAAAGAGCATCATGCAGAAATGATTGCCCACTGCTTCACCTGCCTTGTGGTCTTCGACTCTGATTGTGTTCTATGTAATAGAGTACACTGGACCAACGTCCCTCGGTGGAAATAATAACGTCTTGGTATCTGAGGGACGAGTTTGTAGTCCGTCTATGGACCCTGAAATGATTCTACGAATATAATCATCGAGCAGAAGACCGAGATCAAGTTAGAAATTCCTATTAGATAATTCCAGTCCCTATAAACGACGAAAACAGGCCTCGTGTCACCATCCTTTCATCCAAATACCCAAAATTACCCTAAAGAAAAGAGTGACCTCTAGTGTAGTGTGAACGCAACTCTCCCAGTGTGTCAAATTTGTTCGTAGTGTGTGCCATGACATTCGCATTCGCAATACACTGATATAGCTCTATTTTGGGTTTCCATGCTGGTTCTACGACACTGCCAGGTGATAACTGCAATTTCCTCTCTGTTTTGCGTTGCTGCTGTCGAACAAGGGAGGCTACTTGGTTGTTATGCAATACAAAGCCAGATGTATCTTGCGTAAAATCCACATCATGAATTCCTCGTCAGAAGACTTCCCCTGTTCACGTTTACACAACAAGAATGACTGAATCGTGTTGGTGTTGGAGGAAGATGACACTACGAAATAATCAGACTACATGCCAACTGATCTTCTTCGGAAGAGCAGATACAAAGAATCTGCCAAACAATCAAATTACAAACAAGAAGCTGGCAAAGCCATACGAAATACAGGCATTTGAAGCAGCCAACTACACCATGTTGCATACCAGGGACAGCACTCTGCTATCCCACATCAAACTGTCGATAGCTTCAACATTCTCCAGTACATCAGAGAGCCATGGCTACTATACCCAAAGAGCGCCTTCCACCGTACTCTACAAAGGAGGAGCACCGAAACTGTCCACAAACTCGAGCATCCTGAGGCACCAATGCTTCTTGCCGAGCAATTACGAGAGACCAACATCGAAACAATCCAAGATCGTCACGGAGATGCTCACCTTCCCTCGTTATCATGACTTGGACGCGTCATCTCGGATCGTTCTCGACCAATCTCAGGCGGTGCTAGGCACACACTGACCGTCTAGAGATGCCACTTCGCCTACAGAACATCTGTGCCTGAGGAAAGCACTCGCTTCTCGACCCCATCCTTATCATCTGCGAGTTGCTATTGGCTCAAGCTCATGCAGACCGCCACCTGGAAGCACCTGCAGACCTGCAAACTGCTCGGAAGGTTCCCCTTTGGGTGTCTGAGAATCGAGGAAGGCAGGCAGAACGAGTCAGCTATATAACCCCCGCCCCCCCTCCATCCCTCTTCAACTTGAATCTTCTTCTTTTCATCTTTCTTTTTTCTCGCCTTGCCGGAGGTGGAGGAGGACGGCACAGTTCGACCTCACAGTTCACAAATTCAACTGCCAGTCCTCCTCCACTTCAATGCTGAATTCTGATATACCTGGTGAGTGCATCTTCTTTTCTTTTGCCTTGGCAGTTCTTCCACTCGATGCTTTTCTCATTCTTACCTCCTCTTCAGACAATCTTGATGCCACTACCTAGTAGACTCTTCCACCCTTATTTCTTCTGTTTTCGCCACTCTCCACTACATTGCCTTTGTCTTTTCTTCTCGAGCCTAACATTGCTTTAGGCTGGATTCCAACAATCCATGTCCAGGCGACTGTTCAACAATCCACGCCCAGGCGACGGCCGCGGCCCTCTCCGGTAAGTCAAGATTACCCTCTTCGAAATTTCGACGAACTCACAATTCCCAGTTACCAAGGACCTGCCGCGGTCGTCGCCCACTTATCGGCCTAGGACACACCTTCGCCTAGTCCTAGGCCGGTGAGGATACGAATCGGCAGTCGAGATTTTCGATGGAGTGAGACAAGAAATTCCATCCAAATTCCCACCCCAGATTCCATCAGAAATCCCATCGGAAATTCCACTTTCGGCCACCATTCGGCAGCCCAGAGACACAAGGTTCGTGAGGCCTCACATTCATTCACTTTGTCTTCATGTCTGACTGATTGGAGATGCAGCACTGCCGGCAAACATTTCACTCTTGACGACAGAGTCTTCGTCCTCACTCTTCTCAACAGAGTCTTCGTCCTCGCTCTTGTCGACAGAATCCTCGTCCTCAGCCTTGATGTCAGAGTCCTCGTCCTCGCTCTTGACAACCCTCATCTTTACTCTTGACGACAGAGTCCCTTCTGAATCCAAACCACAAATCTTGCGCCAACTCCGCCTCCTCACACAACAAATTTCACACTGAACGACATGTCTGATTCTTCCAAGTTCAGACTCGACCGCGCATGCATCTTTTACAGATCTTTTTCGTCTCTTTTCACTCCTTTACTACAGGAGCGGCGGCCTTGCTTCACCTTCCAGCTCAGAGCTCTTTGTGTCAAGAAGCAGACTTCACGACACTTTGTACTCTCTGATGGGGAAGTATTCGACGTACATCACCACTCAATGTCTCACACGGCAAGGGTCCTTATTCTCGCGACTTGGTCTCAGTGCCCATTTTGGGCATAAGTTTCTTTTTGAATTTGGGGCACGATAGACTGTTGCGGAAGCAGATTGGATTTCGGAGAGAATGAAACGTCTTTGGATGGAGGAATGGAACGTCTTTGGGCAAGTATCGTTTGAACTACGCGCTGGTCGCTGGTCTCCCATTCTTATTCTCCGGTTAATGGTATGTGGTATGTCGTCTGTGGTGGCTGTGGTCTCTGTGGGCATTCTTATGCTTGGTCTCTGGTCTCTGTGGTCTCTGTGGTCTCTGTGGTCTCTGTGGTCTCTGTGGTCTCTGTGGTCATTGTTATATGGGGTCTTTGGTTTCCTATCTCTGTTTCCTTGTCATTGTAGTGGTTATGGCCTCTGTGGCGGTTGTGGTCTCATTTTAGTTGGTCTTGGATTCCTGGTCTCTGTGGTCTTCGGTTGAGTTTCTTGGAAAAGGCTGGGCGATAGACATCATCTTGGCTATGGAGTTCTCGTGGTGAGTGCAGTTTCGTTAATAGAATCTTGTTGGATACCACTCACTTGATCATTCCACCTCGTTCTTTTTCTACTTCATTCGCATATTTCTCTCGTTGCAGATTGAGTCAATCTGAGCTCTGTGGCTCGGACTACTCGGCCTATACTACCAGTCAGCCTTGGAAAAAGACTCATCGATACCGCCTCAGAAATACTCTCGTCAATGTGACCCTATAATTTCACTCTCCCTTATGCAGAGGTGTCTCCCTATTCTTTGCTTGTTCAGAGACAATTATGGTTGCTGCAGACCTGGCTGACATTTCTCCTGAAATCAGACTTGAGCAACGCCACTGCCAACGGCACTACATCGCGTCACTCAACAACTACTTTCATATCCTCGAATAACAGTTGAGCAGTCTGCATAACCCATCTGCCACAGCCGCGACGCTTGTCTCGATTCTATCTGAGCGAAACTGCGTCTGGCGAGAGAGACGAAGATCAACTCTGCCGCGCGTAGGCTCTCAACCCACGATCAAGGTATGAGGACTCAGATTACGGCCACCGCTGCAGAGCCGGCGAGGAGCGCACCGCCAGACGACAGGATGAGTAGGGCATCGAGGGACAGTTCCTCTGATCCAATAGATTGCGTGCGACCGTACCGTGGCAAGCAGCAATGCTGAGATGACTTGCTGGGGTAATCACAGTTGCTCCGATCGTGGTCATAAGACATGACAAATTGCTTCGGACATTATGGAACCGCGGAGAACAGCTGGGACGGGCGGATTCGTGCTCTGGACTGCTACGATCTTTGCAGTCGACGCCGTCTCGGGCACAATGACCGATCTTGATAGATGTGTACATGTTTGTAAGTCTACGAGTGCTGATTTATGCTGTTCGTTTTATTAGATTCCGTCAGAGAAATCGACAATCCCTTAAGTTTGGTGTATTACAGCCAAAGAGAATAATAATCCTGTACGCGGACAGAGCCGATTGAAACAACGAGAATACCGATACTGTTCCAAGTTGCATTAATCATGCTTATTTTGGTAGGCATATGTTAAATTGGAATACATTTATGTATTTTCCAATGACGGCAATTGTAATGTTGTTTGCATCTCACTTACTGCATGTAAGTTCGGCCATCTCCGTCTCACAACCAACAGCCATTTGGATCATGGCTCGATCCCGCACGGGCAATCGCCTCATTGTTACGATCCAGTCTAGGCTCAAGGAAAATCCGCAGCATCGGAATTAGCAGAAATCTTTCGTTGCCTCCGAGGACGAAGATGTGACTCCGCAGCTATGTAGTCAAACATTGACAGAGGAATTCCACTCCGAGCTAGTATGATGGAAGGTGCAGAATGCACACGGTAGCGTACTGTATCACCGTGATGTGAGCACCGTAATATGAACATCGCGATGTGGTCGCCGGGATGTGATCACCACCATATCCAGCATGGGACACAGATCAACATGACGTTCAGCTAGGCCCATTGATAACACATTCACTTGCCCTAACAACAACAATGGTAAGCCAAACACGTCAGTCCCTCAAGTATGTATACTCTCACCTCGACTACCTACGCACGCATCGCCAACATTAGACCAGCTTAGTAGCGTGAGCATATCGCCTATCTCCTCGGCTTAGACGAGGCCAGCTCCGGGCCTTAGGTACCCTATCTATTGACGGATTAATCTCAAGCTTCCCTGGGGATCGCCATGGAAACCGCATTGCTCAAGGGAGGCGACTCAAAGCCGGACCCTGGTGTCACTGCTGTTGCGGGTATGGCGGTTGCTGCGGCAGGTCATTTGCCATATGCAACCTGCAGGGACCAGTGATTCGACGAGAAAGGATTGGTCGACGAGCAACTGTGATCAGAGGCTACGAGCCCTGGCTCGACCACTTGGAGAGAGCCTTACAAGTAGGTATGTCGATGTAAGACGGACGATTTTGGCTAGAAGGGCCCGAGAGACCCTTGCTTAGTCTGCCAAAATGCTGAATCGAGATTGTTGCATGATGCACCTTGGCATCCGGCAGATGGCCTCCCCTCTTACACCTTGTTGGTCTGTCATTCGTGGGGATGCTGGCAAGAATCTGGAGCTTAGCTTGCCACCGGATACATGCAAGCGTCTTAATCTAGCACAGAATAATACATCAGCAATACCGTAGACGCCGGACACAGAACGGGGGGCAGAGGGCAGCGGTTTAATTGTTGCATGAGGAGATGTAGTGCGGGAGAAGATCCTCCGGCTCACAGACCGGCGCTTCGTAGAGCATCCACGATACATGTTACCGCGCTCTCTCTTTCTCGGAGCATCATCTCTCCGGAGCTCTTCAAAGAATGAGAGTTTGCCAGGGGTCACGGTGTGTTCTCCCAGATGCTGGACGGTAGAATCTAGCTGTTAACTGAGCGCTCCAAGGCGACATACTACTGTGTGATGATCCGTATGTTCCGTAGACTTTGCTGTATCTCGTTGTAAAACGGACGTTGTATTTACGGCTGGAGTATGAGATACAGGGTCTGCCATCTCAGTCTGAGAAGGCGTAGAAGGAGGAAATGACGTTTCTTATGGGTGTCAACTACTTTTGGCATTTACATTTATGATACTACTATTATCAATTGTTTACTAGGTAATCGTTGATAGATAACTTGGCTGTTTTTGGTGGTCAGTACTACGTCGGAGCGAGTACAGCACGACTGATCATATCCAAGCGGATCGCTACCACCTCCGACGGACACTTTGATCGTAAGTTAATGCACAGCCTTTACTTGGTCGGGCCAAATTCTTCCATAAGCTACATTGCCCAGTTGCTACCTTGTCTAGTGCTAGGCTATTCCACTCTCCTGGGCTAGACTATTCTCTACCCTTGTATGACGGACAAAATATCTCTCATGAAAGGGCATTGGATGTGGGATATACAAACATCAGCACAATGCGAAGCATTGTTGAGCAAGGAACGAAAGAGTGAAGTGCGCAGATTAACAACGTAGTAAGAACTAAACAGGAGTACCAAACTCAAATTGTAAAGGTACTATATGAAACATACAGTATCATGCAAGATTTCGTGACCTGTCTAGATAGGAAACTATTCACGACGTACATATGCTAGACACCTTACATAGGTAGGCGCTTGTTCAGTTATAGTAATCGCGAAGCGGGCTTCTCCTTTCACAAAGACTACCGGGGTAGCTATAAAGAGACAACTAAACAATAAAGGGTAAAACCATTCTAGCTTACCATTCATTGCATACACTGTTACACAGGTCAACTGTTAGTTCCACTTTGTAGTTTAACGCCCATTCAGATGTCGTTCTAGAATTTTCTTGGCAACTGTTCCCAAGTTGCTTCACAGTTGGAGATGGGTTAACGGTCGAGAGCCGAAATCGATCGTTCCATGTTAATCGTGTCGGTTTCAGCCGTTTTCTGCGCGCTGCGGGTGATATAGGTGCCTTCAGGCTTTGCAATCTAACTGACAAATTATTTGTTGGCCGTGAAGTGGGAAAAGAGTGTGTTGATTGTACCTCATCGCAATCGAGAGCAAAACCTAAACACCTGGTACCCAGGTTGAGGTTTCTCAGCCTTGACAAATACTAAGTGGAACTTATTGCCACTCCTGAAAAGAAGCCAATCAAGCGCAAAGAATCCGCGTATTCATGGAGCTTGATCTAGCTGATATTGCTTAGCTATTGCGAGGGAAAGGCGGCTGTGTGTTCTGGGGTTGTATTGCTGGTGGAGCAACAAGGGACCTTTGTTCTGGAGAACGGAATGGACCGGGATTAAGGCTAGCGATTGCGAGAGCATAATATGTTTAATTCACTGCGATTATGTCTAGATTACTATCTCAGTAAGATGACAAGCCTGCACATGCTGTGTCGATGGACTTCTTACCCGGGCTCGGAGTTTCAACATCAACCCGCCCCAAAGTAGCAATTGCTATTTGCAAACAGCTAACTAATCAGATACCTTGACAACCAGCCGACGGATCTAAAAGTCCTACCCTACTTAGGCTGGTATCAAGACCTTAGTTGATACCTTTATCTTGTTGGTTAGTAGTTCTAGGAGAGCACCAGCAGGCACTTTACAGTAGTATTCCGAGGAGCATATCGCTTATAAAACATGACTTAAGCACTAATTCTGTTTGGGAAAGCACTGCGCTACTGGCAAAGAGGCTCAGGTCCTGCTTCATCACCTTCACGTAGATATCAAGATAAGTTATATACATCTATCGGAAAGAGATGCCCCCCCGTTGCTTCTGCTAGTCAGAAATTAGTGCCTTTCTGCGGCATTTGGTAGAGATCTGCAAGTATTACCCAATCAAGCCAACTAAGCATTGTAAAAATAAACGGTGAACCCTGATCTTGTAAGTCCCAAAGCCCATTCAGCAATTTGGGTACTCCATAGGAGTGAAGGCTTACTAAAAGCACTAATAGATGTAAACAAAGCGGCCAGGGGAGGCAGATCAACGCTATTGCATGTCACTTGTACTTCTTAATGTCATAAGTTTCATTCAAATACTAAACGACTTGCTCTATATGTTGATAGGTGCTTACAAGCAGTTTGCCTAACCTTAATCTTTGCACTTGAGTACAGCCACTAAGGATGGTATCGGAGTTTTATTCTCACCCAGCAGTCAACCAGTCACAAGTCACAAGATGCCAGTAAAATCCAGCCCAAAAACGGGCAAGTTGCGGAGAACTTGCGAGGCGGTATGTTCTCTCGTTTTACTTTACCTTGTACTAGGACCTCTCAACCCTTCTGCCGTCGCATTCTCCCGGGACAGCTGGAAGCTTTTCCCAAAATCAGACCCTCAAAAAAGGGAAATATCTGCTGACTCGATACGAACAAACGTGTAGTGTGCCTCTGTCAAGGTCAAATGTTCGAAAGAAAAGCCAGAATGTTCACGATGCCAACATCGCGGCATCACATGCCAGTACTTCGTCGAGAAGCGCCCCGGACGCAAACGCCAACTTAGTAGACACATAGGCGACGCCAATTCAGCTGCAGTAGCAATGGATTGTTGCTGCGGTCAAGTTGGCAACGACATACGACAACCTTCGCGGTCCTCTCTTTCGCCATACTCATTCTCCCCGCACACATCGAGTACAATGTCAGATCAACGAAGTACCGAGATAATAGGAACTTCTGTTACATCTTCCTCCGGCCATACTATTACGAACATGACTGTAAACTGCAAAGGTTGCTTTGAGTCTGCTCATCTTTCCCAGAACTTCATGTTGAGTAGACCTTTCAATGATGATATGGCAGTCGTAGACCACTCAGGTGTCTTTTCAGCATTCGAAGAAGGCTGTGGTAACATGCCTGCTAGTTTGAGGGATCCTGGATCTGAGATGGACAGACTGGGCTTCTTTCCGCCTCCAACAGTGCCTGAGCTGTATCAGCCGCCTTCTCCTTGTTGTGACACTGCCCCATTTTTGGTGTCTACAGAAGATACGACGGGATTTGACATTTCGGAGTCAATAAGTATTCCAGAGGACTCATCATGCAGCTGCTGTAGCAGCATTGGCAGGTCGGAGATTTCGTCAGCCCGCTTCTCCTCCATCGGTCCCTCCACCGCCTCCCCTGCAGACATGTCAACAGGAGGAACGAGCCCTGCAGATATTCCCAAAATCTTGGCGTGTCAATGTTTGAACCAAGCTCTTCAACTCTTGAAGAAAGTATCCGGATCATTATGGGCGTCTTCAACAGCCCCCGGCAGAGAGGAATTATGGACCCGCGTCAGTTCCATTGAGACTCAGTCTCAGTGTATCCAGGCGATGCTGTCAGAAAATAGACAGTGCCTGGGAGCCATAGACAATATTTTGGCATGCCCTAGCACTGATAAGGACAGCATGTTACCGGGGATTCTCTGCATGGTTCTCCTTAAGATCTTGGACAGATACTCGAATATGGCATGGAGCCGACCACGGCTATCTCATAGGCGCAGCCGTGACACAGCCGAAGTTGGATCAAACATGAGCGGTTATTTAATAATGGAAACTGGTCTAATGACATCAACTCTCCATCTAGACACATTTATATCAAACGAACAAGGGCAGACGCAACATATCCACCTTGACCGTGGTGCATCTCAGCTCAGTGACGACGAGGAATTCGGACGCGCCATCTCCCATCTTGTTCTTGGGGAGCTACACTGGGCGCAAAGATTGGTGGACAAACTGATGGCTAGGCTTAAATGTGTTGACTGCTATAATGCAAGCCGTCCAACACAACAAAGCTGTCGCTGGGAAAACAGGCAACAAACGATTCCGTTGCCGATGGAGGAGCATGCGGACCCTGGTCTAACATCATCTTTCTCAGCAGGGACTTTGGAGCACATGGCCACTGACATACAAAAGAGGCTCACCACATTGTCCTCAGTTATCCTTAATCAGCTACGCCAAAGCTGAGGCATGATGATATAGATAGTAGATAATATCGACTCCCATGCCTAAAGAACGAGAATATGCCACGACAGCGCGCCCCCATCCAAGCGATCCGGGCTAGCAGTCGTGTTTACGATGGCGGCGATTTATATCATACATGGATCGGAGAGAAGGATCTAGTCGTAGGTCAGTTGATATCCTCGGGCGCTGATAAGAGCTCTCTTTATTGGACAAAGGATTCAAGGATGCCTAATGACCCCGCAAGTAGAAGCTGATGCTCCGAAGGATAGACGACACGATAGAAGGAAATACTCAAATTGACAGTTTCTTTCTATTTTCAATCCTTGTACATCAAAATCTTGCAATACACAGCCACATTCGTTGTTAAGAAAGCCGCCCCATCCCCCTCAATTTCGTGACGCGGCCGACAACGTGTACCGGAATGGACTCGAATCATTACTGCCTGAGAGACGCTTCAAAGGAAATACGACTGTTTGACCTTGTTTCAGCAAATGAACAGGAATCTGCGCAAGGACGCATCCGCCGCGCGATACTTAGTGATGCGCCTCCGTTTGTGGCCGTTTCCCACGTCTGGGGGGACAAGAGCAACGATCGAAGCGTCCGTCTTGAATCAAGCTGCGGAACCAAGTATGCTCAAATCTCAATGAATCTTGAGGCATTCTTTATAAGACTTATCGGGCTTGATTCGACTACCCTTCCTCAAACATGGTTGAAGGGGTCAAGACTCCCTTTGTGGGTTGACATGATTTGCATCAACCAGATGGATGTGGCTGAGAAGGCGTTGCAAATTCCCCTCATGCGGGAGATTTATTCACAAGCAAGCTCAGTCATCATTTGGATCAACGAAGACGACAGTCGCATTGGCCAAGCTTTTCAGTACCTTCGACACCTCGTTGCAAATAAAACGACGACCGAGATTGCAGACATATGGACGCTCTTCGATCCCGATGGATGGGAAGCCCTGAAATACCTTTTGGATTGTAGCTGGTTTCATCGGAGATGGGTCCTTCAAGAGTTTGCGGTGCCAAAGGATGCCGTCTTCCTTTGCGGCTCAGACGCAATGTCAATCGATGATCTGTTCAGAGGCATCGACATGGCCGCAAGTGTGCTGATAGCACGGCCTAGGAAGTTCAAGATACTCCATCCTGCACACACTGGGTCGCTGAGGCCAGCGCCTGCATTGAGGGAACTAAGGAAGCATTATGCCGAGCCCGATTATCATGTAAGCCTGCTTTGGTTGCTAGAGCACTTCCGTTCCACCACAGCAACCCTGGCTCACGACCAAGTTTATTCCTTGCTCGGTCTATGCAGCTCTAAAGAGGTTGCTGGCAACCCAATTCGATATGATCTCGAACCTGAAGAGACATACAAAACTTTTGTTGAGACTCATGCACGGCTGTATAACAACTTGGAGTTTCTCGGGCTCTGTACAGCGGCTCAGCGTGACTCTGTGTGTTCAGGTTCGGTGGATGAGTTCGTATCTCGCCCCTTTGCTGGCCCTTCGTGGGTGCCCAACTGGCATTCAGAACGTCTGCAACGCTGCTTGGGGTTGAATGATTATGGCACCAATCTCAAGTTTTTCAACGCTTCGGACAGAATCCCCATGACGGCGCTATTTCGACACAACGAGTTGGAAGTTACAGGTGTTTGGCTTGATCGAATCTTGAGTATCGGCCGTTTCTGTCGCCTCGAACGCCGCCACGAGTTGATAGATCCTAATTCCAGACTGTTTCAAGAGTATTTCGATTTCTGGACGAGCGTAGCCGCGGCTGAAAGAATCATGCCATATAGAGACAAAAAACATCTAGCCGAGACTATTGCCCGTACTCTGAGTCTTCTCGGCATATACCTGAACCCGATGCCTGTGTTAGCGGACATTCCAGACATGTTCTGTCGATGGTGTAGAGGCTCGAATTTAGGCAGGCAGCTAGCAGAATATGGACTCAAGCCCAAGAATGCTACGAACCTAGAGGGGGAAAGGGTCTTTATGGGGATGAGGCGTCTGACGGCTTGGGAGCCTTTCATCACTGAAAGCGGCTTCATTGGTCTTGCTCGAGGGAACAGCAGTGTGGGCGACGAGATTTGGCTCGTTGGCGGCTGCAGTGTGCCTCTTCTCTTGTCTCCGCAGACAGAGGATCCGGCCGGCTTCAAGGTCAATGGCGAAGTCTTTTTCGACGGCTTCATGTTTGGAGAGGCAATGAGGATGGACGAGTTTGGAGATACTTCTGTGCAACAAATCACTTTAGTATGAGCCGCGAGAGGGATTGCTTGCGTAGTGGATGCTTACCAAGGTGCAAAGTACGTACGCCGTATCTGACTATGGCTTTTGTAACTTGCAGAGGGACTCTTTTCCCAAAAAGAGGAGGAACACTGGGGAGGCATTGAACCAGCATCAACATCAGTAACTACCTTGAGTCTCCAGTTGGGTTTCAGGAAGCGAGAGATACCGACAGATCTCGACCGACTAGGTTAGTAGGCAGGCAGATACAGGAGGATAGTCAGGTTTGTTGCTGCCGGGAGGATCCAAGGGGCGGATATATCGGCAGCTGTGGCACCTGAATAGCAGGTGCCCTGGTGTGATGACGGATTTAGGAAGGACGCCGGGCTTTCATCTGTTCTCCCCCTCGAAGCTAGTGGGCGCGCGTTTTCTTCCCTCAACAACTCTTCTCCCCAGACGCGTTCTCCAACTCTGTCTCTCATATCTTCAACGCGAACTCTTTCTATCTCCCAAAGTCGGTACAGAAAATACTGTTTCTGAGAAGCTCTTTGTCCCATCCCCTTTTTTCCCGCCTCTTTTTGAACAGTGTTGTGGTATCCTTAGCTGCATAGCTGTTCAGGAGACGAGCATTCGCTGGTCGGGCTGAACAGTGCCTTTTGCAAGATCAAAGGTGAGCAAAGGCTCTTTGAACAATATCTGAAAGTGACTAACTCTGATGGTGATTCCAGTATCAAGACACTTTGTTGCACATCTCCACATAGTTACCCAATTGACTGATGCAACTGTCGCAAACTGCCTCCACAACGGTGGCATTTGCGTCATTCCACAGGTATGAATAGCTCTTATCTCTACTATTTGATGATTTGGTGCTGACAGATCTTTGCCTGGTAGATGCCTCCGATTTGTTGGAAAGACTTCCAGCAAATCCAAGCAACCTCAAGCATTGGCCGGTGCTTTACCTTGGCTGCCAACTGCCAAATCACAACAAGCCTTTCGAAACAGACTTCATTGCACTGGAGCAGCTGTCATTGGAGCCACAAAACGGATTCAGCGGCATGTTGGACCCCTCTGTCACCAGTCCCATTCAGCAGGGCGAGTTCACTTGCTCCTAGCATCAGCCGCCATCATTGATCCTTGGACTCCGGCTCCTTTACTGGGGTCTCTTCCCGATGCCACGCCCTATGAGCTCATGAGCTCATGAGCTCTCCGCTGCGAAACACCATCGACATTAATAGCCAAGATACATCCCCCATGCTGGGTCCTCCGGCGGGCGCCTTGGTCTGGGGCTGCGACGCACCCTGGGCAGAGATTCCCACACTCAATATCATATTCAATTGCATTCTTATTTTATATACTTATCAAGGCAGATATGACGCATTCGCGAGACATTTTGCAACAAAAGAATGTCGAACTGGCGGAGGCTCTTAGAGATAAAAATCGCAAGCTTTACTTATAGCATCTTTATAATATCACAACAACAGTATCCTTATCACAGGCATAACCCTTCTCTATCCAGGAGCACCGTTTACCATCAAAATCAGAGCCGTCACTCTGCTACCCTGCCGTCTGCTTCTCAGAGTGGCGGCCCTGCTCACCGACCAACCTTAGCCGTCCTTCGCCTCGATTTCCCCAATGTCTCGGATTTCCCGCGGGAGGGATGGCGTAGGGGAGAGGGAAACGGCTCGGGCTCTCTCAAGGCCTGGTTGCAGCACGTGCAGGCAAGCGACATGTACAATGATACATCACGGGAAACCGAGGAGACTCTGTGGAAACCGGCCCTTAGCGGACGCTGCAATGGTTGATGCTTCGGTCTCCGGTCCCTCTACTGGGGCTGTCGACGCCACAAGTTATGGCACGGCGGAGGGCAGCCCTGGGAACTCACCAAAACTTTGTTTTACTATCATCTTGAGTCGTGATAGTGTTTCTATTACCGTGTCTCTTTTGTTGGGCCTGGAAACTTGGGCGGGGGATGATGGACTGTTAAGAAGAAAAGAGAACTGCGACTCTCAATGCTCTGTTTGAGAAAGCCACGGCGGCGGTTGGCCCAGATCTCAATGCTGCTGAAAGAGCTCTCCCTTCCGGCGGGATATCTCCGCTCTCGATCTGTCTTATATAGCCACGCATCTGTGGTCGAGTGGAAGTATCCGCTTCAAATTCTCGTCGAGGAGAATATTGCATCATCCCTATTTTCCTACTCGCCGAAGCTCCCACCTATCGAATCTTCTATGCCTCCGAAGACGTATCTTTGGACGAGATCATCAAAGAGCTATCTGGGGAGGAGGCTAGAGGAGGAGCCAAGGAGGGAATGATTTCACTTGGGATTTGTCTGGGGATGTTGCAGGTGCATATCACAAAGTAGATGGAGTTTTGTAACACACGCAAAGCAACAGTAGTTGTGAGATGATGTCAATCCAATATAAGTATTTTACATTAATACTTGGCTTTTGGCATTCGGGCATACTCCTTGGCGCAGCTGTAACAGCATCCATGGTCAGCGTCAGCCTCCCGATGTCCATTTAATCATGGCTCTCATCGACGCCAATATTTGGCCGTGATGGGAGGCTAGGAGAACCAACGCCGGAACCAGTTTTTCAGAGAGCCCCAAAGACTCCAAGCTGGCGGCCGTTGGATGCCCTCATTTCTCAATTTTTGAGCCTCGTCAAAGTACGACGAAACACTCTTCATCACCTCATACCAGCGATAAACTATTCTCAGCCAACTTCCCTCATTATTTTGCTGTGGCTCCTCTGTCTCGTACGTCTCCTTTGCTCTCTCTTTTTTTGGCATCCAAACCAAGGCGGAGTTTTTTTTGTACACAATAGCACGATCATTAAATATTTTGATCTCGATTTCGGACTGATGCGCCACGAGGACTTTTCCAGCTTCTGTATCTGTCCATGAAACAACATTGATATCATCTCTCATAACCTGAAGTTTGATAGGCTTGCAATTAGCGTATCTGCCACGAATCAGATCTTTCAATACATCACTCCTCTGTTTTCTGTGTCGCTTCTTACTCATCACGGACGAGTATTGAACGTCTTCGATCTTTCCCTTAGGTAGGCCGTGATGGTACATGACGCCCCCCTCATATCGGCCAGGTGGGTTCAGAATCCGAGTAATGTCTGGCACATCAACTAGTTCGGGGATTTTCCGACACTCTTCTTCGAAATCCTCTTCCACGAGCCTGTCCCACATCGACGTGACGATGGTGATATACTTGAAGAATTTGGGGCCGCAGAGACATTCTATCCAGCGTACTGTCTTGAGATCGTGCTCCATGAATCTCATTCCGACCTTTCCAAAGACAAACATTACACCAGTGGGGGTCATGAACAAACCCAAACTGTAGAGTCAGTTGGGTACCGTTCATGATGTCTTGAGAAACTCTGTGACCGGCCGCGGTTAGTGTTCTGCATTAATTATCTAATTAATCCCTTATTTTTAGTTAGAAGTATCAACTCTCAGTATTATTATAGCAGATAGGGTCCTAGCCTTCTCTCGTGTAAACAAAAATGCAGATTCAAGTTGTGCATCATGTCTCCCAACATTAGAAAAGTCCACATCTTGCACGTTAAAGAAGAAAGTGAAATAAAAGAAAATTCTATATAATATCCCTCGTAGTCCTCTCGCTGGTAGAGTTTAAATAATCAACTATGAAGGGCATGCGTGTGCCCTGGCGTGAGGGGAGATAGAGATAGGGCTCCAATCTAGCCTCCAAACTCGACTCTGAAATTTCTCCCTCCTCACAGTATTCTGCCAGCTGCTCAAGGAACCACAGCTGTGGTTCAGCAACTACCGACCCCATAAACAGCAACCAAAAATACAAGCTTTCGGAAATTTCCATCTCTTCTGCAGAATGATGCTTTTCCTGGAGCAACAAACATAGCTGGCCAGCCGCGTATTGCGCGCTCATCTGTGGCCCCTTGGCGGCAATGGACCTCGAGATAAAGGTCAGTGTTGCAAAGCAGATGCAAAGGTGGGCGTGGGATATTTGTTCATCATGGATATGATTCAGAAGTCGACATGATATTGCTTGCAATCGCCTGAAGAGCCAGCCTTCCGCTTCAGGTCCAATCGACGACCAAGCCCATGCCTCGCTCGCGATCCGACAATAATCGACCAAGTCTCGAACCACGCTATGGAGCTCCTCAGAAAGCGACTCTAAGAGAAGACTCGTGCCAAGTAGAGGCAACACCGACTCTCCCGTTATGCCGAGCTCCTCACGAATCGAAGGAGGCAATGGCCCCGGGTCCCAAGTGATGGGAATAACGAGTGGTCGCCCATGGCTGATGGCCATGTATCTGTCTGCCATTACTACACTGTCCAAGATGTAGGGATTAAACTGTTCCCATCCACCAGCATTTTCAACGATTTGGAGTAGTGCCTTGAGATGCATCCGACAAGCGGCAAACCCGTGAGATCCCAGCATGGAGACCATGGCGTGTCTCTGCGGCGATCGCTCCCACATGACCGGCAGACCGTTCCACATTTCCGTCACTGCAAGAGCATACATGGAGAGCAGAAGCCAGTCGTCGACTATGTAGCCGGGAGTGGCGAGATAATTTCTCACAGCACGAAGGGCCTTGTCGAGAAAGTATTCTGGCTGCTTTGCAGAGTCGAAGCGGCCCATCATCCAGCCCAAAAGGCTAGAGCCGTATGCAAGGGTTGAGTACATGAGTTTTTCATCTTCGACACATCGTTTTAGACGAAGCTGAAACATTGCATCGTGCCGTGTGGGGAGCTGATGCAGGAGCATATATGATGGGGCAAAAGATTCGGCGAGGAAATTTGCTCGTGATGCCTGGGAAAAGGTAATATGAAGGATAGCGTGGGTGCCGGCATCCATATTTGCTATTGTGCAGTGAAATGGATCCGAAGAATTATACGAGGGCTTCAAGGTTGTTGACAGGGACTGCAGTTTCTGGTTGTCCTTCTTTTCCCTCTGCTTCTTGGGGTTTGATTCCTCGACAAAGGCGACAAACTTCACCCTCACCGCATTTATCTCAGAGCCTTTCGAATCATCCGATGTTGGTAAAGTGGTGATGAATTTGGACCATGGTTTCGTTCGGTGTGATACTTCAGCCTCGTGCTTGCGTCGGTTATTCTGCACATGGCTCAAAATGGCTGATCGTTCACCCGCCTTGCTTCTGGACAAGACTCTCGACGTCTGCGTCTTATTAACAAACAACAGCGACCCATCCATAACGGCTTAGGGCTTTTTGTCAATCTCTCAGGCGCGCCGCGTCCCCCACAAGAGCTGCACGAGCGCGATAGTCGGTGCTAATAAGCGCCAAAGCGCTCGAGGTTGTCTGAGGGCATCATGAGCAACAACGTCGGCAGCGCCGGCGGCTGAGCTTCTGCCGCTTAGTCTTGAGGCCCCTGGTTAGAACACAAGCCCCGCGGCTGTACTCTGCGTCAGGAGCCGACCGTTAAGAATCGGGCTGTAACGCATGACGGAGGATTTTAAAGGATTTCAATGGAGAAGACGCAGAGCTAATGCAATAGCTGATTACCGTTTCTGGGACATACAGTTCCTATTCGGGAATGACTCCAAGTCGGGCCAACATTGCACCGCAGGGACATTTTGAGGACCATGTTGAGATGATTGGAGGATGCTGGGATTAGAAGGGGAATAACAACGTGGTGTTGATCGGTTGGCGGCACAATGGGGGCTGTTGTTTACCCAACGACATGGAACCTGTTCCTGACCGGAGCGGCAATTGAACCGACAAAGGATCTGAACAACTGCAACATGATTCCCGACTGCATGGTTTATGCCAATTTGGCAAGTTACACTACTCTTTTGAGAAAGGACCTAGATTTCAGCGCCTCGAACTTTTAGATGTGATCCATCGTGTAAGAAGCTTCCGTCAAGGTATTGAAATCGCGAGAGGCGAAGGTAAGTTGAAGATGGGATATAAGAAGTTAGAAAAGTCTGGTAGGAGAGATGGAAAAAAGGCATCACCATCAACTCAAATAACAAAAAGACAGGTCAATTGATTCAGCATCTACATTAATATTCTCTTCGTTCTGGTATTTTGGCTCAATTCGGCGAACAAGTTTCAACCGCCATCTTCATGATGCGTCAAGTCTTCCTTGGCAGCTTCGTGCTATCGGCTGCTCTAACAGCCAACGCAGCTCCAACCAACACCGGTTCTAGTTGTCTCCCTGTCGTAGACTTGGGCTATGTTTGTCAACCCTCTTTCCATAACCAGCTGCCTTTCCAAATCCACTAACATTTTATTTCAATGACAGGAACTCCATCAAGCTCTCTCCTACAACAGCACCAACCAACTGTACACGTTCCAAAACATTCGATACGCTCAGCCTCCCGTTGGAGACCTTCGATTCCGCGCTCCAGCTCAGCCGAAGACCAATCGAACGGCCATCCAAACAGGATCTGAACTGCGATTCTGTCCTCAGGGTGTTCCAGTTTGGCAGGGCGACGCATTCGAACCAATTGGAGAATATTCAAACCCTGCCAACCCCTTTAGCCTGCAAGCCTGGGAAACAAGCATCCAAGATGGTCAGCCTCTGCCAGTTGATTGGAATAAAGGTGCCAGTGAGGATTGTCTCTTTCTCGACGTCCATGTGACTAAGAAGACACTACAAAAGGCTGGGGAGAAGGCATGTGGAGACGAAGGCTCCCCTGTCCTTGTCTGGGTAAGCTTAATTCACCCTTGCCTCTCTCTCAAATGTGAACAACTCTCTTGAACAACCTTCATTGACACTGGTCTGCAACAGATCCACGGAGGTGGCTTCGTCCTTGGATCCAAGACGGGAACACCCACCCCCGGCTACGACCCAGTTGGCCTTTTCCAGCACGCTGCCGCAAACTCTGATGATGGTCTCGTGTTTGTCGCTCTCAACTATCGTCTAGGCGCGGTTGGATTCATGAGCGGTCCTGATGTCGAAAAAGATGGCAATCTCAACGCCGGCCTCCTCGACCAAAAGTTTGCGCTGCAATGGATTCAGGATAACATCCACTTGTTTGGAGGCTCCAAGGAGAAGGTTACCGTCATGGGAGAATCTGCTGGTGGTGGTTCTGTCCTCTTCCACTTGACTGCAGAGAACGGCAAGGGAGTAGGTCTGTTTTCCAGGGCTATCGCGCAAAGCCCGGCCACTATCCCTACTATGCAGGTTGCGGCGGATAGCTATAGCCAATTTCTGTCCTACCTCAACGTGAGTAGCTTGGAAGAGGCCCGTGCTGCAGATTCGCAAGCGGTTATTGCTGCCAATGCCGCGCAGATCGGAGCGGCTCCCACCACGACATACATCTTTGGCCCTGTCGTTGATGGCAAGTACATCACTGGTTCGCCTACCAAGATGATCAAAGAAGGACAGTTTGACAAGTCAGTCAAGGTGTTGGCTGGCCACAACATGTTTGAGGGTGCCTTCTTCTTTGATCCTAACATCACCACTGATGCCGAGTTCAAGACTTGGACTAACCGGTCGTTCGCCGGACTTACGAGCAAGGATGTCGACACGCTTGTCACTTCGCTGTATCCTCCACATTTTGATGGTTCTCTGGGTTATGTTGACCAAGACACTAGACAGATGAAGCTGTGGAGTGAGGCTGTGATTGATTGCAACTATTATTGGATTGGACATGCCGTCCAGAAAACAGGATATGCTTGTGAGTATTTAACGTGTCATTTATCCTTTCTTTATGAGCGGTTTGACTAACTAGAACGTGTGATGCAGACGAGTTTGGTGTTTCTCCAGGTTTCCACATTCAAGACCTCCAGTACACCTTCAACGATCCTTCTACTCCAGCTCCATGGCCCAAGGCCCAGGATGCCCTCCAGGAGGCAATCATCACTTTTGTCCAGGGTGGTGTTCCCGAGTTTAGCAACCACAAGGCTTTTCCCCATCTTGGATCTCACAGCACGATTGTGAATATCACTGCTCAGGGACCTGTTCAGGCAACAAGCAAGGTTAATGCAACTCGATGCGACTTTTGGGCAAACATCTATCAGTGATATGACGATGTGTCTGATTGGACGTCGCTGTTTCAAGAATAACTAGATTGAGAAAGATACGCTATTAATATGGGTAGAAGGACAGGAAATAGGCTTTAATGGGATGGGTTTATGGGCGCTCTCTTAAAATAATTTTTGCTATTTGTTTGAAATTAATTGAATTGCATTTATAGATGGATTTGTCCATTGATTAACACCTTTCTTTCACCAACTGAACTGCATGAAGAATTATTGCTTTGCATCTCCGCTGCAAAGGCTCTTAGGCGAATATTTGGCTCAGCCACGACACGGATCAGGCAGAGTGGCTGAGTGGTCTAAAGCGTTAGACTTGAATCATCAATTCGATTCTCGCTATCTAATACCTTCGGGTGCGCAGGTTCGAACCCTGCCTCTGTCGCTTTCTTTTTTTGCATTTTACACAGAATAATAATGATCATCGCATTCTTTTTCTTTCTCTTTTCTCCCCAATTTTTGCTCTATTACTTATAGCTACAGTTTATCCCTTCGGAATCCCTTCCTATATCAACCATAGGAGCCTAGCTTATGGCTTGTTATAGCCATTATAAGATAAGTTACATACAGTCTTACACCAAGTATCAAAATTATAAATGTCGTACAGAGAAAGCTGCTTTATTTAACTATAGACGCCTGAAAAAACCAGCTTTAAGCAACTATTTAAATGGATACCATATAAAATGGTAAGAAAGTAATGCCCAAACCCCCTCTACTAGTTAATGTATGCAGCATAGTTACTATCCTCAGACAGAACAACGTAGCCAGACGCCAACCCTCCAGTCTGCTCCGAGCATTGGGCATTAATAGCGTTCCAGTAGTTGATCAAGTTCGGGACGCCAATGTCTAGACTTTCCCCGGTACCAGCCTGAGTGACACCAACGCCAATTGTCGCGCCCTCGACGGTGAGTTTGTAGCCCGAAGGATTGACCTGGAATGACTGCTGGCCTTGGCCCCAAGTTGTACCGAAGAATGCTTCGATAGCAATGGTGGCTTGGGTATTGGATGTTTCGCCGGCAGCGCCGGTGCAGATGATTGGGTATTGACGGGCGACGAGAGGTGAGGCAGAGCTTAAAGCAAAGAGGCCAAAGACGGCGGCGAGAACATGGGAGGAATACATGATTCTAAGGTAGATAAATATCGAAACGCTTGGAATGTTGATCAGTTATTTCACCTTGTATAAATGCATCACCCCAAGACAAACTCTCTTACATACCTTGTTAAAAGATGATCTTTGGAAGTAAGAAGTGAGAAGCTATAGTGATGTAGTACTAGAGTGAATGGATGATGTTTATGCTTGTGGTTTATCATCTTCCTCGAGCCAAGGACTTCTCCCTTTTATAGATGATTGCTTTGTATGAGCATCAATAACAGTCACGATATTTACGAATTGGTCTACTTCACGGCAATCGGCAAGTCTAAGCCATCGTAGGATGCCGAAGGATGCGTTACTACTGCCGCTCTAATGCGTTGTCGTGGGATTTTACTTGACTACTATAACCTTGCTTTTGTTACGACCCTACGCGGTCTTTTAACCAAAGGCGGAAGCTTACACAACAGCGGCTATTTTTACTTTTTTATTTCCAGCTGTTGTTGTGCGTTGAGCTCCGGGTGATGGCGAGGGCGCTGTGTTGAGCAGAGACGTTTCGCACTCTACGTCCAAGTATCACAATGGCTTTTGCGTCTATGCCTTTATCCTCTCAAGCGGAGGTCAGAAAAAGCGAGACCGCAAAATGAATAAGTGCATGCATTCAGTAATATGGGCACCCAATTAGCTCAATAAGGAGCCTGTGCTTTTGTAGGGGAACACCTATTCAGCCAGCACCCGAATTTTACTACATAGCTACAGTAGCAGTTACTAAATAAATATAGATATAGTAGCAGCTATTAAAGAAATATAGATATAGCAGCATCTATTGAAGGAATATAGATATACCAGTAGCTATTGGGAGATTGTAGATATAGTAGTAAATACTAAGGTAGCGAAATTATAGCTATAGTAGTAGATACTTATGAACTAGGCGTATAATTTAACGCGTGGGTGTTCAAAATCTTCTCAGTCTTTTTGTCCTCTGCTTGCCTGTTATGGAAACCCTTTCACAAACAATGTGATAAAGCTGTCCGAGCTGTCAAGGCCTACTGGGCACAGGCCGTCAACATGACTGCGGCGGATCAACAAGAATACGCCGACCTGCTTGCAGACAAGGCATTCTACATCGAGCCGTCGGCGATGGGCAAGCCATCGAACCATCGCACCTCTCATCTCAGCTCTTGTCTTCAACTCCAATCCTTCGTCCATCGACGGTCAGCTCTGTCCCCTTCTGTCCCATCCTTGCTCTCACGACCAGAAGCTTGTCTGCATCTTCCCCTAGATCTCGCTCGACCAAGAATCGGCTGTGCGTAATCACCACAACCCAACCTACTGTCTGTGACATGAGCCCGCACCACCGGACTACAGCCGCTTGACCTGCCTCATCAAGACTGTCAAAGACCTCGTCGACGAGTAGGTAGTGGGCTCGGTGGGCGCTTCTAGCCCACGACAGTTGCAGCAGAGCAAAGTAGAGCGCAAGATCGACGCGCTTACGTTCACCACCAGAGCGCTTGCCGTAGGCGAGCGAGGCGTTGACAGCAAGGGTGCGATCTAAGACAGGTCCTGACGTGGACAAGGATGAATCCGTAGCGCTGTTGACAGAATCAGAGTCAAACAGCGAACGTAGCATTCCAGTCGCCATGTCGCGCGCGTGGCGTGTGTCATCATACAGCATTGTAAGGACCTGGACGAGCAGCGTATTCAGCTCTGAAATTGTCTTTCCGAGGACATGGTCGCGGTAGTTGGCCGATGTTTTCGCCTTGGATCGAGTAGAAGAGGCTCGAGGTGTTCGTTTTGTCAGAGCAGCAGACCAAAAGTCGAAGAGCTCACGGTTGGCGTTGAGCTCTTTATATGTAGTCGCCAAGGTGTCGTGTTCTGATCGTAACGAGTTCAGAGACGACTGCTCGTCTTTGAAGGATTTCGCGTACATGTTTGCTTCTTTTTGCTTGAGCGTAAACTCCTGTCGCTTCTCTTCACATGCCATTTGAGCCCGAATGACTTGCGTGAGCTGCTTCTTGATCATGACGACTTCTTTGATAGCGAGCTCTTCGAGTGCAATGATTTTATCGGCTTCGTGGCTTAGCCGCTGTAGCCGCGACGTGCTATTATTGATATCTTCTCTGAGACTGTTGATGATGGCCTTTACGTTATGATTCTGAGCGCTGGTTACCTGAGAACCGTTGCCTGAAATTCCGGATATGCGCAAGAGGCTCCTGACGGCCATTAATCGCAGACGGAGGATAAACATCTTCGCGGCATGTAACAGTTTGCTAAGGCCTACGATGTGAGTATCAGACATAATTTCCAGTCTTTGGCTTATTTGACGCTGTAGCTGTGCAAGCCATGTCGTCGGTTCGGGTGGCTTTTGTTTCTGTATCCGAGCATACAACTTCTCCAACCGTTTCAAGTTCTCATATTCAGTGGTGAGTTGATCCTGCAACGTCGAGATCTCTGCATGTTGGTTTCTGAATGATGTATTTCCCTCGCTAGAATGTACTCTGTTCACCCGTAATTCGGCAGTTGCAAGCTCTTGCACAGCTGTCGCCAAGGGGGCGTCAGCCTCCTCCGTGTCCTTTTGTAGTTGCTTCCATGTTCGGTTCACCTCTGTGAGCCGTCTTTCCACGTGCTCCATGTGCATGAGCACTATTTTCAGTTTGCTCTGCACCTCAATCACATCGTTATCAATATCCTTGAGCAGCAATCTTGATACCTGGCCGCATTGATCCAGCATCGACAATCCAAGCGATGTCTCAATCAAGTTTCAGCAGTCTTTTCTGGCATTGTCGTTGACGACATCGTCGACAAGCAATCCGCTGCGAATGCACCGCCCGAACTGACACCAAACCATGGTCTCGACGAGCGTGCTCTTACCAGAGCCGTTATCTCCCACCAGGAAGGCCAATCCGCGGGGGAGATCCTTTCGAAAGTCAATAGTGATAGTTCCTTGGACGCCAAGAAAGTTGGTGATTGTGAGCTTACGCGGCTCAGCAACGAAGACGTGAGTTGAGGGTCCTGCCACCTCGGTAGCAGTCTTTGTCCCGACAGCTTGAGATGACTGTTCAAGGAAGTCTTGGTGGTTAAGCTCGGGTTCCTCGTCCTGATCTGTCATCTCTCGAGAAACTTGGATTATTCGTTGGCCAACTCGAACCAACTCGTGACGGCGGGAGAGAAAATTCTCGTCCAATTCCAGCGATTCGACATACTTGCGAGCTTCCGCGGCGAGATCGAGTTTTGCAGCGGGAGGTTCGATATTAGCATCGGTTGAAATGCCGTCTCTCGTCATATCTGGGATTTCTTCATCCCCAGTGAATGTCTCCGAGAGTTGCACAGCAGCATCACTCTCCGGGACCGATGCTCCTAGGCCACCGAATGTCGTGTGATCGGCGTCCAGGGCGAATCCCATGGGAGCCCACTTTCGCACGCTCCGCGCCTCTAATTGTTGTGAGGTCAGCATATCACGAGCCGTGATGTACTGTAGAAGGTTACGTTCGCCAACAAGCATGACATGCTTGTCAGCCACAGCACCTTTGCTAACTTGGCCATCAAGTACTTGCTGTATGTTGGCCGTTGTGTAACTAACAGCATGTGGGTTGACGAGCAGTTCATGCTCAAGCGTTTCCGGATCGAACAAGACAACGCCCCGCTGCTCGTCGTTGAGGTCTGCCCAGCTCAGCTGCAAGGGCGAGCCCAGGTAGGTGATGCTACCTTGTAGGTCAACATTATTGCGGATAGTTTGATGGCTATGAAAATGCCCTGTGAAGGTTCGGGCTAGAGAGGCGAACTGATCTGGGCCAGTTAAGCCCCGGTACGTTACAGAGCTCGTCACACGAGGCTTGTCGACGCCAGCATTAACCACATGCCGCTGCGTGATGGCCTTGTTGATTGCGAGATGGGCAAAAGCAACCGTCTTGCTCGCTTCGTTGGGACCCAGAGCAGCCACGACTTCTGTCAACTCGTTCTGATCCTCGCGGAATGGAAGTAGCAAGACACGCCGGCTGTCCCATTCCAAGGGCGGCGAGGGCCGTGGTCTGATAGTCACGGCGGTAAGAGAGGTCATGGTTGCCCAGCAGTATGTGGACTCGCGGCACGACGTCGCTGAGGCGGCCGATGAAGCGATAGCACGCGGACAACACATGCGTCAACTGCATCTTGCGGCTCGTTAGCAGGTCACCACAAACCACCACCCGCTTGACCTTGTTTCGCTCCGCCTCGGCCACGATCCATTTCGCAGTCTGCCATATCTGGTCCCGGTCATGATGCCTGAAATGAATGTCGCTGAGGAGCATCCATCGTACTGATCCTCGCATGGCTCATGGTGGTGAGCAAGGAGTGAAAGATGCCGCGAATTTGGGTGGCGAGAATCAGACGAATATTGGCAGCTAAGGGGTCAGGTTAGCCTTGAATCGACAGTTACCAGGCAGAGACGGTTGCAAATACCTTGTGCCTCGTATCCAAAAACTGGAGCTTGAAATTAAAATGTAATGTTGAGGGTTGAATGGTGATGATGCAATTCAGGCGATTCACTGAAGTGCGGGTTTGAACAGGCAGCCTTAGGCAGAAGCCCGCTAAATGGACCTCTATCACCACCGTTTGATGGCGATTGATATTCGACCGAAATTAATTTCCAGGTTCCATCTTACATACCTAATCAATCGATTCATGAATGAATTTTGCACAATCTCGATAGCGTGCATTTTCAACGCTGCATTGCCTGTTGTTGTTTCTCTCGAGCGTACGTTTACACTGTCGAAGCCGCTGACACCTTGTTTACCCTACAGTACTCAAATTGATTTCAACGATGTTCAGGAAGGAGCCAAGTTCAATGACGGCATCATCGCTTGATGAGCCAATCGAGAGGCAAATCGCTTATCGATATTGAGATAACGTTTACCGAATGCACAAACTTTCATTTTCTCTTCCACAGAGCAACAATTGCCTACAGCTTCTTTTCTTCGCGATGCCTTCATCTCTTCTTCTTACTCCGCATTCCCGCGCAAAAGCCTCGGCCGACTTAACCGTGCAGCATGAACAATCGACCCGCTTTCATAACTCCGCTGAGAGCATCTGGACCTTTTCCCACAAGCTAACAGGCAACTATTTCCACTTGACACAGCGCCTCTTTCAGCAGTAGTACGACAAGAAATCAGGATGTCCCTGCTTACACATGGCTCGACCCCACGCTTGTCAAACGGCTCGTCCGGGATCAGTTCGATTAGTTCAACATCTTGCCTCGTATCCACGCTGACCATCGATGTCCACTGGACTAATTAGGCAATGGCCGACTTAGTAGACGACGAACGACATACAAACTCCGTTGCTGATGCGTGGAGAGCAGCGATTTAAAAAGTGTTGACTGTCCGCCAGTGCTGGTCTGCTTTCACTCGCGCCAAAATCCAACTAGCCAATACTCTCTCGCAACTGACGGAAACCTCCGAACCAACTCCTCTCCAGCCACGATGAGTGAGATTGACAGCGAAGAATTCGGCGAGTTTGACGAAGGCGATCGCCTCTCTAGTCTTCTGAGCCTCTGCCCGCGCTATGTCATTGTCCCTGCGAACCCCCCAGATGGCATCGCTTTTGCTATGACAGGAAACAGCCAAGAGTGGGAACACTTGACCTATCAGCACTCTGGCATCTCAAACTGCAAACCCGGCATCTGGAAAGCAGAAGTCAGAAAGGTTCCTGGAATGGAACTGGGAAATGCTGATTTTGAAGCATGCCTTCGGTGGGTGGCAGATTTGGATGAGAACACTGAGCTCGATTTTGCAATTTCCCTTGATGCGTGGCAGGCCTGGGAGCAAATGTTCAAAGATCAGTTTGACGATTCTGTCGAGTGGGGTGAAGGCGTGACCTGGAAGCATGGCGGCACTTACTACGACGATGGCGGTCTCTTCAATGTCATTTCCACAGCGTATCTCACAACTGATGCAGCCGCTGCCATCACAGAGGGGGAATATACCGAGGACGATGGATATGACGGGTATCTCGAGATGATCACCCTCAATGATAACCCCATCAACGCGGAAGACCGTATCGGAAACTACGGCTTTACTTTGGGAGGGCTTCATTGTAAGTTCTGGTTTCAGAGTTGATGACCGAGGAACAAGTACTGACTCGATTCCGTCTACCAGTTGGTCAAGATAGTATTGGCGGGCCGCCTGCGATTGCTTTGGCTGAAAAGGATGGCCAAGTGGTCGGAATCAAGCTTTGGTGCGACGATGACGAGATTGAAGAGGGCACTCCGTTTGACGAGCAGCCTGGCAAGCTTGTCTTTTAACGGCGATTGGGTGTGGAGCTTACAGCGCTGATATTCTTTTTCTTTTCTATTCATGGGAAACGCGGTTGAAGAATGTGAGGGGTTTCTAAATGATACAACTATGCAACGCTTTCAAAACCTCAAGTGCTATTATACACAGTCCCGAGCCGAAACGACTCGAAACACCTTCATTTCCGACTCCGAGCTATGCCGTGCTGATTTGTCGTCTATCAGAGGCAATAGTTGCTTCTGACATGCTAACTGTCTCCAGCAATCACCTGAGCAGCTTGTTCGGCAACATTGTATTCGAATACTTTACGCGACGGTTTCGCCGCCATGTTGGGGAAGAAGCCTGTGGAGATTGTAAGCGGCAACTCAACATGATTGCTCGAAATGACAACTACTTACCAAGAAGCTTGAAGAATGAGTACATTGCGTACTCCCGGATGATACCCATGTCGCGCTTGGTATTCTGAATCCTCTGTGCATTCTCCAATATCTCTGTGACACGCGGCTTGCGGAGGTTGATGTATTGCCTTGCGGCCTTGGTGACGGCTTGTTTCTCAGTGACGGAGCCGCTTGAGTCTGCTCGGCCAAGCTGATGTGCGAGAAACATCACAAAGGATTCGCAGTCCTCCAATGCCTGAGAGACGCCCTGTCCGGAACTCGAAGGGAGGGCATGAGCTGCGTCTCCAACTAGGACAACTCCATCACGCTCCCAGGTTGGCAGCGGTGGCGACGTCCAAGTGGGATACATATTTGTGACTCGAGCAGATTTGATGACTCGCTGAATGACTGGATCTTTCCACTGGGCGTGTCTCTCGCGCAGCCGGTTGGAGACGTCTTTCATGTCGAGAGTACTGCGATCCGGGCACTCTTGGATTTCGTATGTGGACCACCAAGCCAGAGTCTCACCCGGCTTAGACACGGCGTAAGGAGATTCGCGGTTAGTATCCGAAGGGTCGCTGTCCGAGAAAAAGTATCCAAAGAAGCCATTGCCTCCAAAGATGAAGTTCATGGATCCATTCTCTACAAATTCTTCCAGGCCGGCTGCTGGGATGAAACCTCCAATGCCGACAAGGCCCCTTTGCAAAACACAGGCAGTTAGTACGGGATGATACATATAACGAATGCTGTGTACTTGCTACTCACTCATAATGGGGAGGATATGGATCCTCTGACGCCTCGGGAAATAGAGCTCTCTTGACGATTGATTTGACACCGTCGGCACCAATCACTAAATCTACCTCTACAGGGTCGCTTCCGTCAACAAATTGGACAATGTTTCTACCATTCGGGTTGGCAACGACTTGCGACACTCGCTTATTGACAATGGCCGCGTCCGAAATGCGAGCACGCAGAGATCTCCAGAGTGCATGACGACTACATGCCACCATGTTTAGCTTTTTCGGCTCACTGCCCGACTCGCTGGTAGTGGAGATGTTGGCGTCAATGGACATGAGCAAACTACCGTTTTTATTCTTCATGTTGGATCGCGCTGTGACATATCCGTGGCGTGTCACATCTCGGAGGATGGCTTCATCAAGACGCTGAAGTACACCGAGCCCGTTGGGTGCGATGCCCACTCCGCCGCCGACAATGAGCGTGGACGAATGCGTCGGTCCTTCTTCTCGATCGTCTGACGTGACATCTTTGCCTGTATCGTAGGCCTCATATATTGTGATTTCGTGGTCTTCAAGGGACGAGCTGCTCTTGGGGAGATGCTTCTTCAGTTCGAGGTACACTGCACATCCCGCAATGCCAGCGCCTATGATGGCAATCTTCATGGTGGCCGATAGGGTGTCAAGGTTTGAGTGCTGAATTATAGGAAAATGCCTCTTATGATTGTATGGTTGGAGATACAAAGAGATGGCAAGAAGGATAAAGATCAGAGATATATATGCATCCCCTTTGCGGTGCTGCAAATTCACAGCCCAAAACACCAGGCCGGCTTCACTACACCAAAGCCGCATCATCTCGGGAGAGCTTCATGATCAGTGGAGCCGCTAAATCGCAAAGCTAACCGAACAGAGCCAAGCAAGACTCCGGAATCGATGCGCATAGGCCAGGGATCCATAACAAGGCCGCCTAATCAAACATTGAGTTTGATCCAGGTAAATGGGTTGTTCTTGTTTCTCAGGACCAAGTCCAAACCAGTGGCAATAAGAGAATATTTCTCCGCACCCCAGGTTCCAGCAGGATGAAGGAGGTTACCCTGATTTACCAACTTGGCTAGTGTTGCGATGGGCAAGCCACTTGCGGTGGCAGTGCCATTCTAAGTGCCATAGGTTGCGCCTCCCATCAACGTCGTTCTCGGAGAAATTGCAAGTCGACTAGTTAACGGATCCGTCAAGCTGGTGCCAAACAAAGGAGTTTGGTATCGTGTAGTTGTGTGGGTTTGTAAAGTGGCAGCCGATGTGTTTCACTGCCTTCATTCGACGGAGTAATGGTCGAGAATATGAGCCGCCACATCGGCAAAATATTCGTGAGATGGCGCAGATATGTCGGCAAAGCCTCTGTTTTGACTGGTTTGTCCCTCGAGTATCTCGACAGCCAATTTCCTTTGCCGCGGAGAGGGACCCCATAAGGCAACGGTCTTCAACTGCTGGACTATCATGATGGAACTGCGGCCCAGTACGGCGCTAGGTGTTGCATTCGTCATTCCGTGTGCGGATAGGATTGACTCCGTATGATGCTGGATTCGTGAGTTATATGAAGCTGCTGTAGGGGAAACAAGGCACAATAGACGCAGCACGATGATGTTGGCTGTATCGTAGAGCGTGACTAATGCCGCTGATGGAATGTCGGTATATGGCAGCATGAAGTGACGTGGATCAGATGCGTCGGGCTGAGCATCAAGGATAGGAGCTGGCCTCTCTCGTTCTTGTTGTTCTTGCCCAACGGTGTACAAAAGTCCCTCTAAGCGCCATTGGTGGATCTGTAGCCGGGTATCCTGGATGAGGATGTCGAGTTTGTGCTTCAGCTGGTGTGCTTTGTCGGCTGTGGACGCGATTAGGCGGTTTGCAACTGACAAGCATCTCTCAACAGCAAAGAGAATGTCAACAAGCTTGTCGAAAATGAGTTTTGGATGGACCTTGAACGGAATTGTCATCCACTCTGGCGAGGCAAACGGGTGAAGCTCATTCTCGGCCATTGACGCTACAAACTGTCTCAGAGAAACGATATTAGCATTGTTTCTTCGTCACAAGAGGACTCGAATTTGCAAGAGAAACAAAACACACCGTCTGAAGCCGCAGATGGCTGAATATCTGATGCAAAAATCCGCTTTGGCAGCGTTCGGGTCCCTGCGCTTCCAGCAACGAAGCCGCACCTTTGATGTGCTTGAGCCATGCCCTGGGACTAGTGCCCGCCAATGTCTCAAAGTGGGTGAGCATGACGGCTGCACACACAGATGTCTCTGGAGTGGATGACCCCAATAACAATCGCAAGCTCTGCAGCGCCCTCATGTACCATCGGCAGGCTTCAGTTTTAATAGACGCATCTCCGACAGCGGTGCCGTAGCTGAGCATCGACGCAGCCCGGATGGAGCTTTGAACGGGAGACGGAGACGGAGAGGCGAGGAAATCAGGGAGCTCGTGCAACCAAATCCTAGAGCTGCCTCCCGGTATAGGTAGAGGCGGTCTTACGGACCCAAAGAAACCGTCGATGAAATGGGAGACGAAGAGCTGATCAAAGGCACCGGCTGGAGACGGTTGTAGCCCTGGCAGCTGTGAGAGATGATGGATGGCGCTGATTTGTGGCGATGGCTCATGCTTCACCTTGATAAGTGTGAGAGCATTAGATGAATCACGCAACGAAGCGCCTGGGACTGCGTGGACGAAGAAGGCATCTGTGCGAGCTCCGGGACATTTCAAGCCCATGTTGAGACATCGCAGACACTCTGGGAGAGTCTCATCACACTACAAGAACAAGGACGATATGAGTTACCAGGACTGAAGCTCTCATTATGGGTTGAATATCAACAGTTAACAAGCGCACCTTTACTCTGCGCTTCCGACATGTCGCGCAGCCTCTACTTCTCCCGGCGACATTGACCATGACGGCGACTCTTCGACTATCTGCAAGTCATGAGATACAGCTTTTTGTCATGAGTCTCGATCAACTCACTTTTCGATTGTACGCGATTACACTAACAAATGGGATTGATGCTAAAACACCACGATCCGAGGATATCCCGGCCCTCGCCAGGCACACACTCACCTTCCAGGGATCTTCAGGAGAAACCCTGTCTGCCTCGCCTCGCCTTGCCTCACTCTAGTCTCGTGCTGTTACTGCAAAGAACAAACGCACCATCAATCAGCCCTTCTCATCCTATCCCCGAACCGGATACGGTCCAACAGCTTCACCACCAGCTTCTCATGCTCACCCCCTGACCTGACCCTTTTTCGCCTCTTAAAGCTGCAGACCGACAGTTGGCTATCCTCCAATGAGAAGCCGCAGGATGAGCTCCAGTTCTCCAAGCAATGCCTCCACCCAAACGACGATAGCCATGGGTTGCTCTGCCACGTCACTGGAATCGACAGGGCTGGTGCTGTTTTTGTTAGCACAGAGCACCAGCTAATGGCAAGGGAGCAAAAGTGGAGCGGCGACGGTCAGATGCATCTCTTGCACGCTTTTTGGGCCGCGAAGCTCGATTCCACGACGTGATGCGTGTATGACTGACTGCTTGCGACTCATACTTTGCTCCATCTCCCCGCGATTACGGAGCCTTGCCGTCGTTCATTTTCTTGCTCTCTGTTCTGCATTTGCGCTCCCGTCTTACCCCTGGATCTGCTTTCTCTTTCATACACACACACACGCATCGTACATATCGTAAGTCACCTGAACTATCGGTCACATCACCATGGGCGAAGACCTCCTCTCCTTTGTGTTCAAGGACAAACAGATCAAGGGCAGGGCCATTCGAGCAGCGGCAAAGCTCTTCGCCAATGCGGCCCCCATCGTCAAGACCATCGAGGCCGGCCATGGACTCATCAAGATTGGCGACACGCTGTCCAAGGCGAATGAGCTGGCCGGCAGGGTCAACGACTTTGCCCCCCGCGCAAACCAGATGGCCGACGGCCTCAACAGATTCATCCCCGCCATGCAGGTCATGGGCCAGTCCATGTGCGACAGCGCCAGAATCTTTGCGTATTTTAGCATGATTGCGACGACGGTCAGGATCGGAATGAACATGGTCCAGACGTACCAGGGGATTCAGGCGCTACAGCTCATCGCCGCCAAGCTACAGGATATTTCAGTCAGCCTCGCGGCGCAAACGGCTCTCATCGCCCAAAAGGAGTTTCCCGACTATGTGCACAGCATGATTCGGGAGCGGCTCATGCAGACGTCGGACGACGCAGCGGTAAATCACTGGTTCTTCCTCTGGCATCCCGACGACGATTGGTATCCCAAGTTCTTTCATCTCCTGGAGGAGAAGCCGCTGGGCACGAGGTTCTGCGGTTACACAAACCAGATTGACTCAGCATTCGTCTTTATGCTTGCAGCGAGACGGCGCATCACAGAGATGGAGTACAAGGCACGCCGGCGAGGACACCCCATGCGCCCAACGCGGCTGCATCTTCTGGTTCCAGCATATCAACCCATCCTCGTCGCCGAAGCACTCAAGATTCCCGAGGAGATTGGCGACTTTGTCATGGAGGGCCGGATCAACAGCAACAGGGAGTTTGTCTGGCTGAATCTGCCCGACGACCAGAGACACTATACCCTCAACATTGGCCAATGGATTCCGCCAAACCAGGGCTGGCTAACGTGGGCCGCGTCAAAGATTGGGTTGGGAGAGAAGTCACCCAAGTTACGTGAGCGCAGAGCTCTCGGCTACAGCCAGATTCCCTTCGAGATTGAGGCAACGCCTTTGCCTCAGAATGAGGACGATGACGGGAGCAGTACCCTTGTGAACCCCTCAATTGCACCATCCGAGGTCAGCCTCACTCTGCGAGAAGAATCAGACAGAGACAAGGATAAAGATAAGGATAAGGATAAAAGTCGGCGACAGTCAACACCATTGCATCAGCGTGAGCGGCGGCATCGCAGCAGTAGACGGAATTGAATACCACGAAGACAGTTTCAAGATGAAAAGAGACGGAGCATAGGCAAAGGATAACGGGGCAAGGAATGGTTATGGGTATACATCACTCAGTTCTCTTTTATTTTTCTTACATTTTTCTTTATTGCCATATCATGTTGCAAGTCGAACCCGAGACGGCACAAAGTCAGCCTGGAGTTGGAAAAGCCCAAGAGAGCGAATACAAGAGATCTGGAATCTCCGCGTCATTTCACACAAACAGAACGACAGCATCGGTTGGAGTAAATAGAATCATTTGACATGAGATTGCGAAATCATGAAAGATTTGTTCACAGCTTTATATATATACCATGAAAATTGTGCGGCCTCTTTTCTTCTTTCCTCGCTTTCCGGTTTTCTTACACTTTTTTTTAACTTGTAAATCATTATGGGAGATTTATTTGGCTCACTAACTCGACGAAGACTCTTATTTCCTTTGACGGATAAAAGACCAGTCTCCACAGCTGTCTTCCATTACTCTCCGTCATGCTGCTTACACCGCGTGGAGAATCAACTCCTAGATGAGCTTGCTGGAGGTCCAGCGACCATTCTGATCTCGTTTCATTGTTGCCATGATGCTATTTCCAGCTCCACACTTCGGCTTCGAGCTGCGACTCGTTTTCTTCAAGCTGATCCCGCAGGTGGTTGTGCGCATCTTGCAACGTGCCGTCCACGGACTTGTCATTGCAAAACTGAGGGGGGCACACCGGTTGAGTTGCTTCTCGAAAGCCTTTGCCGTAAACGCCAGCTGCTAACCGCATATGATGGTGCTGTGGTAGGTAGGGTTTGTAAAACTTGCGATGAGAGTATCGTCGTTGAACAAAGACGGATTTGCGACGACAAGACCGGCCAGAGTGGATAACTCAGCTGGGGAGGGACGCAAGATTGAGTTTGCTCAGGCGTTCATGAATGTCGTGGTCCAAGTCTACCCAAATTCACATTCGCTCCAAGTGAGATAGCTCCAGCGTACCAGAGAGCTAACGAGACGAATCTAAGAAAACGTCAAATCAGTGATCAAGGTGGAAATCATCGTTCAGTGTATCCGTAGACGCAGGTCGACTAGGCTTCAGAAATCTTTGGCTCGCATGCTCAGCGAGCCACTGGGCACGGAATGGGCAGCGCCACTGGCACCTTTCAATCTTTTTTTCACATGCTGCCCAACTGTTGATTTGTCACGTGGATCTGTGTGACCACTCTCCTCGGTCAAGCCTACCTTCTACATGCTCCTGTTTGCAGCTAGTTTTTCCCCTTTTCATAGCAAAATACAGAGAGTTTTACTCCTTCTCAGCTTCATCAGCTTTGTCACCAACCGAACTGGATGAAGTAGCTTTGAGCTCTGATATTTCGTCGTCGTTGGAAATGGGATCTCAAATTTGATAAGGGGATTTGACCGAGCCCGTGATCAGTTGATAGCTACCTCTCTCGTCATCCCCTCGATCTCTGTGGCCACCTAGGATCAGTGCCAGGCCCTTGCCCCCCCAATAATATCGCAGGCGTCGTTTTTCTTGATCGTTGTGGATGGCTGAGGGGTTGTGGCAATAAGGGGAAAGTGATGACATCGCGAAGGCCAGGTCCAACCACGTTTGAGTCATCGCATACATCAAACTACCAACACCAATCTGATAGTATAGTATAGCCATTTGCGAGGCCATCGTTTGGAATCATGCTTGACAAAATAGATGGTTCGATAGGCGTTCTTACGGACCTCGATTTGGTCCATCCCTTGATTCTGTAGGAAATTTTCCGCATGTGCAGTTTGACCTAGTTTAAAAGTCTTGTCGACAAAATTTCGTGTGAATCTGACGATTGGTGACTAATCTGGGCTTGACCCGGCTTCTGGGAGAATGGGTTGACGACCCTTGGTACGGAGACGTTGTGATAAACCTGATGGGTTGTGAGGCCTCGGATTGGGACCGGCATGACAGGAATCGCCTCAGGGATAGAGCCAAGAGGTTTTATTGGAACGATGGAAGGCTCTAGTACTGGGAACGCTCTGAAAGGTGGGTGACATGCCTGAGGGAGGAGGAGGTCCGACACGCCCTGGAGGCAGCACACGATAAAGCTGGATATTCCGGCCCTGACATCACGAAAAGGATCCGGGGTCCCTCAATGTACTTGATGTCGAGATTCAGCAGTCTCAGTTCCGAGACCCATCGGGCGTAGATACCTTCGTGACCGATGGACCCCAGGAATCGTGTGAGAGGTTTATGGTCAGTATGCACGGTGGACTGTTGCTGAGCTTTGAAGAAGTGATTGTGCCTCCGGTAGAATTTAACAATTGCGTACAATTCCCTCTTGTACGTTCCATAGTCCAAGATCTATTGGCGTGGGCATTGTAGCGTCAATAACGAAAATGTGCCCAGGTGAGAGGTAGAGATGCGTGTCTATGTGTTTGGCTGTTGAGACTTAGCAAAGAAGGTTCGATGTATGGAGATGAAGATGGAGATGGAAATGATAGAGATGGAGGAAGGAATCGTACAGCACCGGATATTGGAGCCCTCCCCTGGGTTGTATGATGGCGGATCCTCCTCCATACCCACTGGCATCTGAGTACATGTGACACGGGAGATCCCACTGGAAGCCGCTCACTTCCCGGGTGTGCTCTCCTCGACTGGGCTCAGCCTCCAGGACTCTCAGGGTCAGATTGCTGGGTTCAACAGCTTCCTGATATAAAAGAGGAAGAATCAAGACACGTTATCGCGATGAGATGACCCCAGCTGTTACAAGGGTCTCATGCTTTGAGTGACGAGGGCTCAGCTTGGTGATCAAATAGATCCGTAGCCTGTACTCGCGGCGTAGTCCTTATAGCGATCGGACGCGCTAGGTTTCTTGTTTTGTGTTTGATATCCCGCCCGGCCCTGTTAGAAGGTCCGTTCCCTAGCTCTCAATAGATAATCAGATCGTTTATCGGTTCCGTCAATCTGTCGATTCCCAAGCTTGGTATTGCTGCTTTCTTGGCCTGCTTGGAGAAAGGCGTCTTCAAGTCTGCCGTCTGTTCCTTGTCATCATGAAAAACATGGAGTAGAAACTTCACTAAGCCTGACTAATTAAACGGCAGAATGTGCAACATGTGCTGCTCAGAAAAAGAGCCAGGTGATGAAAGCTGAGGAAAACGCAAACGGATCGATGGTTTTTGGGAGATTGTTTGGACACATCGACTGGCGAAACGGCGACGGTAGATCTCTTGGAACCAAATGAAGCTAGTTTCCCCAGTTCTGAAAGAGTTATCAACACCACGACCATGTTCATCATTGCCTTAGAGCACGATGCAACCTGGTGGCCATGACCCGTTTGGAGACCACTTCTTCTTATCGACGGCCGCAGCCCGTTGGATCACTGTGAATCGATTGAAGCCCTGGAGTTGTTAGATTCACTATCATGTCCACCATTGAGCGCGGACAGTGTTGCATGTGATAGTTTTGATCTATTCTTGCTTAACAAGGAGATCTTGTCTTCCCATATCGACGGTAGCATTATTACTGTCCAGCTAGTGTAGAGGTTTTGTATCAGCGAACCGGCCTGTCCGCTAATCCTCTGCTCTGTTTCCACCCGCCGCACCGGACGACGCTTTTCTCAAGCGGAAATCTCATGCTCATTTGAAACCTCTGATAGTGCAGACCCGGTCACTGTATTCGAATTCGCCCCTCATAAGTCTTGTGGTACATACAGAAAAGTAGGTAACAGCGGGACTTTCGGACTTTCCGCCCAATTCAAAGCTACGACTTCCATAGGCGGTGAGGCGGGCGTTTAGCCTTCAGCAAGTCACACCACGTCGAGAACTACTGATCAATACATGGTCACCAGCGGCTCCATGAGAGGGCCACAGAGGCATCAGTGTGCGCAGACTTTGGAAGACAGAGCAAGAAAGGGGGATATGTCGTCCGAGTTCTATTGTGCCATTATTCCGAGACACGAAGCCGAGTTTGGACTGAACGCTGTGGCTGAGCAGCAAAAGTGGCAAGTCGGTTTCTCGGAAAATCAAGTCTGAAAGCCTCTTTGGTAGCAAGATCAGTCCAGCTGTGTTTTTGGCAGGCAGCTGGAGATGATAGAGTCACTAGGTGAGATTGAGCTGACCTCGTTGTTCTCGAGAGTCATGAATGAAACCGCTGTCGCTCTCAACCTTGTGATACCTCATTCATAGGTAACCCGAAGCTTCGCCAAGAAGTCTCGGTAAGGTTCTCAAGGTGAGACTAGACAATGACACAATTCCTCTCTGGCTGGTTCAAAGTTGCCTCTCGAAAAGCCGTGACAAAATTCTCATCGGTATAATACGACACCTTGACAAGGCCAAGCCGCTCGTACCGACAATCATCATCAGGGCCTTTTCCTTTGAGAATCATGAAGATTGCCTGATGCCGGTCCTTTTTGTGGATGGTAATGTCTTTTTTGTACGTCAGATCCGCAATCTCCATCAGCTCGACGTCCATCTCGGCGCCATCTACTGGGGAGCCAAAGCCGTTGGCCTCAGAATCATTGTCTGCAAATTCGGAGGCGCTGAGATCCTCATCTTGATTTCCATGTGCCTCGCCAGTGGAATCAGAATGTAGCACAAAGAAACTTTGCGGTCACGGATCATAATCAATGAAGACCATTCTCGTATCGACGATGCCATCAAGATTTGCATCTTCATCAGTTTTTTTGTTGTAGGCAATGGCGCTTCCGCGGCCCGTGACTCCTACTTGGACGGTAAATAGCACATGTGTTGCCCCCCTCAGAGTCTTTTGGAGTCGTGCATGAGCAGTCTTGCCACGTAATGTAAGGAGGCAGGTAGACTCATCCGGTCGCATAAAAGCTTCACCATCCGAATTGCGGCACTCGATTTCGATGAGCTCAGCCACCGGCTTCACGCTTGGTTTAATATCGTATATAGACCCAAGGAACTTGACAGGATCTTGAACAGAAGCCCATGACCAAGTTGGAGACGGCCACCACTTGAGTCCATTCGGATCTGGGGTTTTCGGTCTCGCAGCGCGATTTTGATAGTCTTGGATATCAGAGACCCAAAGCATGTCTTGAAAGAGTGAGCCGGACCAGAGGCCCGCATAATACGTCTCGGCCTGCCGCGAGGTCATATGTAGTTGCTGGGCAACGGCGGCCACAGCAGGTAACTTGTCAGTGGCGTTTGTGATTCCGAGCCGCGAGTACTGCTCAATGAGAGTCCACCACAAGTCTTCCCTAGCGGTGACCTGCTTCTTCTTGTACCACTTGGAGGTTGTTCCCTCAAGTGTCTTGCTGTAATCTGACTTGATTGAGCTATCCATGTCGTTTCTTTTACATTCGCAAGTCGGCATCGTGTTGCATTCCCACGCAAGGTCGTTTGCTGTAAACACCAGCACGCGGCGTGATACGAGGCGTTCCTGAAATGTCCAGGCCCTGGTGAATAGCGGCCCAGAAATCGTAGTGATCTCGGTCGCTATTCTTCAAGGGGGCTTCGAAGCTTATCAACTCGGAATTGTCTTCTGCATTGCTGCGAAATGGACATATCGGATCCATCTGCAAACCAATCATTTCGATTGGGCCCCCTTCTATGCCGCCGCTGTCTCTTTTCATCATCTCGTCCGCTACTTTTGGTGGGAGAGTAATGTGAGTCTCTCTTTCAGATGTGGACTTTGAGTATAGCCCTTCGAGGCTGGTCCTCGCGTGATGAGCTGCAAGAGTCAATCGGGCGTTGTGGTATACATCAAACATTCGCGGCGCTTCCTTCTGCCAGTCATGTTTGTCCTCCTGTATGATGCATATGCAATCGATCCACAAGAACCGCATGCCGAGTCTGCGGGTGAAGTTGACCGCATCTTGTAATGTCTGCGACAATGAAGACCAAGAGATTCTATAGAGCTGTGAGGAAAGATTGCCGGACACCGTTCGGCACTTGATCTCGGTTCTGCCATTGGGTCCCCAGCAGTGGCTCAGGGCCACATACGGAGATCCAGCTTGGATATCGGTTCCGTTGCAAAGAACAACATCACCATCTGGCCCTATTGGCTGTACATCGATAAGCCGCGTTGGCAGAAAGCCGCTAGTCGTGGCTGCACAGTGATCATGGTGTTTGACGCATTTGTCCAGCTGCGCCTTGGCCCATGAGAGGCATTTGTCCGACGAAGTATCGCGGCTGAGTGTGGTTTCTTTCTGCATGTTGTACAGCGGAAGATACATCCACCTGTGCTTCTTGGCGACAACTTTCACTGCTTCTTCCCAGCGATCCGGCAGAGCAAACATCCAGTTCTGAGTAACGGAGTCGTTAAAGTGATATCTCCATTCTATGGTGAAGTGGCCAGCCGAAGACAGGCAGATAGAAATCTCTGCATCGTGCAGCTCGCCGAGCAGACTCTTGTCCATGAGCTGCCACAAGATGGAACAGCAGATACAACCACGTTCTCTTGCTGAACGAGACAATTCAAGTGTCCGTTGCCCTGGTTGAAGCTGCAGTGATCGCCTCGTTTCGCGAAGTCGGTCGATGCCGGATACTCGATAGTTGTTTTGTCCATTCCAGTGACAAATGTCGCAAGCGTCTCCGATAGTCTCTGGTTCGTCATCGTCGATTGATGGGCCAAAAGCCTTTTCTTTGATCTAGCCAAAAATCTTTCTGCCGACCATTCTTTTGACGTTTGTGGTGAAAAGGCAGGTGAGTTGAAGTAAAGCGGGGGAAAGGTGGTGAGTGCAGTTGGCAGAATCCGATTACGAAACCCCTCGACAAAATAATCACGATGAAATCGATCACCCTTTTCTTGTATAGTAGGATGGCTTGATAGGAAGTAAAAAAGAATATCCAAGACTGTAATAGAAAACGATGTGTCATGTTTTTAATATTCAAGAAAGATGCATGGAGCTAAGCCATCAGGCACATCACTCGACAGTCTCTACTAGGTAGGCATCTATCAAGTAAGCCCGTATTTAGGCCAATGACATGGGAGCTTAAAGATCCATCACACATGTGCTTGCCCGGGTTCATGATCCTACAGCTTGTAATTTGACCATAGACATAAAGGTTATAGACTCTGGGATCCGCTAGTACACGAAAAAAACAAGGCTATCGTCACAAACGAAACACGCTGTCAATCGTTTCGAAACTTATCGCCTATTGTCAACTCATTACACCACGCTAATCAGCTTCCACAGTGAACAGAGCGGTGAAGAAGAGGCATGCACGGCTCGTTGCTGAACGAGACAATTCAAGGGTCATTTTTGCCCCTGTTCCATGTTCCTGCCCTTCGTACCGAACAGAAAGGCAAATTGGCACCACATCGTCAGTGCCGGTTACGAGCCAGGTGATGCAAATAAAAGCACTTGAGATCAAGCCTCAATAATATGCCAGTCGTGACACAAGGCACAGGCAGACTTTGTTTGTGAGTACAAGAATTGTAAAATATCCCAGATGCCAAATAGTTGCTCTTATACAAACCATGGTTCCAATACATGAATCGCTCAAACCCCCCCGTAGTATAACGCCGATGACCCTCATATCCATCACACCACAAAGTCGAGAAATGCCCAATCATTAGTATGTGAAATGAAAAGAGCGCCAAAATAAAATAAAATAAAAATTACGCAGCTGCCCGCTTGTCCGCCTGCATACTCAGTGCGAGCAGCTCGTCGACAAAAGCAGACTCATCTTGCTTCCCCTGGCCAGCGAAGCCATTCTCGCCCGTCGCAGTAGCAGTGTAGAAACTTTCCATCTTGCCTTGGGCATCGGCTCGGGGTCGAATGGGCTTGAGCTCTGAACCCTGTTGCTCTGGAGCATTTGAGTCTTCTTGATTCTGTGTTTCGAAAATGACGGTTAAATATTTGACTGCGGGAAACGAAACGGAGTGAGGGGTCGTGCTGCCACTTACATCTTGTACGTTGATAGACACCTCTTGTGATACCATGATGCCGCCAAGGATGTGAAGTTTCTGACCCTGATCCTTGTGAGAGTCCTTCCCGGAGTGGGACTGGCTTGCTGATGAGAGTTTGCGGGCAAAGTCGAAACTGCCATCGTCACCGTTGTATATCGAGCTGGGATGAGACACTGACTTTGACAACTGCTCCTGGCTCCTTGTAGGCGTCAATACGAGGACCGTCGCACGTCTTTTGTGGCCCGGCAGGTTATCCCTGACCTTGCCCATGGCTCGGGAAAATAACTTGTTATTCAATTGGGCCGCGGCACTATACCGCGGCGAAGAAAGCTCATGTACTGTTGAAGACATGTCGCGATGGACCATGTGGGAGAACTCGATGTTATGAGATGAGCCTTCGTATGTAAGTTGGCGCATTTTAAAAAAGTTGAGAGGCGTAAACTCGCACTCGGGCGAGAGCACGGTAGCATGGATGGGGAGGACGAGTTGGAAAGCAATGAGGATGCATTTGGAAAACGATTTGCCCGGTGTAGTAGAGGGAGTGCATGGGAGCTGGACTACCTTAGGCAGGAGTGTAGCGTTGTCAAATGTTTCGTCGCCTAAAGAGTCCCGAAGCGAGGAAACGGCGTCTCGAAGAATCGAAGCAAACATGCGGTCTTGAGGAGAAGCAGACTGGTCGGCCTGAAGTTTGAGCAGAATAGTCGAGAGCGGCAATCCACGGAGGCCATTGAGAAAGCTAGCATTGCGGGCATCAAGGGTGCTCACAGGCAATGGAACAGAGGGAAGCAGATCCCGGGCTGTCTTTTGCGCGAGTACGTCGAAGCCGCCCCTGTCAAGTCGAGCGCGGACGGCAAACATTCCCACGTGGAAGCCTGGAGATAGCATGGGGGTCTTGTCCCTCTGGTTGGCCATGTTGTGTAGATGAGCCTCCAAGTCGGGCGTCTTGATGCGCATTGTAGATCGAATAAAGGGAGCGACCTGGTGAACCTCTACAAAGCGGAACCCTGAAGCCTCAAGCCTCACTACCTCCTTTCTGCTGTCAACCCTACGAACCAGGAACATGAGCGAACCGCGGCCGTACTCCTGGCCATTCTGCTGGATGCCTTTTTCCTCGAGATTTTGTAAGCCGGGCCTGTCATTGTTAAATAGTCGTTGACCCCTTGATGACTCTCCCGTGACGAAGATTTCATCCCACAATGTTCCGACTCCAGCAAGAGTCTCCTTAGTTTTGGAAGCTAGGGCGTCTGCAGTAACGCAGAACAACTCGCGCAAAATGGTATCGTATTCGTCTACAAGCTCGCCATCGTCACTGATGAGTTGAACGCCTGTCCTGCCGATGTTGCGCTCCTGCGCGAGAAGCGAAATATGGGTGGTCATCTTAGTCATGACTTTTGTTATGGTGTCCCAGTTGCGAGAAGCGCGGAACATCCAGTGAAAGAGGGGGTGACTGGTGTTGAAGACGTCGTCGTTGGACTGGCGAAGAAAAAAATGGCGTATCAGTTTTCTACAGTCTTCTGGGAAGAAAAGGAGAAACAACTGACCTTTGTAAAGTACGTGTCTGTCACGACTTCGCTAGGCAGGTATCCGTCTTGAGAGACCATGATGCGGCCCTTGTCGTCAAAGACGCCGGCAGCCAAGACGACTTGCTGCGACTTGCTGGCGTAGTCTCGTCTTACCCAGCTCGAATAGATGGCCATGCCTGTCATGAGAACGCCGGCAGCGATAGACTAGATGTACCATGAGGCTCAGTCAGCTTTGACGCTCTTCGGGCCAGAATTCATTTGGCGTCCATCAGAGATGAGAAAAGATTTACCAGGCAGATAACGACAACCATTGCATCCTTGCGAGAGACCCCCTTGCCAGGCTTGTCGTGCAAGAGAGTGTAACTCGTTCCAACAGCTGCGCACCAGTGCATGCCAGATACGGCTCCGGCCAGGACCATGGCACAGCCCAGTCTCTTCCACCAGGCGCTACTCCAGGTATTCTCAAAGACGAAGAAGAGAGTGAGGGCCGTGGTGCTGGCGAGTACGGCGATGATGATGGAGCCAATGAGGTAGGAGAGTCGATACGAGCCCCGGTAGTTGCTGATGGACGCATCGGCGAGGTAATGCATACCGCAGATGGCGCCGCCAGAGAGCAATCCCGCGAGGACGATTCGCCACCATCGGATTCGACCGTTGCCATTGACGCCGACAAAGGCAAGCACGAGGACGAGGATGGGCACGAGGAGAGAGGCGACGGTGAGTGCAGTCGAGTAGGCGATTTGGAAGGCTGCTTCGCCGTTGAGCATGTAGATGGCTCGGTTGCCAATGAAGTGCTACCTCGTCACATTACTATGTTAGCAAGCTCGACATGCAGTGCAACTGAAAAGACCTATAGTTGCAATCATTGATGTCCTCTACGTAGTGGCTGTATCGTACCATGGACCAGATGGCAATGCCACCCATTGCAATGGCAGCGCCGACTAGTAAGAAGCTGTGATTCTCGATGTCAGTTGTCAGGCAGAGGACAGCCCAGCATCGAAAGGGCGCATACAAGTTGTGCTTTCCCCTATGCGAAGTTCTTCGTCTAATCAACTCCAGTGCCGTGCCGGTGCCGACCAGGCTGATGGCGTAACTGAGGCACACGAACCCTCCGCTGAAGGTGTACGGCACCACCTTGCCGGTATACTCCTCCAGGAGCTGCTGCGTCGTCGGTGTCGCCATCGTCGTTGTCATTGTCGTCGTTTTCTCTGCTGTTTCAGGGCTTGGGATACCGATGACTTCGACGTCGGCAAGGAAGAAAAAGAAAAAGAAAAGCAGTTGATCAAACGAGAGGCATATTCCTAGATCCAAGCATCACAGACTCAAGACACCAGCCGAGGAGAGTCTGGAACACAGACGAATCAGTATCTATCCCCTCGGAAAAGGGAGACGAGATGGGGGGAACCCCATCGAGCTGATGCGGCGCCTTATATCTCTAGTACCTGTCGACAACGCTTCGGCTAAGCACATGGGAGAGAAAGGCCGCAGCCACGGGTCCGGGACCAAAGGCGGCCTCGAGCGCAGCATGGATGGATGGAGAAAGATTGCCAGGCCAAGTCCGCGTATGAACCCGCATGCATTAGCAGGACTCGACTACACAAATCTGCGTACCACCACCATCCATGCTTGCTTGCACAAGGCGTATGCCGTCTCTACCATGGGTGTATCGACGCAGCCGAGGGCAATAGTCCCACGACGAACCGAGCCATCTAACCCATTTCAAGACAACGGTCCGGCGGCCTAGGACAAGAAGCCATCGAACAAGAGGGCCAAAGAGAAAAAGAGGGAAAAGACTTTTGTGCTGCTCGCGCCTCGGCAGAATCCGCCTGTGGAAGAGTCGATGCCCACATGGGCCACGATCTGGACTCGATGCGATCTGGGCGGGCATCAGAAGGACTCCACAGCACCTGGCAATCGGAGCTGTGATGGAATCTAAATCAAATCAAATCAGCATTCGAGCCAACCAGGCGCTGCTTTGCTGGGCTGACCCGCAACGAACAAGGATCAACGGGCCAGCGTTGCGCAGGATGTGGATGTGCATAGGGCTAGATGAGATGCTAACAGGGGCCTGGGCTTCAGCTGGTCAGAAACTAGAATATGGCTCGGCGAATAATCGATGTTGTCCGCAGGCTGGTGGTTACGCCATAAAGCGAAGAGGCCTGGAGAAGCAAAAGAAGCGGGATGAAAAATCAAGACTGCTGTAGTCTGCACGTTCGTGAAAGAAGTAGCGAGACTTACCTGATAAATACCGCAACCCCCGCTTGTCTGGTCGGTGACACTGGGCACAATCGAGGGCACAAGAGACGAACAAGATTGACCTTCTCTTATAATCTGACCACAGAGCAATACTTGCATTTCCCTATTTTCGACAACACTGATAGCACTTTGTGGGCAGAAAAAAAGAACAGGGCGGCGGCTAGCTCAGGCACACGGGCGATTCTGCAGCGGCAGGGAGATCTCACGGATCGAAACAATCACGACTTCAGCCAGATGGAAAAGCACCGAGTGGGGACAGTGCACGCCATCCCTTCAGGCTACGGGAATCTATCGAAGGTGCTGGTTGTACATAAAACATGTTGGCTTTACTAGTTGATCGGTGGCGCCGGCGAAATCACCATCGCCAGGCACAGCAGACAATAATGGATGCCTTTTTCAGACACAACTGTCGCCCAGGCCTTTTTGTTCTCCTCTTGGTGTGGTGATGGTACGGGTTGTATGCTCGGAATCTGTCGGTATGTGTGAACAACTTGAGCGTAACGACGTGTCCATCTGCTTCTGGCTCTTCGGCCACTTTGCCCTCATCTTGGCTTCCAAATGACGCCGAGTGCCAGAACGCCGTACTCGTTGCTTTGCTCTGGATGGGAGGACTCATAAAGACTAACGTTTCACACTAATTATCGCCCCATATTCAGCTTGGAACTGAGCCCTGTCAAAAGCCAAAACGGGGATTCAACCACCAGCCCGTCTCAACGCCGGCCCACAACGCAGACGGCATACAGGACAGGGTTCAATTTTGCTCCCTGGCACCGAGAGCTCGCTATGCTGTCCCCAATTGCTCTGTAGTCCAAGGCCAAGCACCAACTAGACAGCTTAGCTTGTGATGAATCGAATCGCCCCTCTTGTCCGGGCACCTTTGCCGGATCAACATGAACGAGACACCACGATGCTGCCCACGTTTTTGACACGAGGCCTCAACCGGCCCCCGGACACAGTAGATCAAGCCAAGTGGGCGCGATATTCTAGGTCACCGGCCGACCGAAAGAGCCAAACAACGGCCATATCTTGACCGGTGAATATACAGAGCCAGGCGCTATTGAGATGTGAAATGGCTGGACAGCCCCGAGACGCCACGAAATCTCAAAGTAGAGATTGAGGCGTACATCAAGCCGTCTTGTTCAGCCAGGGTCTCCTAAGGACATGGAGTCAGCGATAAGGGATATGTTATGACTCGCCACAAGCTACAGTATTCACGTTGGTTTCCAAGTGCATCGTTACGCCAGTTATGCTGAAGAAGACGGGACGATTAAGATTACGCCGATGGTGACGAGATTACTCTCCAGCTCTACCACTAACGTAGCATTGATCTTTATTTACTGGGGCACAGGGCGGGTTGCGACATGACGTGACTTGGCAGCAGATCAGCACACACTCCAAGACATGCTTGTGCCTGTCACCTTTTCTAGAACGACTCCGAATATTGTAATGCTATCGACTGAGCGTGCAAGATGTTGCATTGTTTCTCTTCTCTTCCAATTATTTCGTCAGAGACCGATGACTCAGCTTTCCCGACTCGGTCCGATCGTTTTCACCTAACCCAAAGCTACTCCTTCTTCTTCTGTCTCTAATACTACCTAATACACGATAGCTCATTTGGCTCACGACTGAGACAATTGATGATCAATTGAATTATTCGTTCAAAAGCTGATAACTTGACTCTCGTATCATTTGTTCCTCCTTTTCTCTTCCCATTCTCTTCAGGCCCTCAATCAATGAGATTACACCTAATCCTTCACTAGTCCACGAAAAGACAAGCTCATCAAACAACAACGAACCAGACACGTTTTCAATCGTGTCACAACTTGTAGCCAGTTAGACACTCCTTTACAACAACCCGCCGCATTTCCGTCACCGCTGATGACTAAGGCCGCGTCAACCTTAAAACGGGAAAAGCTCCAAGGATTCGCCAAGGGGCCGCTGAGCTGCCGCAGCTGTCAGACGGACGAAGCAAGCTTTGTTTTCAACTTCGTCCGTTCCCTTCTCACAAAAACTTGCAATTGGCAAGTTCTACCTTTGTTCTTGAGCAGCCATTGGAGATGGCCTCGTACCTGTACCAGCTCCTCGGCATGGGGCCAAAGAGATCGCCCCCGACAATCGTGCCGACGGACGAGATTGCGCCCCTGCATCTGTTCGACGATACGACGACTCTGCGGGGCTTCACGCTCATGTGGACCTTCAAGTTCGATGAGGTGCTGGACGCGGATATGCTGGGCGATTCGCTGTCTCGGCTCTTCCAGATGGAGGGCTGGCGGAAGCTTGGTGGAAGGCTTCGACGCAGAGTAAGTAAATGGTGTTTGGAAGCCAATTGGCATCATGGCAATCAAGATGGTTTAGCTGATTCAAGCTCAGCCCGATGGATCAGCTGAGATTCACATTCCGCGTCTTTTCACAGAGGGGCGACCGCCGCTTCACTTCACAAAAGAGAGCTTCGGCATGCGCATTTCAGAGCACCCAGAAGCATCCAAGCTGCCAAGTGCAACAGACAAATTGACAACGTTCCCAAGCGCTCGAAACTACCAATCACTAGCCCTTGGACCGGGAGCACCCAAATGCATCGACGATTATTTTTATTCCGATCACCCGATATATGGCCTCCATGTCGTCAATTTCACAGACGCAACCCTGGTTTCCATCAACTTCAACCACTGCGTCAGTGATCTCGCCGGCCTCATGGCCGTCCTAAACGCATGGCAGCTCGTCTTGGCAGGCAAACCCGAGGCCGTACCTCCGTTCAAGGGCTTTTTCGAGGATACTATGGCTGGACTCTACAAAACAGAGCCAACAGAAAAGTTCGTGCTGGCCGACAAGCAGCTCTCGGGCTTTGGACTCGCTTCGTTTGGACTTCGACTCATTTTTGACTCATGGTGGAACTCCCCTATCGAATCGAAGCTTGTTTGCATTCCGAAAAAGATGATGGATGCTTTTATACAGGATGCCAGAAACCAGATTTCGAAAACAGAAGAGGCCAGCATCGCTGGAAGCTTGCCCACATTTATCAGCGAAAACGACATCATTGTCGCACTGGCAACGAAGACGATGGCGAAGAACATATCACCTAGCCGCCCTCTTACAGCCCTCCAGGCCGTTGACCCTCGCAGCCGTGTCAAGTCAGTCTTTCAGCAAGACGCCGCATACGTCTGCAACGCCCCGGCAGCAGCCTTTGTCCAGTACACCAACCAGGAAGCCGTTGACAAGACCATTGGCGAACTAGCACTCGAAAGTCGAAAAGCTCTCCTAAGACAACTCACCGAGGAGCAAATGAAGGCCGTCGCCGCGCTGGCATACAAATCGATGGGGGCCACTGGCAACCCCCCCATGTTTGGAGAGAGCAACATGGCCTTTCTCGTATTTTCCAACTGGAGCAAAGCTGCGTTTCTAGAGACGGTGGATTTCAGCCCAGCGATTATCAAGGGTGCAGAGACGGTCCGCCCTGATGGGAAGCAGGGCCGTCCAGTTTATTACCATTCACAAAGTATAGAGACGAGTAGATTTTCCACAAACGTCATTGTTATTATGGGAAGAGATTTGGGAGGCAACTTTTGGCTGAATGCCGATTATCCAGCGCATCACTGGCCGGCATTGTTGGAGCAACTGGAGCGATATGCATAGATTTTGTAAATGACACAAGAACCCGCGCTGATAGATTTTTGGCCTGAATAGAGGTTAAGCTTGGTTTATAATTGACTTAGTGAAAGAAGTCTTTGCTCGCGATGACCACTTTTGTCTGGTCCTGATTTTTTGATTAAGCTGATGAAAGAATTGCCAGTTTGTTCACGATGATCACCTATGGCCGGTCATGATTCTTGGTCGAGTTAGTGAGAAAATTGTCGGTTTGTTCACGATGATAACTCTTGTTGACACATGATTCTTGATCTAACAAACCAATTGTTTGTTAATGATGATCAGCTTGTCTAGTCCTGATTCTTGGTCGAGCTCATGAAAGAAGTATCAGTTGTTCAAAAATTTAGCTTGTCTGCTTGCGATCAAGTCTCGTACGTAAACTCTTGTTGTGAATCAAAGTGTATTGTTAATATTAAGTGTGGGATCTATCATACATCTATTAATCGTCTAAAAGGAGGCAAGGAGAGGCATGGCCATGGCTGCTGCTACCAAATAAAGGCTTGCAGTAGTCATTCCGGCAGCATTCTTGCCCGATCCAGTCTTGGTTGGACTCGCCGCAGCAGCAGTGCTGTCCTGTGCAGAGCTTCCGGTATTTGCGGCTCCATTGTCAGAAGCGGTAGTCTGGGAATCATTGGAACCTGAGCCGGAGCCAGAGCCCGATCCTGATCCTGAGCCTGAACCAGATCCTGAACCAGATCCTGAGCCTGAGCCTGAGCCTGAACCGGAGCCTGAACCGGAGCCAGAGCCGCTGGATCCCTTAACACCCGCAGCGGTAATGGTATAGACGGTTCCATCGCCGCCATTGGTGTAAGTAAAGACCGATCCGCTAGCAGGCGCAGTCACGGTTCCGGCATTGTTGCTAAGAGTTGCCGTTCCAGTGGCGGGAAGATTTGTCGGCTTGTAGAATGTGCTGACTCCATCGAGAGAGTATCCCAGGTCCTTGATGCAGTCGTACTGATCCAGGTATGGGCCACATGAGTCAAATGGTGTATTGAGTTGTGACTCAAGCGTATTCACGTTTGAGAGGCCAAGGAGGGTGGGGTCGGTTTCAGGGCAGATTTCGAGGAAACTGATGCTTGATTAGCACAAAAGTTTCTCACAAGCAAGTTTCCCAGTATGAATGAATGCGAAGCAGAAGAGCAAATACGGGTGATGAGACTTGAGACTTACGTTGAGATGGCACCGCTAATCTCGCAGCAGTCGCACCCCTGGATCTGCTGAAGGTTGCTGCTAGCATCACCCGAGTTTGCATTGTTTGAGCACGTTGCCGTCTCCTGGATAGCGTCGTTGTAGGCGAGGAACACCTTGCCCAAGTTGCATGAGCATGCATTAGGGGCATCGTTAGGGATCGGGAAATAGGGCACTGGCAGCTTGGCAATGGGGCAGTTGAGCATATAGTCGGTGACGTAGTTTTGGTACTCGCACTGCCAGACTCGGTTCCAGCAAAAGGCGGAATAGCAATTGTAATTGTCGACATAGTTTTGACATCCACAGGCCAGGAGCTCCTGTTGGCTGTTGTCCTTCTTGGCCTGGGCAATGCATGAACTCAGCTGGTCGTTTGCCTGCTTCTGGCAGCTCTCGAAACCAGATGAATCGGCACATCCAGTGCTGGTCAGGGTCACGCTGCCGGTGACAGCAAGAGCCGCTGTGGAGAGGAGAGGAAGCAATAGTAGACGCTGCATTGTGTTGTGAGTAGTAATGTAGCTTTGGTTTTCTTTGCACGAGCTCAATGAGAGAAGAGACAACAAAAGAAGAAAACAACAAAGCAAAGGGGAATAAGAGCACGATGGAAATAAGGGTCCCGGCCAGAGACATCAGAGCGCTTTACAGTAGAGCCGCAGCACGGGCTCGGGCTCATCTGCCAGTCGCGCCCTCTGGACTGCAGCAGTCTGCCTTGGCCCGAAGCCCAAACCGGCGCGGCTGAAAAACGAAGCCCCATCGCCAGTGGATCAACATTGACTGATTTCCCAAAGAGCAGCTGCGTGATCCCAAAACGGGTCCAACCGCACGCACGTTGCCTGCCGAGCGATCCGTATTCCGCGCTCTCGAGGCCAGCAAACACGGTCTGTTGTTTGACTAGCATGCGCAGACAGGATTCGCCGAGTCAAGACCCCAGATTAGCGAGCGTCGACGGCCGTGGGATTGGCCCAGCTGGCCAGCCGCAACCTTTTTCTCGATCCCATTTGGCCTATTGCGTCTAGTCCAAAGTCCTTTTGGTCGGCCATCTCGGTTGAGGCGCGGAACCGTCGAATATGTTGCGTTTCGTATGCGCATCCAAGTCTGCCTATAAAGAGAGAATGCCGACGAGAGCCAGTTTGCCTTGCTTGGTCAGAATCGAAAGACGGATGATGAAATGATGGACGACTGACTAACGCGTTGTTATATGCCTTACAACGGAAGTGATGGGAACTGCGTAATACGACGTTGGGTCAATCGGTGAATCGTCGACGGCGAGCCTGAATTGTGCAAAGAATGTCTCTGCTCCAGCTTCTTTTTCTCTCTACTCTACCCAGTACTTCGGCTCCTCGCTTACGATAAGCTGCGCCCTGCCCTCGACTGCGCGATAACGACACGTGCATTCCTTATCGATTCTATACCCGAGACTTTTGCGAATAATGATAATGATCCAATGCTTCGATCATGAGAAGTCGTATGAGAAAAGAATGCACTCTGCTGCCCATTTCTCTCAGACTCTCTGTGTAAGCGCTTGCAACTGAGACCCTGTGGGCTCGTATTTAGGCTCAAGATCTAGATTATGAGTTAGCTTAATCGATATTTTGCCTCTTCGGGCATCAAATCCCGGGCAAGGGTGCGATGCGGCAGATTGTCTGCGTACCCTGCAAATGCGAATGTGATATTTGGCAGAACAGTTTGGCAGGTGGGAGCTCGTACGATGCGATATATCCAGAAAACCGGGAGTTTGCATTATCTATTTCTTCTAAAATTACGAGCGTCAACCCGTCTGTGGGCTGCAATAGAGTTAGAATTAACCATTTTACGTTTATTGCCACTGAAATCATTCTCTGTGGGCCTCACTCATGTTGATCAGCGAATATCTCATATGAAGACTCACTCATTCACTGGGGCATTGACTGAATGACTGCGCTATGTAGAATATCACAATGATTATAAGACGCATTTCTCAGTATGTTTCTTTCATGACGCCGGCTTCCGAAATCGAGATCCATATTACTTGATGAAATGCACTGTAGCTCATTGAACAAGTGTAGCCGGTTCTTATCGATAAGAAGCCTGCTGAGATGGCATAGGTATGCTCATTCACTTGTCAAGACATCCAGGGTAAAAGGACAAATTCTAGGAAAATGACCAGTTGCTTATAAATAATCAATAACTTAGATATTTTTTAATTTCACCATGTATATTATAAAAACGAGAATGTTGTCAGCAATCATTGGTCCTTAAGCTGAATTTTTACCCACCAACGCATTGTTCAGTGGTCAACATGATACTTCGTCGGATTAGCAGGGCGATAGAAGTGACTATCTTACTCATAAAAGCAGACAAAGTATTTTGTGGAAAAAGAAAAAATCCATCTAAACCCATAGATCTCGCTAAAATTGCTCTAAAACACATTGTTTTCATTCATCCACGTGAAAACTCTTAGTTCATTCATGCTGTCGATACCGTTCGGATTGCTCTACGATGCTACGTTGAGCCCAGCGAGTATACAGTGGTATTGGCAGCCTCGCGGGATTATGAATGCGCGTAAATGATTGGCTGTGCCATTAGGCAGCGACGCGTAGTCTTGAAACCCAAAGATCTCGCGAGACTTGAGTTAGTCAACTGCATTAAATGTTGTTTTTCTTCTCGCAATAATCCCTGGGTCTATACACAAATATCTACATAGCGTCGGTCGTGATAGAGGTCGTCTTAACGATGACATCGCTTCCGACTGACGACCAATACTTACCCAGGGAAAGGCGGACTTTCCGTGTGCGAGGTGTGCCTCACGACTGGAATCGCGACAGACTGACATCTTTTTTGACGGAGAATGGCTATGTCGGCCCGGTCATTCAGTCCTTAGCCAACGAAATCCATGGGCGATCGCAGACTGCTACAGCCACTTTTCAAAGTGTTCCCAATCAACTACAGGAGCTTCTACATGATCCGGCTAACGGGATTGGTCTATATGTGCCTTCGTCGGATCAACACAGTAGACCGCGGAGTTTGATGCTTGACACTGCTTTTCTTGGTGTCACAACCTTGTACACTCCTCCTCCACAGGATCATAAAGTTGAGTGAGTAAATTATATATGGCTTGCGCTCTAATACAATACTAACACTGCCAAGTCTTGTTGCAATCTCTGGCCTCGGCGGACACCCATTCGGATCGTTTAAAGAGCGAGACGGGGAGCATATGTGGCTACGAGACGCAATTCCGGATCATATAACTGAAGAAGAAGACGGCAGACCCATCTTACGTGTTATGATATATGGCTACAGCTCAAACCTTTTCCAGAGTGACAGTTTCCAGAATCTTGAGGATTTAGGGACAGCTTTTCATCGGCACCTTCGAAAGCTGGCGACTACAGGAGCATTTAAGCCCATCGTTTTCATTGCCCACAGCTTAGGCGGGTTGGTTCTCAAGCAGGTATTTGCACTTACTGTGCCTGTCTTGGCAGTCTACTCACAGTATACTAGACTCTTATATCCCTCTATAAGTCAAAAGACGAGGAGGATCTAAAACTCTTACGCGCGGTATATGGAATCGCCTTTTTTGGTGTTCCGCATGACGGCATGGACATTAGCTCGCTCATTGCTATGGTTGAAAACGGACCGAACCGATTTCTACTGGAGTCCATTGGACTCTTTAGTTCACAAATCTTAAGTGTTCAGCATCGTGAATTCCTGGAGGCACTGGGAACTCGAGAGTCGAAGATAATCTGCTTTTACGAAACCCGCATGTCACCAACTGCCATAAAGGTCTGTTCGTAATCGCCAATGATCTAATTATAGCTACACTTTACTAACATACAATAGGACGAAAGAGGAAACTGGAAAATAGCAGGCCCAGCCGCTGTTTTAGTTTCAAAATCCTTCGCCATACACTGCCGAGAGTGGGAGAATGGGCCGCAGTTCATCTGTGCTATCCACTCACTCGGAAATGGTCAAGTTTGGACCAGAAGATGATGAATATGAAAAAGTGGTGGAGCTTATTCAAAGCCTCGTCCGAGAGGCACGGCAAACTCAAGAACGTAAACGTACGTGACTAATCTATGCTCTATGTCAACCAGCTTCAATAGAAACGGTATGGAAACCTTATAGATCCATTACGTCAAATATCACCAGAACAAATACGGAACTGTCTGCAATCACTAGCTTTCGAGCATATGCAAACCCGTTCCTCTGGCGTCAACGACGCTACCTCAGGAACATGCACATGGCTTCTTCACCATGAGACGTATATCAGATGGATTGCATCTAACCATGGACTTTTCTGGATCAAAGGGAAGCCAGGCTCCGGGAAGTCCACACTTCTCAAATATGCCTTTAGTTACCAAAAGAATCTTTCCAGCACAACAAATAACACAGCAAATGGCGATATCTTTCTCTCTTTCTTCTTCCACGACCGTGGAGATGAACTTCAAAAGACCCCGTTTGGCCTATTCCGATCTCTTCTCCATCAGGTTCTCAAGCAGGCACCTAATGCGTTATCAGACCTTGTTGATGATTTCACACAAAAGAGCAAGGATATGGGCAACTACCAGGAGAAATGGAAATGGGATCCCAATGATCTATGGCGCTTCTTAGAGTCGTCTCTTCCGAGAGTCTTAGCAGTTCGTTCCGTCTGGCTGTTTGTTGATGCTCTGGATGAGTGTGGCGAAATAAATGCAAAAGACCTTGTCAAGAAGTTTAAACTCCTGACTGAAAGGATCACGCCTTGTCTACTTACGGCAATAAACTCCGGATCTGTTTCAGCTGTCGTCATTACCCAATACTAAGCTCTACTGCTTTATTGGAGGTATGCCTTGAGAGGGAGAACCGAGGTGATATTTCCACTTATGTACGGTCCGAACTATTCCCATATGGAGAATCAATGTCAATCACGATTCCAGACTTGATTATAGATCGTGCTTCTGGCGTCTTTTTATGGGCAGAGCTGGTAGTGAAAATCGGTGTAGATCTTGGACTAAATGGCGATGGGCCAGCCAAGATCATGGCGGCAGTGCATTCTATCCCAAAAGACCTCGACGAGCTATATAAAAGACTCATTCACAATATGACACCAGCATCTCTAAAACTAATCAAGTGGGTTTGCTTTGCCACGCGGCCATTGTCGGTTAGTGAACTACGGTGGGCTATGGCTGTCAGAGCTGATTATTCCTCATTGAACGCATGCCAAAATGCAGAGGATTATATACCAGACGATGATCGCATGAAGAAACAGATTGTGAAGCTCAGTCGAGGGCTTGCTGAGGTCACAACGGGGGACGATCTGATTGTCCAATTCATTCACCAGTCGGTCAAAGATTTTTTCATCGACAAAGGCCTGTCGAAGCTAGTTGAAGAGATCGTTGGAGATTCGACAACGCCCTATGCAGCAACTGGAATGTCCCACTTGGAATTATCGAAGACTTGCATTAAATACTTTGCGATGGAAGAAATCGTACAATTGAAAAACTACGAAAGACAAAAATTGTATGCTGAGTTCCCTTTCCTGCGCTACGCTATTTCTTCATGGGTGGCACACCTAAAGGAAAGTGATGACTATGGCATCACGCCAGAGGGGGTATTAAGCTTGCTTGAATGGCCATCAAATGATATACTGGATATCTGGACAAAAATTTACAATGAGATGCATCGATATTCAGATGGTTGCCCAACAGACAATACCCATCTTGACCACGTTGCAGCAAGGTATAATATTCAGGGAGTGATGAACGCCATCCTGCAGAGCGATGGTGGTACCACCATTGGAATCGATTTAAAAGATGGTTCTGAAATGGCACCGCTGGCATGGGCTGCACGGAATGGGCATGAGGGTGTGTGCAGACTTTTACTTGCTACTGCTACTGGTCGGGTTAAGATCGATGCAAAATATATAAACAAACAAACGCCTCTATTATTAGCTGCACAGGGGGGGCATCAGGCTGTGGTTAGCCTCTTGCTTGCTACGAAACAAGTTGACATTAATGTGGAAGATGGAGCGGGTATGACAGCACTGTCATTAGCTGCAAGGAATGGAGACGTGGCTCTGGTCAAGCTCTTACTTGCTACAGGTCAGATTGACTTCGTTACTAAAAGTCATGGGAACTTCCATTCGTTATTATATGCAGCAAGAAATAGACACGAGGTTCTGTTCAAGGTTATAATAGCCGGAGTCCACCCAGAAATGATCAATTCAACGAACTATGAGGGCAATACGCTACTTTGCTGGGCCGCGAAGTTTGGATACGAGGCTATAGTTAAGCTATTACTCGACACGGGCCAAGTTGAGATCAACTCAAAGAATGATGATATTCAAATAGCGTTATCATCGGCTATGAGGTGGGGACATAAGGCTGTGGTTAAGCTATTGCTCGACACGGGCCAAGTTAAGATCAACTCAAAGAATGATGATGGTTATACAACGTTATCATCAGCTGTAAGGTGGGGACACGAGGCTGTGGTTAAGCTATTACTCGACACAGGCCAAGTTGAGATCAACTTAAAGAATGATGATGGTTCTACAGCGTTATCATCGGCTGCGGGGTGGGGATATAAGGCTGTGGTTAAGCTATTGCTCGACATAGGCCAAGTTGAGATCAACTCAAAGAACAATAATGGTCATACAGCGTTATCATTAGCTGCGGGGCTTGGACACGAGGCTGTAGTTAAGCTTTTGCTCGGCACAGGCCAGGTTGAGATGAACTTAAAGGATCGGGGTGGCCGGACAGCGTTGATGTTGGCCGCGCTGTATGGAAACGAGGCTGTAGTCAAGCTGTTGCTCAACACAGGCCAGGTCGAGGTCAATTTAAAGGATTTCAAAGGCCAAACAGCGTTAGAATTAGCTACAAAGCGGGGGCACGAGGCTGTGGTCAAGCTTTTGCTCGGCACAGGCTAGGTTGATATAGATTCAAAGTATTCGGAAGGCTGGAAGCCGCTGACATGGGAAGTAAAGGAAGAGCATAAGGCTATTATTGGTTTACTTAAACAGTATTTTGTATCTCTCTCTTAATCAATCTGTATAGCTTTCTACAGTATAACAAGAGGGTTCAAAGGTAGAGTAACCACCTCACAGTTGTTATTTCAGCCTCAAATACATCTAACTTGTTGATAGATTAAATGTCAATAGTCAAAGACCAAACGATCGGTGGCCACTCATACGAGAATTCTCGGCTCACTTTACCATTGGCTGCATACTTATAGTATATGAAGAATATGTTTAATATCGTGACACTTATTCCTTTGTTATTTGTTCACAGCATCCGTTCCACAAAACAAAACCCGGATGAGATGAAATGTATGTTACCTAATCCAAAAAGTGCCGCTTAGTAGGGTTACGTATTCTCACGAACAAGAATTGAAGCCGAGTTGATTTTGTGTATCCATGATATTTATGCAATGTGAGGTATTGGAGAGTTCAATGCCCGTGTAAAAGATTGCTCACAAAGTATGTATTCCATTTGCCTCGTCTATGATATCGCAGTAGATAGTGGTAGTGAGACTGGAGTAAATTAGTTAGATGCGTCTCAATGCTTCCTCATACTGGCGAATGTCCCAAAGATTGGGCAGCGATGCAAGGAGACAATACGATACGCTCCCGCCTATGTCTCAGCTGCCATTATGGGATATCATTAAAACTGTCCCATTTCCATAAATGCAGTTTCCATGCCTATAAACCCCATGCCTTGTGTCCGTCGGAATTGTCTTCTTGTCCGATTTTCTTAATTCGTGCTGACTGTTCTGCATCAATGAGCCACTCCAGACCGTTGCTCCAAAAGCACCTTTGTTACGACTAGGTAATGAAATCCACCGGCCTGCTTACACGACTCCACAGCGGCCTCGGCTGCGGCTGCGGCTTTGCCAACCCCCGGTGGGCTATTTAAGACGTCGATCTCCGGCCTGTCGCTCGGGGTTCGCGATGTTCCGAGCTAGCCTAAAACTGCTTCTCTCACGAGCATGCTGCTTACTATCCGGCCGGGCACCAGCCGATAGGTTGGCGGGCTGAGGAAACTCAACGTCATCCATTCCCTGATGTATCCACTGGGCTGAGTCTGTGTCCCTTATGTTGTCTCCCTGAGTTCCGTCTCCCGCACCTAGCTTTCTTTAACACAAAATAGTCCGGCCTTAGAACCTATGAAATGCTTCTAGCTCCTGGGCTTCACCTCTGAATACTCTATAGAGAGGCAGACATAGGACTTGACTCTAAGATCACAAGCCAGAAGTACGAGTATAAACCAGACTTACGCATCCAGTTGCTTAAATGCCCCTGAAGGTGGTGATAATCGAGTTTATTAACCTGACTGATTTGATATCCCCGATAATCTTTTCTAAAGTATAACCCCCTTTGACTACAACAGTCAATCATTCCCCCATCCCTCCATCTGTAGACAAGCTGTAGCAACTATAAAAGTTCATGCTAGGCCGTTACCTAACAAATTCCGTTGCAGCCACCAGTGCTACCCACGGCATTGACCGTAAGAATTCCATTACCATCGTCATTTCCTCCCTGAGTGGCATCAACAGGAATGCTGCCACACTTCTTGCATCCATAATTAAGCAGATCCTGAAGCAGAATTTTGACAAAGTGCCCGTTCTCAGCGCTGTTGCCCTGCAAGAAGGCACATGCTCCATTGCCAAAGGCTCCTTCGGCACAGATGATGTGCTCACCAGGTCGGTAGATTCGGTTTTCGTCAAGTTGTTGGGATAGCTGGACAAAGTTTGAAAGGCTGAACGAAAGCCCAGCACAGTTGGAGCTACCATTGCAGTTAACACCTGCGGCAGCATAGCCAACTGCACTGGCTAGAGCAAGGAGGGTAGATGGTCGCATTTTGTCAGATGAATAGTGTCAGAAAAACTGAACAGTTTGTGTAGATTGAGGTTGTGGGTTCAGATTGTAAGCTTATATCCTGAATTTGTTTGGTGAGTTTGATCTATTGTAGATGGGATGTTGCTCATATTTATACTTGACTCTCTTCAAGTAATCTATATCGAGTATTATGACTCAACATATACATTGTTATAGCATATACTTTTCGTGTAACTGCCGTAAGAATTCCTCTATTTGATATAGCGTATAATGATCATACCGACTATGTGTCAACTCTATACTGCACTCCACTCAAATGAGACTCTGCTAAACCCTTGCACAGATCTTACAATCTTACAACCAATCTTACCTTATTCTAATATTTCATCTCCGCTCTACATGCTGAGCTTACAGTTGGGTTTATTTCCCATTTAAGCTTAAGCTTATTCATTATTCCTATCGTATTCATAATATTAGTTCAGTTGTTCTTCTCTTGCATCGCATACTCTTTCCCTTTCTGCCCCTGTTTTGTACAATCATCTCTGTCTCTGTTCTATTTGTTCAGTTGACGCATGATTTTACCTCAGTGAAAGGCGGTTCATTATTCTCACCGTGCCCATAATACGGAATTCATCTTTCTTCCGATATGTCGCGTACTCTTTCCCCTTCAGTGATCCAGTCTCTCCGATGATGCTTCTTATTTATAACTATGCGAGGTATTAGATATCATACTAGTATCCTATAATGATATATATTAGCCTCATACTACTTCCATCTCTCAAATGACAACCCACTTACTCAACCACTGCCTTATTTACTCACTTGCTGTTTTACAAGCTCACCAATCTACTGGTATATCTAGCCACATATCTACCAACTCCACTGTTTACACCACAATCATCATGTACTTCTCTACGGCCCTACTAGTAGCTTCCAGCATTGCCTTTGTCCACGCTGGAGTGAACTGCAACGGAAGCGGTAACTGCCCGGGAATTGCTGGCAGCCTTAGCGATATAGTCAACATCTCGCAAGGTCTTGATGAGAACCGCATCTACCGACCTGGTGAACACATTATTTGTATCGAATCTAAGCTCAAAAACGGCCTATGTGCATTTCTACAGGGCAACAGTGCTGAAAACGGGCATTTTGTTCAAAATCTTACTGAAGGACTTGCAAAACCACGGATGTAAGAAATGCGGTAGTGTCCCTGTTGACGCAACGCAAGGAGGAAACGATGACGCCAATGGTATCCTTACTGTTAATGCAGTGGGCAGCACCGGTGGCTGTAATGGAATTTGCTAGAGGATGTTCTATCCTTGACATAACCGCAATAGCTTGTCTACAGAATTGGCCTTTGTTGCGGTCCAGCTCGATATGGCGCTGCGGAAAAATGTACTCGATTCGGATAAGGCCTGAAGGTGCCGGTTGGAAGGAATGGTGGAATGCGGTGTCATTACACAAGAAGCACTCTGCAGAAACGTTCTCCAAGACGACGGAATACAAGGCTGCAGTCATCTTACAGGAATTGATGTTTATGTTCAATTCATCACACTCATTTAGATATTTAGAATAGTCAATCATTAACAAGGTTGGAAGGCCGAATACGAGCTCCTAAACTCGAGGAACAAGTGAAATGTTGAGCAAGAAGAAGGATTTCAATGATGATGATGATGATCTCGACATGCCAGTAAAGTAAACAAGCTGTATAGAAGTAAGACTCAAGACTGCAACTTTTCAACAGCATCACGTGAAAAGGACTAGAACCGGGCTGTGTTAATCCTCACCTACAGCAAGTCGAGTGTATAAGCCGCTAGTTCTTCTTTGGTCCGATTCTTGTGTTCAATAAAGCCCGATGATATATGTACATATTGCAAGTCTTGTGTATCTACCGTTTCTCTATGCATCAAGTACGTCTAAACCCATTCTATCATACGAGACTCACGACACTCGAAGTGGTTCGTCCCCCAAAGGTCTGTCTTCAGTTCACTGTTCGACTTCCCGGACCACCTTCATTAGCTCTGCTTTTGGCCAAATGTCTCCTTAAAGAACACCCGAAGTCCGTTTCTCATTCTCGGCCTCAGCATTTTGTGACGCCTACCGCCAACAGCTACTCCGTCCCGGCTAGCTAGACCAGCAGCTTGGGATATCCGAGATTCAAGTAAGTTGTGGGCCCGCATAAAGTGGACATACAAAGGGTGTTCGTCAGAAATAGTTCCAGGGGCTCTGATAGCAGAGTATCTTGCCTTGTCCTTTGCTTTGCAGAGCAATTCCAGGGAGCGGCAATACTTCTCCTGGATCAAAAAGTCCAAGATCTCGAGCCGAGTCTGGGGATTATTGAACCAGATCTCACCAAATATTACGTTGTCTAGTATTCTTTCGTAGTCATTACCTTCGGCTGAAAATACTAGGGGGTTCTCTTGAGTTTTGTATTTTAGATAGGCAGGAATAGGCACTCGGGCAGCAAATTCGAGGAAGCTGGCGCAACCTAGCTCTGGAATGCCCATCTCCTGCATTAAATCCACACGGACATATCGAGTGTCACTCACAGACGATAATATCCCACGATGCACCTTGTGGTAGCCTCCGCCTTGATATACATGCGTGTGGCTGGCCAAGTGCTGGTCTAGGCGATCAAGAGCAGTCACGAGGGTCCCCATGTCCGGGTGGGTTTCCGAGACGAGTGAGGCGATGGTGAAGACAATCTTCCAGCGTGCGAGAAACTTAACATTGCTTTCATTCGGCTTGGTGGTAAAGACTGCGCTCAGTGATTGGCCCTTGACGAACCAGAAGTAAGGGTCAAAGCCAGGATCTGCCACCGAAGTAATGCTTGCCCAGTTATCATTAACCCAATCGTTTGCCGTCCGGTGCATGTAATCCACGCGAACATCTCTCGGTGGTTTGATGTGGTCGTCATTGTCACATACAAGTTCAAGCAAGCCTCCGGTGCGGCTCATCACTTTTCGTTCTAGCGTTTTGACGGCACCCGTCAGATAGGTGCTGGTGACACAAGCAGCATCGAAATCAACGGGAAATTGTGCATCACCAAACCACAACGTCAGAGCGAATAGATGAATTCCATATTCCTGACAAAGTTTCATGAGTCTAAAGTACTGCGATGCCTCGGCGCGAAATCGGTTGCTAGTTCGGTTCCAGATGTAACGAAACAAGTCGGCAACCTCGCCCGGGACATTATCAATCGTAGCCTGCAATTCCAAGATGGCGGTTCCATCCCGGAGCGCATTCAGTAGCAAGCGCGAAATAACAGATACCCATAGAAAGACGCCTTGTGACTTGTCCACAATGTCTGTGATGATCTTGCTAGCGGCTTGCTGGTTGGTGTCGGCGAAGTCGCGGTAACCTGGGCTGAGCTGGAGCTGTTCCTGGACGAACGACTTGATATCTTCTTGGGTTAAATTCTCGAGTTGCAGCATAGGGTTTTGTCCGTATTCGTCTCTAAAGATGTTCCATGGTCGACTGCTGGCGCAAACTTTCACCCCAGTCTCGGCATTGGCCTCACGGAGAAGATGAATCAAATCGCGGTGGTCCTCGTGGCGGTCCTCGTCAAATTCATCTAAGCCGTCAATAAGAAGGGCTAGCTTCAGTCCGTTGCCGGTTGCAGATAAAAGATTCCGAAAGCCAGTCCTCAGCTCATCCATCGTCAGAGCTGGCAATTTAATCCTTTCACCGAAGGATTGGAGAAGAAACCACCGCGCAGGGAAAATGTCAATGGCAAGCTGAGGCCGCTTCTGGATAGCCTCGAATAAAAAGGTTCTAAAAAGGCCTTCTTGAGACTTCTGAAGCCTACTCACTCCCGCCGTCCAAGAGTAAAAGGTAATAATGAGGAGTTGAGACTCTGCTGCCCACTCCTGTAGCAGAGCTTCAAACCTCGGGTCTCGTGAGATGAATTTGACCAGTGTGGACTTTCCAGCACCTGGTTTACCAGTAATCCAGTAGATGTCTGGCGACTCTGTCTGCAACCACTGCGGAAAGCTTGACCAGAGAGCGTGGCCATCATCTGATATCCGTGGCTCGTGAAAAATCCACTCAAAAGTTTCCGCGTGTCGCTTAGGAATGCTCGTCTCTCGATGGCTTATCGACTCAAAGGACAGACTCTGACACAGTTTTATGTGTTTCCCATCGTCTCGAAACTCGTCAAACACCGTTTGCTTTGCATATTTGCTTGTCCACTTCTTATTGTTGAGCACATAACGCACCATCTCATCAGTCTCTGTCTGGTGAATCACTGGCCACGTATCGATGAGATCAATGATATCTGTACTGAACTGTTTGGTAGTGGTGTCGATTCGATCCAGAGTAGCAATCATATCTGCTTGTTGCTTCGCAAACTGGCGCAACTCTACGCCATTTTTACCAGCCTCATCCCTGATCGACCATAAGAACAAGGTTAGCCCGGCTTTCTGCATGACAAATGCGAGTTGCTTGAGAAGGGTGGGGGTTTGACTAACAATAAAAGATACAGCAGACCCACGTCCATCTGCTGGCGGATCTGGCTCAAGCGATCTGCCAGCTTTTCAATGTCACCAGCGGCTGCAACTTGTCTGAACGCAACTCGCAAGCCATCTGCAGCTAGTTCTATCTTGTTGGAGCCAGCTTTTACCCTGAGATTGCTGAGGATGCTCTGAAGCTCATCGTTGGTTGCCTTGCATTCGCGGTACAGACGAGTGAAAACCTCTCCTATTGACCCTTGACTCTCGTCGAGCTTGGCTTTAACGGCATCAGCGAGGCTTGAGAGGTCCTGAGACACGGCGGATAGTTCAATGTATTCGGATGCTTGGCCAGAGGGAGACTTATACAGCTCCCACGCACTTTTTACAAGGCGAAAGCCAAAGTCAGCAAACTGGACCACTGCCGCCGCTATGCCGACAGCGTTGACTGGGTCCATATCCGAGCAATCGGGCTGCTGCAGTATTGAAGGAATCGGCTCAAATACAGTTCAGTTGTTGTGATGCTTGAATCATACATCTTACACAGCCCCGCTCTTCTGCCTAAAGCGCCTCTCCTGTCTTTGATGTGGTTGGTTGATCCTTTTAGCCGCGTTCAAGGCTGAAGTCTGAAGCTGAGGCTGTCTTATTGATGCCCAATCTTACCCGGTAATAATATTCATTTATCTATATATAAGAGCCCATGGCTGTATTTTTATAGAACTAGAAACCAGTTTTTGTGGAACTGGCTACTCACTCTCACTCACCGAATGACTTCAACAAATATGTTTTCCCAGGGAGGATGAGCGGATAATTGAAAGAGATCTCATCACTTCCATGATAATTTCCCATGCTGTTATTGGCACCAGCAGATGTACCCATTCACTCACTCAATGAGCCACATATGAAACAGCTCGAGCAATATGAGAGCACCTTGATAAAATATCATTTGGCTCAAGTTCTTTTCCTAATTAGAAAAAAAGAAAATATGCCAGAATTTCTCTTTCTAAATGATGACTACTTCCGCGATATTCTTCATAAAACGACATTTTAATGGACCCATATGAATTCCACGATGCATATGAGTCTTACCGAAGAGTAATCCAGTCGAAGAGTAGAATGAATACTACCTAGTAACCACTACCACGCAGTCATGTACACACTAAAGACTGTAGTCATCTCTTAGCGCCTCAACAAATAAGAGGAGGCTTCTTCTTGATATAGCTTGTTCAAGTCACAAAAACTAACTTGACTTGCGTGCTTCTAAGCAGACGCCCAGCTTCCAGGCCACTAACATTAACACTCTGATATTATCAACACTCTAATATTATCGACACTCTGATATAACGTGAAATATCTTATAACCCTCAACTAATCAATCAAGATATATTTTAATAGTATCCAGCGTCTCGTAAAGGCGTATCATCGTATTGTGCGGCAAATACTAAACTCATATCCACCGCGAAGGCTTCATTAAACTCGATATCAATCGTTCTCACAAACATGTCTTATAGGGGCTGCCACACACAAATGCCCATATGAAACGTACTATTAAAACACATCAATATCATTCATCACCAACTCAGTCATTCACACTCACCTCGCAAAGCCAGCTAAAATCGACGAAATGCGCCGCATCTCATCCAAACTAGCATCTCTCTCCCAATACACATCCTCATACTCCTTTTCCAAAATATCTCTCCTCAACGCCGTCGAAGCAATCGTAAAAGCAAGACATAGTATAATATCGCAACGAAACCGCGTGCTCGCATAAATACTTAATTTCGAATCCAACAGCGAAGGGTAAATGAGATCCACGGTACTATACGTCAAGGAAAGCAGACACTGAAAAGATTGTTAGATTAAATCTTGGGTGGTGGTATATGAATTCGTGAGACGCTACATACCAAGAGGACGATGAGGCCGTCCATGAAGCCGCATACATCGCATAGTCTCCTAGCTGAAAAGCACAGGATAAAAGTGTAGAGGCTCCCTGAGATAATTCGGACGGCTAAGTAGAGCACTCGAGCGTGGGAAGAAAAAAAACGAGAAACGACGGGACAATTTGGCGATTCATCCATCACGTATAGTTGAAGATAAGATGAATAACCTAAAAAACACTAACAAGATACTATCGTCATTCTATGCTGAGATTAAGGTAATATTGATGTCGTTATCTCATACAGTCATTTGTAAGCAACAGATAGCTACACAGCAATATGGTGTAACATCGACGTAAAGACAAACTTTTCTCAAAAGGGTGCTTGATCGGAGAGATGAAGCTATCCGCACCCGACACAAAGACGGGGCTGGAGATGGATTATACGCAGACGGAGACTTGCAATGTCCATCGCCACTCAGTATATGCCCGATTGTGTCATGAAAAGGGGAGCTTCAGCCCGTGTGAAACAGTGTGAGTCTTCCTAATTACCCCGTAGCCTGCGACAATAGAGCAAAGCAGCTGGGCCGTCCCACACGCAAAGCATCCAATCCAATATAGTAATTCACGCGACACAGCAACGACACATCATGCCACACTCTAGCTAATGTAGTAGTATCAACAGAGACTAGAGTGCCTTTTCCGCGTATTTGACGGGCCGGGCTGGTTAAGCCTCATCTGATTCGCGAAGCTAGGGAATTAATGACAAAGTCCGTCGCTGATCCCTGCTCGTCCGCCTACTCCGCATGTCCCAAAAGAGGCAATTAGGGATGAGAAAGAGACCAATAAAAGGCGATGAAAACGAGGCTCTCCACTTTTAGAATAACGAAGAAGAGGCCATCCCCCAGCTTTTTTTCGAGGGTTGTTCAACGGTTATGATTTCACGAGATTCTTGAGGGATCAGAGTGAGAAGTGGTTGGCAGCGTTTCATATCGCAGCGTAAACCACCAGTATTGCATTCTTGGTATCCTGAATGACAGAAAAAAAAGAAAAACGTTTCTTATTAATACATTAAAAAAGGTATATGTTGCCCAATTCTCAGCTCTGCTAAAATTGGACATGAAAAGAGAGGTCATGATTCAGTAGCCGGCGTGGATGTTGTGGAAGAAGAGATATTTGGATCAGCTTTAATCTCTGAAAGCCTCTTTGCTATTTCAGCAGTCGACTTTTCCGTCGACGACGTGCACTCAAGACACTGGCGGCACTCAAGATTCCGCCTTAGCTGCTCCTCGCACCAGGCCAGCCGGGCAAACAAGTCCTTTGTCGACTGCCTGCGTTTGCGCGGCGCGGCTGGTGCGCTTGGCTGACAAACGACTTTGAGCTGGAATTTGTTGAAAGAGGGAATATGTCAGCGGCGGTTTTGTCGTCTTCTCTTATCTTGTATGCTATGGGCGGAGAGTATTTGGGTGCCGCACCTTGATGCACATAGAGCATGGGCTTTTCCGGTTGCACTTCTTTTTGCGCTTCTGGCAGAGCCGACATGCAAGTTTCCTTGCTTCCTTTGCGGGTTTGTGGGGAGGAGTTGAATCGACGGAGCCCACGGAGCCCATGGTCGAATACTTGTTGAGTGTGAATGTGAATGAGGATGATGTGATGTGATGATGTGGAAAAGTTTCAGAATGGATCTTTTCAGCTAACGACGTGCGTCGAATGAGAAGACGGACATGAGAGGCAGAAGAGAGTACTCGTAACTACCATCAAAGCTTGATTAGCACCCTTTATCAGTGTTCAAGGTGCGTCCTGAGATTGACCAAAGACAGGAGAAATTCACATTTTGAAGGCTTGTCGTCAAAGCTCAAAGTCGACCATCTCGAAATGGAAATAGTAGCCCCCCCGTCCAAGCCAATGCACAGATCAGCCTAGTGACAAACTTTGTTCAATAAAGAACGTTATGGGTCCCGGGAAATCGAGTCATGGATCATGAAGATCGATACCTATGCGACTCGGTAGGGCCAGCTAAGCTTGGATCGGAGTGCTCAGTCGAAGCGCTTCGGGGTGAAACAAGGCACCAAGAAGCCGGAATCGTGCTCTATCGACACCCCGAAAAGAAGCAGCAAGCACACGGTGGCTCGGGGTCTATCAAGAGCCCGTCGTTGTGGAGCAGGGACGCGAGACCACGATTGGACAAGCGGGATCGTACAGACAAATACGGATCCTGAAACTCCGCAAGATGCTGTATTCGCCAAGGGCACGGCTGTGGGATGGGAACGAACGTTGCACGGGGGCTGTGAGGCGGCCCTTTCAGTTGTCTCTGACCAGCTAACACAGGCAAAGGAGCGCACCCCTGAATTAGCAATCAGGGCTTGACGGGCTCCTTATCGTTCAATGGTTCGGAGGTTTGTAAACGTGGGCCACCCGAGATGCCGGCGCGTTGGCAGGCTGCGGCTCTCCGATGAGGGTCATATAAATCCTGTAAATAAAATGTCAGATCATGACAACTCTTTCGGTTCACAGAAGGTATTCCAGGGGTTCTGGGACAGACACCAGTTATAGTCGACGTTATTTGATCCAAGTTACGAGAACACGAAACTCGACGTTGACGAACCGTGAAGAGAAGTGACTGAGTGGTGGTTTTTGATTTGATATACGATCAAGCTTGTTTGAATATCGAAGAATCTGAAGAAGAAAAAACAGCTTCGCTCGACACCTGGAAAATGCCAGCTGGGCAGCCGCCAGTGGGCGGTGACTCGAGCCCTGAGTCCCGTGCTCAGTCGCCACACGGAAGTGCCCAAACATACGTCGACGGGCAACAACAACAAACCTTTTCCCTCGAGCCGGACTCCAAGACCGCCAAAGACAAGGACAACCACGACGGCGACGACGAAGATGATTCCTCCGAGAACAACAGCGCCCACGAGATGGAGCGGCGGATGAGCGTCGTGCAGCAGCTGGCCCGCCAGTACACGCACGCCTCGGGCATCGATATTCAGGGCCAGGCCACGTCGCTGTTTGGGAACAACGATCCTGACTCGCCCCTGAATCCCATGAGCAGCAAGTTTAGCGGACGCACGTGGGCGAAGACGGTGGCCAAATATGCTGCTGAACACGGCTCGGGGTTTCGACACAGTGGCATTTCGTTTCGGAATATGAATGTGTATGGATATGGAAGCGAGACTGATTTCCAGAAGGATGTTGGAAACGTTTGGCTGTCGATTCCGGATCTTGCTCGACAGGCGTTTAGCAAGTCTAGCAAGAGACGGATCGATATCCTGCGCAACTGTGATGGTGTTCTCAAATCTGGAGAGATGCTCGTTGTGTTGGGACCTCCTGGATCGGGGTGTTCCACGTTTCTCAAGTCGATTGCGGGCGAGACGAGCGGAATATACATTGACACCGAGACTCATTTCAACTACCAGGGCATCAGCGCAGAGGAGATGCACACTCAGCACCGAGGTGAGGCCATCTACACGGCTGAAGTCGACGTGCATTTCCCCATGCTTTCGGTTGGCGATACGCTTTCCTTTGCCGCCATGGCACGAGCCCCTCGAAGTCTTCCCCCCGGAGTCTCAAATGACGAGTTTGCAGCTCACTACCGTGATGTTGTCATGGCCATGTACGGCATCAGCCACACCGTCAACACTCGCGTTGGTAACGAATACGTTCGTGGTGTGTCTGGAGGAGAACGAAAGCGCGTCACCATTGCCGAAGCCACTCTCTCCAACGCCCCCTTACAATGCTGGGACAACTCTACTCGAGGTCTCGACTCGGCTAATGCTATCGAATTCTGCAAGACGCTGCGTCTACAGTCTGATACTTTTGGCCAGACGAGCGCGGTGTCCATCTATCAGGCGCCGCAAAGTGCTTATGATGTCTTTGACAAGGTGTTGGTTTTGTATGAGGGACGACAGATTTTCTTTGGCCCTACCGACAAGGCTAAAGAGTATTTCGAAAACTTGGGCTTTGAATGTCCTGCACGTCAAACTACGCCCGATTTCCTGACTTCCATGACGGCGCCAACGGAACGAATTGTTCGTCTTGGTTGGGAAAGTCGCGCACCTCGTACTCCTGATGAATTCGCTACTTGCTGGAGGAACAGCAACAACTACAAGGCCCTCCAAGCCGAGATTGAGAGCTACAACGCGGAGCATCCCATTGATGGAACCGACGCCCAGGCCTTCCGCGAGCACAAGAAAGCTACTCAGGCCAAACGTCAACGCGTCAAGTCTCCCTACACCCTCTCGTACTCTCAGCAAGTGCGTCTCTGCCTCTGGCGCGGATGGCGAAGATTAAAGGGCGATCCTAGTCTGACCATCTTTTCGCTCCTATCCAACTCTGTCATGGCCCTCATCATTTCGTCCTTGTTCTACAACTTGCAGCCAACAACGGGCAGTTTCTACTCGAGGGCCGCTGCCCTCTACGTCGCCATCTTGTCCAACGCCTTCTCCAGTGCCCTTGAAATTTTAACGCAGTACGCTCAGCGGCCGATTGTCGAGAAGCATCAGCGATATGGATTCCATCTTCCGTCAGCTGAAGCCTTTTCCTCTGTGCTTTGCGATATGCCGTACAAGATTGGGAATACGATTTGCTACAACTTGGTCCTGTACTTTATGGTCCATCTTAATCGTACCCCCGGAGCCTTCTTCTACTTCCTGCTTGTAACGTTTCTCATGGTGCTGGCCATGTCTGGAATTTTCCGATCAATGTGAGTTTTCCTTACCCTTGTCCATCACCATGTCCTTGTCCATACATCACCATGCTGACACACAGACAGTGCTGCCCTATCGCGAACCCTTTCGCAGGCCATGGTTCCGGCCTCGCTCCTGATTCTCGCCATGGTCATCTTCACTGGATTCGTCATCCCCGTCGACTACATGCTTGGGTGGTGTCGCTGGATCAACTATCTCGATCCCGTCGCCTACGGATTCGAAGCCCTCATGATCAACGAGTTCCACGGCCGCGAGTTTGAATGCAACTCGTTTGTTCCGAGCAGCCTCATCCCGGGCTATGAAAACGTGACATCGACACACCAAGCTTGTACCGCCGTCGGATCCGTTCCCGGACAGGCTCTTGTCAATGGCGATGCCTACATCAACTCGCAGTACAAGTACTTTCACGCCCACAAGTGGCGCAACGTCGGAATCCTGATTGCTTTCCTCCTCTTCAACCACTTGGTATACTTTGTCGCGACGGATGTGATTCAGGCAAAAAAGTCCAAGGGCGAGGTCCTTGTCTTCCGTCGCGGCCAGCTTCTTACTTCGGCCGCCAAAAAGGGCGACATGGAATCTTCCTTGTCTGGACCAGTTCCTGTTGTTGAAAAGGGCTCGGAGATTCCCAAGGAGTCGAGCGGCGCCAACATTCAGGCATCTACGAGTGTATTCCACTGGGGTAAGGTGTGCTATGACATTAAAATCAAGGGCGAACCACGACGAATTCTGGACCATGTGGACGGCTGGGTCAAGCCTGGAACACTCACAGCGTTGATGGGCGTATCTGGCGCTGGTAAAACTACGTTGCTCGATTGTCTGGCTGATCGTATCTCCATGGGAGTTATCACGGGAGAAATGCTGGTGGACGGCAAGATTCGCGATAATTCGTTCCAACGAAAGACGGGATACGTTCAGCAGCAAGATCTTCATCTGGAGACTACAACCGTTCGTGAGGCTTTGGAATTCAGCGCTCTGCTTCGACAGCCGGCTAGTACGCCTCGGGCTGAGAAGCTGGCATACGTCGACGAAGTCATCAAGCTGCTGGACATGCAAGAATATGCCGATGCCGTCGTCGGTGTGCTTGGCGAAGGTCTTAATGTTGAACAGCGAAAGAGACTGACAATCGGAGTCGAATTAGCAGCCAAACCCCCGTTGCTGCTGTTTGTCGACGAGCCAACCTCCGGTCTTGATTCCCAGACATCGTGGGCCATCCTCGACCTCCTCGAAAAGCTCTCCAAGGCCGGCCAGTCTATTCTCTGCACCATCCACCAGCCATCCGCCATGTTGTTCCAACGCTTCGACCGTTTGCTTTTCCTGGCTAAAGGCGGCCGCACCGTGTACTTTGGCGACATTGGCGAGAACTCGTCCACCATGACTGCGTATTTCGAGAAGCAGGGCGCGCCCAAGTGTCCGCCCAGCGAGAATCCCGCCGAGTGGATGCTTTCTGCTATTGGAGCTGCCCCGGGATCTACGACGGACATTGACTGGCACCAGGCTTGGCTTAATAGTTCTGAGTATCAAGAGGTTCAGGCTGAGCTGCAGCGCCTCAAGGACGAAGGCAACAGCCACGGCGCCGACTTGATCAACGACAAGGCTTCGTATGCCGAATTCGCAGCCCCCTTTTGGTCGCAGTTCTTCATTGTTACCCAGCGTGTCTTTCAGCAGATCTGGAGAACTCCCTCGTACATTTACTCCAAGTTCTTCCTCTGTCTATTCGTGTCGCTGTTTATCGGTCTCGTCTTCCTCAACGCCCCGCTGACTATCCAAGGCTTGCAGAACCAAATGTTTGCCATCTTCAACATCTTGACCATCTTTGGCCAGCTCGTGCAGCAGCAGATGCCGCATTTCGTCACCCAGCGCTCGCTCTACGAAGTCCGCGAGAGACCCTCCAAAACCTACAGCTGGAAGATCTTTATGCTGTCCCAGGTCGTGGCCGAGATCCCCTGGAACTCGCTCATGTCCGTCTTCATGTTTGTCTGCGTCTACTACCCCGTGGGCTTCAACAAGAACGCCGTGCCCGCCGACCAGGTTGTCGAGAGAGGCGGCCTCATGTGGCTGCTCTTCTGGCAGTTTCTCATCTTCACGTGCACCTTTGCCCACGCCTGTATTGCTATTACTGATACTGCTGAGGCTGGAGGAAACCTCGCCAACGTGCTCTTCATGATGTGCCTCATCTTCTGCGGTACTTTGGCCTCGCCCGACAGCATGCCCGGCTTCTGGATCTTCATGTACCGCTTATCTCCCTTTACCTACTGGATTTCTGCTGTGCTGTCCACCGGCCTGGCAAACACCAGCGTCACATGCTCTGCCAACGAGCTCGTCCACTTGAACCCGCCCAGCGGCCAGACTTGCGGCGAGTATTTGGGTGACTTTATCACTGCCGCTGGAGGTTATCTCCAGGATGCCAATGCCACGTCTGGCTGCAGCTACTGCCCGATTGCCGACACAAACGTCTTTTTGACGAGTGTCAGCTCCAGTTACTCGCACCGATGGCGCGACTTTGGTATTGGAATGGCGTACATTATTTTCAACATTGCCGCGTCGCTGTTCCTCTACTGGCTGGTGCGCATGCCCAAGAAATGGGGCAAGAAGAAGGATTAGATTCTTCATGTCCCCGTTTTGATGGTTGCCAGTGAACAATCCCACGAGATCTTTCGTCTCATTTGACATCATCAAAACAAACAACCACTGCATTTCGCATTGCATTCACTCTCATCAGTAAATGCTCTCACGAACAACAAGACATCCTTCAGGATACCATTTTTCTTTTCTTGCCTTTCCTTTCATAGATCAAATCTTTTTTTTTTTTACAATTTATTAGAGAGGTAGTGTCAAAGTAGGGCGCTGCTTTGACACCCCATCACTAGATTTTAAAATCATCATGAAGTTAATTTGACAAATGCCACTTTGTCCAAAACGAAGCATCCGCGAGAAAAATGGTTTTTATTTTTTCTTTCCTTTGTATCATCATCTAACGAGTGTTTTTGACTACCTATATTCCTCCTTATTTATCCATCCATACATCCATAGACTATTTGAGAAATACACAAGTTGCGTATTTAGCATCGGGAAGGACTGTGTGACTCGCGAGAGCAATGTTGCTTGCTGTTTTGTTCAGTTCATAATAATCCATGCCATTCATTACATTCCCATCCCATCCCGACCCAATCAATCGTAAGTGTGACTTTTTGCCAATCAAAATCGCAAGTCCTCAATGTTGTTAAACAAAAAGTTGTAGCTCGCGTTCCGATATGTATCATCCTTCAACCCATTAATAATCCCTTTAAACTCCAACAACTTCCTCCCCTGCTTCCACTGCGGCCAAAACAAACCCGGTCTCGTGCCAACATTCGGATCCAGATTATACAAAAAGTTGATGTAGTACACCCTGCCACTAAACGTCGCATAGTGGCTATTCTCACCCGAAAACAAGACGCTCACGTCTGACCCATGGTAGGTTCCAAAGAGAATGGAAAGAAGCTGGTCCTTGTACGACGAAAAGTACGACCACGTAGGCACGTCTGGGGCGACTTCGGAAAACACCTGAAGCGTAATTCGCCGAACCAGATTGAAAACAATGTCGCCAAGGATGGACGCAATCCTCTTCTGGCCGGGATACAGCTCGAAATCCCCAGAGCCATACGGGCTTCCGTCGTGGGGAAAGGGGCTGTAGGTTCTCACGAGGCCGGTGGTTTGGTCGTGGTTGGCGTTGTGGAAGTAGTACTCAGATAGATAGTCGGCAATCTTTTCCGTTGAGCCCATATCCCTCTGGGTAAGACTAAAGAGTGATCCCTCGTCTTCCTGAGTTCCGATAATCATGGGCACCTGGTGGAATTTCTTAGCCCTTTGAAGTGCATCAGGACTATCCGACAAAACTTGACCGTCTGGCCTGGGTAAGTACGAGAGAGCCAGAGAGCTGTAAGAGAAGATGCCCGGCACAGAATTGGCGGCAACAGTAAAGTCGTCATTGTCCAAATCACGAAGACAAGCCAAGGAATTATCGCCCTCGCATCCGGCCGCTTCGGCAACGGCATCGTAGATGGCCTGGCCCTTGTCACTGTCCAAGGGATCTGTAGGAGTCGCCGAACCAGAGTTCATGATGGCGCCCCGGAAGAGCGGGTTGCCGTTGTATGTGGCGTTACCATCAAACAGGACAAGCTGGTCAAACACGGAGATGGCGCCGGCAGATTGGCCCCAGATGGTGACCTTGCCTGGATCGCCTCCAAAGGCCTTGATGTTATCGGCAACCCATTCAAGGCCCATGCGTTGATCTAGGAGTCCAGCATTGCCGCTGCCCTCTTCCAGAATTTGCTTTCCCGGCATGAAACCCCACGCAGCAACGCGATAGTTGACTGCTACAAAGACGAATGGCTTGCCAAGAAGCACGCCAGTGTCGATCAACTTGGTGCCATTAAAACCAGCAGTGCTTCCGCCCACAAAGCCACCGCCATAGATCCAGAACAGCACGGGGAGATCATCGCCCTCCTGGACGCCTTTGGGCCGCTGAACATTGATGGTCAAGCAATCCTCCGAGAAATCAGGAGCTTTTGCCTCGCCAGAGGTGTCGTTGAGGATAGCGCCTGCCTCAGGAACATTGGGGCCTCCTAGAGTGATCAATGGTCCTTGGGGACATGACAATGGGACTCTGGTGGCGTCGAAATCTCCAAGGTACCTCGAGAGCTTCTGTGGTGGTCTGAAGCGCAAATCTCCGATGGGTGCATCAGCATAAGGGATGCCATTGAACGTATCGACAGTCTGGCCCACCGAGCCAATGATGGTACCGGATGAGATCTCAACCTCGACGATGTCGTTCTTTGCCCTTGCAGTCAAAGTGGAAGCTGGTACAGCTCCGACAAGGGGCAGCAGACCAGCCGTAACGGCTGTGAGGATGGCCGCCTTCATGATTGGCGAGGAAAGCAAAGAGAAATAAAGAGGTTTGGAGCCTGGCTTTGATCAAGAGTCTACCGCCACGCTGAGTAGGTGGTAGTGATGAAGACTTGGTTTTCTGGAGCGAGAATCATCAGTCTCTTATACAAGTTTTGGAGCCCATGTCGGTGCCGTCCCAGCATTATGCAATGCAATTCGAATCTCAAATTTCCCCTCAATGTCTGAGTACTCTCTTGGTAATGACATAATAATGTCGGAGAGACGGGACCCGGAAGAGTAATATTGCAGCGCCTCCCCACTCGATGAATGTCGTGATGTTGGGTTCTTACTACATTGTAGAGAGGTGCTCCGTCGGCTACCAGCTTCATGTGACACATCGCGACTGTGTGATTTCCCGTCTAAGACATGTCACCTATCATCCAACCTTGTACTCCGTAATGTATTCCGTTCACCGCATGGGAATCATGCCGCGGTGACACTGCATGCGGTGAGGTGGATATGAAGCCGTTGATGAGACGAATGAGGAGCGAGGGACGTGTCCCGAGGTAACACTGACATGTGAGACATTCGTAGTCATAAGGTAGTAATACTACGGTTGTGTAAACCTCTTACTAAAGGATGCCAGATTGAGTGCGATGCCCTGCATAAGAGATTCAGTAAGATGTCATCGTGGGTGTACAATGGCGCCGATTACCTGGGTCTGAGTCTCGATAAGGCCTTCTTTACCTTGATGAAGCTGGCCAATGGCAGATATTCACCACCCTCCTTCGGGAGCCATTGTTATTGAATTCCCACGAATGTGTAACGTAATGTCACCGATCTGTCGAAAGAGCTCTGGTTGTTGAAAGGACAGGCAAGGGGGGACGTGAGAACCTTGATGGAGATCCCTTGCATTCGCTCAGTCAGTTGACCAAGGTGGCTTGTCGGATCGAGGCCGGGTCGCATCGCTTCCGGCCGTCTTTGTCTCATCTTACTAGCCAGGTCAGAGTTCTTATTAGCAAGATCAGAGTGTCAAGGGGTGGTAAGCATACAGCGCCGTCTTTCACATACAGGTTATAGTGGCAGACTGACGTTTTGTTCTTCCACCGCATGAGTGTGTACCGTAAGGAAGTCTCTTCTTATTCGTCATGTCCTGAGTCTCGAGCTGTCATTGCCATTACTACGTGTTTGCCTCTGTTTCTTGTGAGCCGTGTCGCAGGCTTCAGTGCCAAGAGATGGAAAGAATACAGCGCCATTTTCCACATACAGATCATAGTGGCAGACTGGCGGCGTCTTCATCCACCGCATGAGTGTGTACCGCAGGGAAGTCTCTCTTCTTGGTCATCAGGTCATAGAGGGTGAGTCGTGTCGCACGTTTCAGCTGTCATCGTAAGCTGCATGTACCTCAGCATTCTAGGTGATGAATTAGCTGATGAATCCTGGTGCCACTGATCTGACAGTGGTCCAATTCAACGATAGTAACTCCAATTGAACGATAGTAAGACATGCTAACGTCTGTGGAGGCTTCAGTTCGATACAGTATCTTCGACTCAAGCGTTTTGGTGAACATTTCGTACTAGGGAAGAACTAGAGCCGTCCTTTGTTCATGCTGATATTGAGAGGAAAGAAGAAGAAAAATTTGAAGGACGCCCTTTGAGGTATTCAATCTGTCGATATTGATATTGACACACACTTACGTCGGTGATAGCCTCATTTTGATGCAATGTATGAATGTCTTCCGACTCAAGTATTTTGCTCAAGTGTTTTGGTGGACATTTCGTACTGAAGAAGAGCTAGAGCTGTCTTCCTGTTCATACTGATGTATTCGAATGGACGATGTTGAGAAGGAAAAGGTAAAGGGCGCCCTTTGAGGTGTTTCGTCAGATTCGCTCCTGCTCTCTCGCTTTCCAGATATCGGCGCTGCTATTCTTCCACTTCCCAACCAAAGAAATGGATGATCATCAACGAAATTGATCACCAGGAAAAGGAACAGGTAAGGTAGAACATCAAGTAAAGAAGAGAAAAGTAGAGCATCGTCAAGACAGGTATGCATTTGCAGTAAATATACCGTGATAACTTCCAAAAGACAAAAAACAACCATCAGGCTTCTTTCTTCTACAAACAAGCCAAGCTCCTCCAAAAAAAAAAAACCAGGGGTATAATCCCACCATCCTCCTCTTTTCTTCCTCTCTCCCATCCACATCTCCCTCCCTCAAACCACACTCCCAACAACAAAGCGTTTTCTCCAAATTTTCATTCAGTGCCCCATCCCGTCGCGAATCTCCAAAAAGTTGAGATATCTCTGCTTGGTCCAGCGCCGCGCGCGCTTCCCCCAGATAATCATGGGCAGAGACAACATCAAAATGACGAACCCCAAGACGCCAAGCTCAATAAAGGTATCCTGAACGCCCGTGTCGAGCCAGTAGCTCGCCACAAAGGTGAAAATCATGGCCAGCGTGTTGTTGATGACGGCCACTCCCACCATGCCCTCGAGGACCATATCCGGATAGCAGTCGGCAAGGTAGGTCAGACTAAGATCGCCGGCACAGCCGTAGCCAAAGCCAATGAAGCCGAGGCCGACGTAGGGAACGGGCCAGCTCCAACCCTTGGCCGATCCGATGCCAAAGAGCCACATGCCGGTGGGGAAGATGATGACACAGAGAAACATGAGGTACAAGCGGTATTCGGCCTCTTGGATACCCCTGTTGCGTCGGCTGGCCCAGAGAACAAACAGGTCACTCAGGTAGCCACCGTAGAAACAGCCAATGATGCTGCCAATGAGACACGGAATGTTCATGTTGCTCACGGCGACATCGCCATAGTCCCAGGGATCGTCTGTCCAGTAGTCCTCCTCAATGGTGAGATAAAAGGACAGGGCAATGTTTTGCATGCCCCACTGCAGGCCGGCGAACCAGACAGCGGGAAAGGTAAATATGCGTAGCGTGTGCCACAGACGGCCGACATACTGTCTGGCTCCCACGCCGCGCAGGTTCGGGGCGGGGGTGATGAGGGCAATTCGCTGCCAGTAAGACTTGGGGCGCGTGTAGTTGAGGGAGAATTCGTCGACGTCGCGGGGAGTGACCGCGGCCTCTTCGTCTGATGCACCCGTGTTGACATCAGCTACAGTTGGGGTACCGCTGGCCATCTTCTCGTCGCCGTCTGGGGAGGAGGATGCGGCAGCGCGATTCTCGAGTCGATCTCGCTGGTAGCGCTCACGTGGGAAGGCCGTCTCTTCCAGACCAAAGTAGAAGAGGACAAAGTTGAAGCCCGACATGATGGCGCCGAGGTAGCCAATCCAGCGCCATCCAAGATTACTGTCGGCGACGTAGCCACCGACCAACGGGCCAAGGTACGTTCCCACGGAGGTGGCCAAGGTGTACAAACCCATCGAGGTGCCGTTCTGGTGCTCGAACCAAATGTCGAGCAGGGAGAGCTGCACCACGGCCTCTGCGACTGACTCGGACGCTCCGACAAAGAGCTGCGTCCAGATGGCGTCGGACGAGGTCTTGAGTCGTCCAAACCAGATGTTGCCAATCAGGCCCCAGGTCGCGCCGACGAGGTACAGGATTCGTCGTCCGTACAGATGGACAGCGGGCGAGCTGAGCAAGGTCCAGTAGCCAATAGCAAGGAAGAGAACGCCAGCACCAGTGTTGAAGACATCATAACTAATGCCGTACTCTTCGTTGACGCCCGTGCTAGCAGATCCAGCAACGTTGGACGTGGCAGCAGTCAAGGCAACAGCAAAACACACGAGAGCAGTGTGCCAGATCTTGCGCCACAGGCTCCAGTTGAGGGGATCGTTGGGCGACTGGGTTGGCTGGGGGACGAGCACAATGCCGTCGTGCTTCTGCAGCAGGCCATTGGCAGAGTTGCTGCTGGCGGACTCATCGATGAAGACGCATCGCGTGCCCGGGAGCACTTCGTCGATGTCGATGACAGCTGGGAGGGACTGAACGGCCATCCGAAACACCTTTCTTTGCCTGAGGTGGGTTTGAGGTCAATCGCAGTGGCGAGAGGGAGAGACGAATTGGCTCACGGGAGCCTCATGCGGTTGCGCCGAAGGGAGATGATGATGAAAGGAAGAAGAAGGGAAGAAGAGAGGCAAAAGAGTAGGACAAAGATAAGAAAGAAAAAGAGGAGGAGGTGATACAATGGCCCCAGATACGGCACTTGCTCCGTGGTACTTTTTTTCTTTCTGGGCTGGTGTGTCCGTTAATCGGGCTTATCGCGCTATCGTTGCTGCTGCTGCTGCAATGCCTCCAGGTTGAATTTTTTTTCGCCTGGGGTTCAATTGCCTGCTAGTGGAGGACTGCAGGGCTCTGGTTTTAGCGGCTGGTGGGAGGTGCGGGTACCTGCTGGAGCATCTGTACCTGGTAGCGTGCGCCAAGCTGCCCAGACACCAAGTCTCTCGGTACTTTTCCCCGGCGAAACAGCACATCGAAGGCCGAAGAGAGGCGATAAGACAATTGAAGGCTTGATTACAAGGCTGCAAAGTGTTTAGCCACCAACTTAAGCTGTATCGCCGCAAGATCATCGTAACCCCCTTGGAATGTCTTTTTTTTCTTGAATATTTTTTGCACCCAATTGTGACCGCAGTGGCGTATCGTATTATCGCAAATGGAGTTCCCGAACTAGGGCCATGACGCAGGCCCATCCCATCCCCCCGCCAATCAGGCCGCAACGGTGCAATGCGGGAGCCAAAAACGGGGGGCTTGTTTCTGTTTAGCTTGGGAGCGGCGCCTCCGGGGTTTTCATTATTTTTGTGTGAGTTTTTGTTGGTTGGATTTTACATACGTTGATGGGGGATGAGTAATCAGTCTTTGGTCGAATCAGAGCTGTGAATTTGCGATGGAAAGATATGGACGCCATTGTGGTCGCGTGTGTGTGTGTGTGAACGATTCAAGCTAAGCTAAGAGTGCAAGGGACGCGATATGCAATGCAGAGCTGCGATGCGACACTGCTAACTAAGTTGGATGCTACTGTAACTAAACCTGCTACGAGAGAATCAGCACATACTTGCCCGATTGGACCTTGGCTGATGGCTTCACTTCGGGCAGATTCAGCTGCTGTTACACGTACCCTACAACGCATACAAATCACATCAGTTGACGACGACACATCACATCTTGATCGTTTTTTTTTTTTTTTTTTTTTTTTTTTTTTTTTTTTTTTTTTTTTTTTTTTTTTTCAATTGTATCTTGATTATTGTATGTTCATTAGGCTGCAGACATGGAAGAAATGACAATATAGGCATCGTGGTCATCATTCGTGGTGTTTGCACATTACAAGTTGTTTCAAGATGAACCCCTCATCTTCCACCAAACATTAGCATCACACAACAGAGCAACTCAAAGCTATTGCAAACAAAATAAATTTCTATTCATACATCATTTGGTATCTCTATATATTTGCCCTCCCAATATTACAATCAATCTATATCAACATGTACAAAGCAAATGGTATATCCTCAGACTTACTAGGCAGGCTTGAATGAATGAATGAATGAGCCGCCTTTCAGACTTGTCTCAACAAAAGAAAAAGCAAAGAACGCCTTCGTTTGTTTCGCCTCACGCAAATTAACAGCAACGGCTCACAGAGTCATCTCCCACCTCAGACTCATCGTCGGCAAACCGACTCGAAGTCTTACGTGGCATTGACTTCATAATCGTCGTCACGGCACAGTCCGTGTCCTCCTCAAACACCCGACGGGCATCTTCCTGCCATCGATCCCGCTTCCTCTTTCGCATCTGGGAATCTCCCACCACTGCAGGCGTCTTGGTGAATTCCAGTGACGCCTCTTCGAAATCGACAATCATGACGCTGTTGCGAGATGCATCGTACAAAAAGTTGCTTGGGATGTGGCCGCCGTTGTATACGACTCCCACCTTGTGAATGGCTTCTATGCCCATTTCCATCATTCTAGCAATCTGCTCCTTGGTCACCTGCTTGGAACAGTTTAGAAAAGGTCGGCCTGCCCAGCTCAAGAGCAGCAGGTCCTTCAAGGCTCTGTTGTTGTGGCGACGCGGTTTAATGAGCTCCATCATCCCAATGCATACGGGGATGCAGCGGCCCTGGAGATTCGCCATCTGATCGTATACAAACTTTTCGCTCCACAGGTACGCTGAATTCTTCCCGGCCTTGGCGATGAATGTATACCCGTGCGATGTGAGTCGCATCTTGAAGAGAGATTTGGGAACGTTTGCAACTCGCAGAGGTGTACAATCGGCATCGAGGTTGTCATCTTGGTCAAGTTGTGTGCGAAGGAGGCTCAAAAAGTCGTCGTAGTCGAGGTGAGCCGGTCCATGGAACTCTGCATTGGGGCAGTTTTTATCGAGTGATTTCCCTTGCACTAGGCCAAGAAGACACTTCTGAGAGCAGTACGGCTGGTCCTGTATCGACGTCGGTGCACTGGCTATGCTCTCGGTTGTATCCTCATAAGCTCTCTGCGCAGGGACATCGTCGAGCCAGTTCCTAATCTTGTCATTTCCTCTAACTTCTCCTCTACGAATCTCGGTGAGTATAGGAGATCGTCTGAAACCTTGCCAACGATGCATTCTGAGAGAAGACATGGACGAATGAGGCCTCATGACACCCATTTTTCGTATCTTGTCCAGCACATCGTCGTATCCCATGGTCCAAGTATCCATATACGTGACAGAATCGCACCACGATGCGGGCAGCGGTCTCGAGCGAAGAGCTTGAAGCACAAGCCCAAACACGAGCGCACCAGCACTTCGATGCAGCCTGGCAGGATCATCAGGCATGACCTCGCGCTCTGGCATACATGGCGTGCAGTATATGGTGCAGGGATCGTCCTCCGATATGCAGCAAAAGATGAATGCTTCTCCAGTGCAAACACATCCATACTGAATCTCCTTGCTAATCATGTAAGAATAGAGCTGGGTGATGGTGGCCGCCACAAGGGTCTTCGAGGCAAAGGTGAAATCGTCGCCCTCCTTGTCAATCACGTCTCGTTCGGGTCGGATCTCGGAGGCCAGCCCGCGATTGATTTCGTCCAGCTGCAAGCGATGCGGTAGTTGATGCACGAATGCAAATATCGGAGTCTTTTCGCCCCTATCCTCGTCATGTCGGTACACGCACGATCGATTGACCCAGATGCCCGCTCTCTTCGCCCTGCGATGAGAATTGCGCATGGAAATCTTCAATTCGTTTGCGCCCTTGTGCCATGATGATTCTAGCATGGGTTCAAACACCTGGCCTAGGTCTTTGTCCGTCTCTATCGTCACTTTGATATCGTCGCTGAGCCCGAGGCCGTTCCACAGCAAGCCGTCTTCATATAGCTGGTCCATCATTTCCTGCACCACATTTTCAATGGCGTAGCGTCCAAAGTGCTGCAGCGACGCCTCGCTGTTGACTGGTGTAAGAGTGCGCTTCACGGCCTCGAGCTGCTGAATCGATGGAAACCGGGGCTCCTTGCAGAATGCGCTATCAGACAAGATTCGCTGCCATACTCCTTCTTGTAACCGTGGGAACCCGTCCCAGGGAATGATTCGTCGAGGAAATGTCCAGCTGAGCGCTTCTTTCTGCGTTATTAGGGAGCGACTGGCCGTCTTTTGGAACCTCAGATGGAGTGCATGACATGTTTCTAGATACTGGACGAGGTTCTGCGGTTTCTGATCTTTTGCCGTTTCTCGCTGCACTCGTTGGCTGATTTGGCGCTCAATCCTCTTGTACTCGCGGTCGAATAATTCCTCATACTGGACGTCTATCCTTTGCTGCTCACGCTCGAGCAGCTCATCGCGTTCGCGTTCCAGCTGGCGGAACTTGCGCTCGTATAATTCGTCGCATTCGCGCTCTATATCCCGGCGGTCTAGCTCTCTTCTCTCGCACTCGGTCTCTACAAACTCTCGGAACCGGCGCTCGTCATCGTCGCGGTCGAATCTCTTGCGTTGGCGAGGAAACACCTGGCGGCGGCGCAATTCTTGTTGCAGGAGCTTCTTCCGCCGCCTCAGCTCCTCAAACCTATCTGTCATGACTTGGTGATTGTAGCAGGCATATGGACGACTGCTTTGCCGAGCAGGAATAAGGAGTGGCCTCTTGGCCGTATTATAAGAGCTGATTTGCGGTGGGGCGTGACGGTGACAGCTCACAAATTAAACTAGCCTGCAAGCGGGCTAGATTATGAGCCGGATAATATGACAGCTCTTGTGACCCCTGTGAGCTGATGGCTCAAATTGGAATGAACGGCTTGTTGGTGGTGATTCGTTGCTGTTTTGGGGTGGCTATTGTTCTTGCGTGAACAGCCTCTGTAATTTGCTGGTCTTGACGCGTCGTTGTTGGTCATCAGGGGATCAGCGTTCAAAAGGACACAGCGGCAGAACTCGAAATAGACGGGACACGAGGTTTGCGGCAGATGAGGCGGTGGATACGGCCAATATCCGTGCCGGCCGAGGCCTTCAATAGACGTGTGCCGTGCCGTGAGCTGAGTTTCCAGAAGCCATTCACATGTAGCCGGCATCATCAAATTTCGCATAGTGGTGTTTGCCGAATCACGGTTTACAATAGAGTGAGCATGCCGCAATTACGGCGCTTGAACCCATGTAGCCCTCTGTCCAAGAAACACGATCCAATCTCTTGCGCCAACGGTGATTGGCTTCCTGGATATCGGGCATCACTTGACCTCCCCTGCACAGCCACATGGTTGAAATGAGCTGCCGGCCGTGAATGCTCCAAGAGAGACGTTGCTTCTGTTGGGCCAATTGGCTTTCCAGCCGTCTTTGATTTGCCCCGGGGCATTGGGGGTTCCCCTTGTCAAAATGAGCATGCATGGCCTGTGTCTCCCGCATTCACAAAGGCGTGTCAGCCCCCATTCTCCTCCCGCATCTTGTTCATCTTGTTGAAAAGTCAGTAGATATGGAAACCAAAGATTAGTGTGCTCTATTCATTCTAAACATGTTCCAGTCATTAATATGTCTTCCGTCATCTCATTCAGTTCGCCAAGTAATTGACCTCGGTCGTATACGCAGCGTCATCGTGAATCGCCCAGTAACCATCCCAAATCGTCTTTGTTATCGGTCCAACTTTGCCGTCCTTGACGGGCTGTCCGTCGAGAACCGTGATTGGCAAAACACCGCCAGCCGTGGTGCACATGAATATCTCATCACATGTGTATGCCATCTCTACGGGTACCACCTCGACATGAACATCGATCCCGCTGGCACGAGCAACTTCCATGACAGTCTTGCGCGTGATGCCGTGCAACACTCCCCTATCGGGCGTGTATATGGCGCCGTTCTTGACAAAGACAATGTTGTATCCAGAGCCCTCAGTCAGGTTGGAGTCTCCATCCGTAAGGAACGGATAGCTGGCTCCACGATCCCTGGCCTCGTACATTCCGCGCACCATGTCGCCCCATTGCAGGTTCTTGATTGTGGGGTCCATGGCCCCGGGGGGAGTCCGTCGAACCGTCCGTGCAACGATGGCGCTGCCGCCGTTGTATTGCATGTCTGGGTCCATGAGCCAGACATATGGCAGCAGTATAACGTACAGGTTGTTGACAATTTCCTCTGGCTTGGCCTCCCGAACACCCTTGAACCCACGAGTGACGATTAGCTCAACGTAGGCATCTCGCATCCCGCTCTTTGCGACCATGTCGAACAGGATGCTCTTGAGCTCTTCCCTCGGAACCGGCAGCTTTAGTCTGAGCTTTGCACAGCTGGCGTCGAATCGCGTGATGTGATCGTCCAAGCGAAAGAATTTCCCATCCCATACCGACGGGACATCGTAGCACATGTCGCCATGAAGGAAGCCCTGGTCAACAATTGGGATCCGTGCCTCTGCTAGTGGCGAAAGCTCGCCTGCGATCCAGGCGACACCGTTGGCGAAGGGGTTGCTGCTTGCTTCTAGAGCGGCCCGTCGCTTTTTGTAGGCGGCAAAGACGGCGTCCATAGAAGCCATGGTTGCTGATGTGGGTGGGCGTATGAATTGAGTTGAAGATGAAACTCAAGATGAGAGAGATTTGTTTGTTCGTCTATCTTCTTTCTTTGAAGCTTGTTGAGCTTCCAGTCTTATTGAGATTGATTTGGCCTCATAAGTAATACAGTCAGTCGAAAGTGCGGAGTCATCTGCTTATGAATCCATTTCACCGAGCCGTAATCTGTGTCCAAAGCTTGGCTTCACGGCCCGCCGATCTTACAGACTGTCACTGTCGCCTTGCCCAAAACGAGTAACCTAACGCGAGTCTAAATGAGGGAATATGTTCCGCGTGGAGTTGAGAAGACAACCAAGAAGCTTCTCAAAACGCCACTTTGCGGAGAACCGTTATGGAAGGCGCTGCAACGGCATCGCTTTGATTCGAAAAACCGGTTTCATCATGGAGCTATGGAATAATTCGGGTAGCTCGAGGCGCTTGGTTGACTATGGTAATGTTTAGCCATCGCGTGTGGGTTGACCAGTTTCGCAGTGAGAATTCTCTGACAAACTTGGCCATGCAGCTGCCAAAGATGGCAATTCAAGAATATCCATCTAAGGCCGAGGCTGCACCAGGGGCATTGCATGAGGACTCACAGAGTAGCATCATGACGACACCGGGATCGATTTCCAGTCCAAGCTAGGCTAGCGGTCAATCTCAGATTAATGACGGCTCCATATTTGAGCATCATCTGCATGGCTGTACGCGGACTCGATGAGATGAGATTGGTCGGTGGATATGATGTGATTAATCAATGAGCTGCTCCAGATGCTCTGGCTCTTGCAGTTGCTCTGTATACTCTTGGCGGTAATTGTTCAATCATAGCAACGATAGGTGTTCATGAAGTGTTCTGATGTCACGGCACTGGGAGAGTCAATTGGCTTCAAAAGCGGATCGAAGTCTTCGCATCGTGTGAAATCTGGAGCGTGAATCCGATGAACGTCACTTAGTGCAGTTCGGAAGACGAAGAGAAACGAAGAGCGACAGAGAAACTGTTTAGAGACGTCAGTTTGTTCAATTGCATCCCGCCGTCTCATGTCTCGTTCGCCAATCGCGTTGGTTGCTCGCATAGGTCCTCTACTACATATCGTAACTAACTATATTCTAACCGGATCAAAAACTTACCACTATTTCTCGCGCCACGTCTCCTTGATGAAGTCGGCACATCTCTCGGCCACCATCATCGTCGGTGCCATTGTGTGCGCACTGGGAATCTTGGGAAACACGCTGGCGTCGGCGATGCGAAGTCCAGTGATGCCAAAAACACGCAGTTTCTGGTCTACAACACCATCTGATGCGTCAAGCGACATGCGACAAGTGCAGGCGTAGTGCAAAGCGCTCTGGTAGGCACGTTTGGTGTACTCATCGATGGCCTCATCCGATAAGTCTTGCCACTTTGGAAGCTCAGTTGTGCCGCCGATCTTTCTCTGTTGCTTCGGTAGTAGCTTCGTGAATCCCAGTCTTTGGTCGAGATATTCCAAATCCATACCGGGTCCGTAGACCAAAGGCGCGGGATGCGGATATCCCGAGTGGGCAAACTCCTGGCCCAGGCGCAACGCGAAGCGGATGGCCTTTCGCATCGGTGGAAAATCCCTCTCGTCTCTTAGAAGAGGATGAGTGATTTCAGGAGGATGCTCGGGATTCGTTGTGGTAAGCCTGATGTGGCCTCTGCTAAAAGGCTGCACCAATGTACATAGCCAAGTCAACAGTGAATGCTCTGTGATGTAGACATCAAAGTAACTTTCAACGGGAATGATCATAATCTCGATATCTGGCGCGTTCTGTGGCTGCGTCGAGTCCATTGCATCTTTGCCGTTGCATGAAGTCTGCACCTGCATAGTTGTATCGTCAATGGCAGTCGTACGAGCAAATATGGTGGAACTTGTTGAAGAGGTTGACAAGAGACCACGGCCGAAAAACAGCCAGAGAATAAACTGCCAAATGAACACGAGCGGGTTATACAAGCTGTGAATAGTATCTCGAGCTGGAACCCGCGACATGATGGGCACGGCGACATGATCCATCAGGTTGTTGCCCACTGCGGATGACTCTTCAACGATGGGAATTCCAAGTTGTTGAAGATGATCTTTGGGTCCGATGCCGCTAATAGGTATGCGTCAGCATTTCTGTTACTCTTGTATATGACGGGATGGATAGAATACCTTCTCATCAGGATCAGTGGAGTACCTATTGCCCCGGCGCAAAGCACAACTTCTCGTCGTGCCTGTACATAGCACTCACCCTTGTCTGTCTGCCCTCTGCGCCGCATTTGGACGCCAATGACCTTGCGAGACTTTGTATCGATCTCAAGTCTTGAAACCGTCACACCAGTGCACACAGTAAGGTGTGATGCTCGAGCAATAGCAGTCTCTTTGCTAAGCCACGCCTTGTACGCAGAGATGCGTCGCCCGTTGCTATCGATGGCCTGGTCTAGGCGAAAGTAGCCCTGCGCGCTCGCATCTGGGTCGTTGCAGTCGTCATGAACAGGAAGCCCCAGCCGGCGGGCAGCTATCTCAATGAAGGGATGAAAAGAGAATGGATAGGCTGGCTGGCGGGTTTCAACTGGTCCTTGATAGCCTCGATACTCGGCATCTGGGTGGCCGATGGCGTTTTCACTCTTCCGAAAGTAAGGCTCTACGCTCTCCCAGCCCCAATCCTTCAATCCCAAATCCTGCGACCACTCGTTGTAGTTGCCAGGTGGACCTCGAGTCAGCAGCATGGCGTTGATGCGGGTTGAGCCTCCGAGCGCCTCTGCCCAGAAGAGAGATAGCTTTCGGTTCAATGCCGAGGGCATCTGATTCAAATGCTTCACGACCTGTAACCCAGACATCATGGGATTCTGGGAGAGCAGCGGGATGCGACTAAAGAGATTGTCTTTGACAAAGCCCTTTTCAAGGAGCAGCACAGATACTGTCGGATCCTCAGAGAGGCGCGAGGCCAAGACACAGCCAGCGGCGCCACCTAGATGCTAGAGAGTCAGCGGCCGGATTCTTATCGTGACCACATGGGATTGCTTGACTTGCCTCCGACAATCACATAGTCGTATATCTTCCCATCCACATCTTCAGGCGTGCGCTCAGGATAGGAGCTGCCAAAGGGCCACATGGTGTTGTGGTGGATGAAACGTGGGGTAGCAAGAAGGCTGCAGTTAGTTGCAGACTGATGGCTGAGTGTCGTGCATTTATGTAGGGCGACGGAGCTGCTGAAGGTAGACCTGGAACTGCTGTCAGCGCTAATGTTGGCTGAGCTGTTGTTTGCGATCGAATTCAGCACCAATTCCAACACACTGAGCGCTTACGCAGCTGAACAATTTTATAATCCGATTAATAGATAGTAGAAGAGCATCTTTCTGAAAATATCATTCTATAACGTTAAAGTCGAGGTAAATTTGCCATGAACATATAATGCAAGGCAAATTCAGCGATTGAGGGGTTTGGGGCTCATTCGACACAACGCTTTGACGTGCTTTGGCTCTCTTTGAGAATCTTGGAAGCAACGCGCCTCGAGATGGGGATCAAAGTATGATTCAGATCGAGTGTTTTGGCCGTGATTTGTTAGTTTTTCAGAGAAACAATTTTGAAGTGCAAAGAAGTCACGAAATACTTGGTTCATTTGGGCTCAAAGGCGGCAGATGAAAATCTGTAAATCCCAGCAATTTGAAGTATTGAACAATCATAGGTGTGGAAAGAAGTGCATGGAGGAGGATTGGTGGAGGGATTTTGAAAATGGACTTGATGATTGTGAGTTGTAAAGACTAGGATTTTGGTGTGTGAGGAAAGAAGCTGTGGTTTTGGTGTTGTGACCCGATCTCGTGATGATAGCAGTTTCAACCCCAATCTTGGGATAATAAGCGAGAGGAAATCAAAAGAAACCAAAGAAATACCCAATTCAATCAGAAGGTACATAGGAAGCGTATTGAAGGCTGGTTGAACGCAGGAGTACCTACCTGTACCTAGGTACAGCACGATACTACAGGTAGGTATTCGTGATGACAATGTGATGATGTGTCACATACCAGGAGACTGTGATTGCAGAATGCATGTATGCCAATGAACTCAACACCAACATCCCGATGATAACCATTCTCCATCTGTTCTATGCATCTCAATATATCAATGTGAATGCTTCTTCAACACCATCAGCTTCGCCGCGAACCGGTGACTCTTTGTCCACATGCCGTAAACTTTCTTCAACAGCACCAATGCTTGATTCATCTCCAACTGCCTGGAGCGTCTGCAGCTGCTTCATGTAGCCCTGTCAGCTTCTTCTCATGCAGTTCCAGGCACCAGATATAGCTCTGGCTACCCGAAACCTGTCTAACTGCTTTATTCAGTCCCAGCTGCAGAGCCACTCTCAACCTCCCAAAACTTTCTATATCTCGCAATAGCACATCGCCAATCCGCTTCTCTAGCATCCTTTTCCCAACTCTCTTCTAGTTCTTCTGACCACTTCTCTCTAATACCTTGAAGCCACTCTTCATCAGGCTGCTGCTGCAAACGATAATCTGGCGTGGCCCCCTTTTGAAGAAGGATCTCAACAATATCCCAATAGCCGGAGAATATTGCTGCGTTTAACGCACTGTCACATTTTCCACCACGTATGTTAACATCGGCTCCTCTATCCAACAGCAGTCTTACTGACTCTGTCTGGCCAGAGAAAGCGGCGGCCTGCAGAGCTGATCCGAAGATGCCTCCTTGTGCGTTGACATTGATATTTGGGCACTGTTCGAGAAGAAGCTTTGTTATGCCGGAGTTGGCATTGATGCCACTGGGATACCAAGAGGTACTGTATTTTCTCGTACACACCGTCTGGAGTGGGAAGCCATATTTACCACCCTTGGCATTGACGTCAGCGCCGTGTTCGAGTAGCCAGCAGATTCTTTCACGCATTGTCTGCTTTTCTTCCTCAAAATGTAGATCCCGGATTTCCAGTGTGGCATTTAGAGCAGTTGTGAGGCCTCCATTCACGCGATGGATATCGGTTTGTTGACCACATAAAAGTTCCAGCACTTCATAGATCTCGTCACTCTCCCACCTACTCAGTGACCTCCCAGCGGCCGCATTCCAGACCTCATAGTCCTGGCGGTGGATATTTGCCCCATATTCTAGAAGCAGTCGTACCAACTTGGGATCTGCCCTTCGGCAGGCAGATATAAGTGCTGTTCCATACTCTCCCCCTTCGGCATTTACATCAGCGCCGTGTTCAAGAAGTAGCCGTACCAAGTCCACCCCTTGGGAACCTTCACAGGCAGCTATCAGTACTGTTCCATATTCCCCACCTTTCGCATTCACATCAGCCTTTTGTTCAATTAGGAAACGAACCGTCTCCACACCGAGCGCGTAATTGTAGCAGGCCGCCTGGAGAGCAGTGCCATGAATTCCCCCAATTTCATTAATCCGGGCCCCTCTGCTCATGAGCAAATGTACAATCGGTACAATCTCTTCGCTGGGATTCTTCCTCGAATTATCTCTTATAAAGTTTTTTGTCACTTCGCCCTCGTATATATAGTAAGTCAAAATAGCATGCAGTGGCGTGCCAAGTGAATCACTTTTTGCATTTACATCAGCACCCTGATCGAGCAACCGGCGAACCTTCTCTTCGTCCCACTCAAGGAAGCCATATGTAATGCTAGAGGACCGTCATCGATCCTGGCGCCACTCTCAACGAGAAGCTTCACAACCTCGACTGCTGAGGGATGTATAGGACGTCTTGTGTCCCATTTCGGTTCCTCGAATCGGGAAGGACAAAAAGGGTCAATCTCGTCAACCTCATCAACAACAAACCCATTTATAATAGTCCCCTTTTCAACTGTCCCATTTTCGACTAGAAGTTGTAAGATCTCCATTGCCACATGACGGTTGGGGAAAAGGCCTCGGTTCTCGCACGCAAGCTGTAGTGCTGTGCCCATCTCCCCAACCCGATGGTTCGGATCTACACCCCTCTCTAATAGTTTCTTCACAATTCGAGCTTTCTCCCTCAGCGCCTTGCCAAATTTGAATTTCGATGGTCGAGCCTTACACGCTGCCTGGAGTGGCGTACCAGAAACGGCCAAGGCATTTATGTTGGCGCCTCTCTCTAATAGTAGATCAAAATTGGCACCGAAGCTGCCCATTACAGCCTTATGAAGTGCTGTCTCATGCTGTTTGTTTTGCATATTTATATCAGCACCACTGTCAAGGAGAAACTCTAGACAGTCGGTGCCTTCTTCATCTATGCATGTGAGCAAACATTCGTCGTTGTTCAAAAAATAGTGGACATTGGCTCCGTGGCCCACAAGAAACTTGAGCGCATTTAGACATTTGGATCTCGCAGCTGCTTGCAGAGCTGAGCCATAAAAGCCACATTGTGCATTAACATCTGCTCCTGCTTCGAGGAAGACCTGCACCTGATCTGTGCATCTGTTCCATTTGTATACCTCGTCCTGCAGTGCCTCATCCAACTCTTCTCGCGTAACATACTTATTTGCACCGGACTTCTGATGAATCAACATCTTAGTTAGTTGGTAATGACCGTCCTTAGCTGTATAACAGTATGGTTTCATTATGTATCTTCTGTTACCGCTCAATAGGAGTAAAGTGAGTAGACTTTGGCTATGAGCTGCAAGTGCATTTGTCGTATCTCTTGCGATATCAGATGGCCATGATATACGTGGAATCTCCTCAAGATGATCCATCCAGAAACAGGCAACGTAATTTGCCAAGGGATATGACTTGGCTACAGTGTCATGAGAAAGATATCCTACACCGTGACTCGCAAACCAGTGGCTTAAATGATTCAGGTAGGCGAGGCACGATTGCACAATGGAAAGCTGAGCGTTAACCTCTGTAAATGAGAAGTCTAAATTAGGGCCCTGCGTTATTCTTCTAGAAACCAAATACTCTTTTAGAGAGAAATGGACTAGCCGGATTCGAGTGACATTGTGTGCATCTCTCGGGAACATCACTGAGACATCGTCTTTTTGGGCGATAATTAGACCGGAGAAATACTTCAATATGTCAGTAGGTGAAAAGGGGCGTTCCTTCTCACTAAAGGGAGTATCATTGTGTGGGCGGATAGTGAATATCTCGGCGAGTTCTTCGATTGATAAGACCGTCCTCGAAAAGGCGAGCCACTTAAGCGAGTGTATGACTCGTTCTTGGAAGTGCGGTGGAATGCTTTCCAGAACTCTATTGTACGTGGCGTCAAGCCCAATGGGAAGGGTTTGAAGTGCCTCGCGTACTTCAGGTTCAGATGAAAGATGTCGGAGTGCTTCTAACTGAAGCTGGACATATTGGAACCTTAATACCCTATTAATTCAGATGCTCACTATGCATGAAACAGAAACCGAAACTCACATGCAGTCGGCTTTCTCCACGAGTGATTCTCTCGCTTCTTCCTTTACGCTCTTCGGCCAAGATTTGTACTCGTCGCCGTTTAGCTGAGAGTCGATGTAGTGAATGATATCCCAGTTGATTATGTACTGGCGAGCTAAGAGGTCAATTTCATTCTTATCTGTTGAAGATAAAATGGGGCGTATTTTGTTGTCGATATCTGGTTCCTTCCGGCTTGTTAAAAAGAAGCGAAATTTATTAGGTGCAATTGCGAATATACGCCTTAAACTCGTTAGGAGCTTTCCTCGTTGCTCGTTAAGCAGCGGGCATTCATCAAGGGCGTCAATAACAATGTACACATTAGCGAATTCCGATGCGGATGCAAGTAACACTGCTTCCAGCGTCTCAGTATCTGGTCGCTGGCCGCTAATTTTGTACTGTCCGAGGCGTTCCATCAATTGTGATCTCTTAGTCTGTCGAGCACAGATTTGCTTGGTGAGGGATGCGAGCATGACGTCGACCTTTTGTTTCTCGGGGTCGCTGAAGCTGAAATAGAAGTATGATACCACAGTCGACGGCTCTGATACATATTGATCTCGAAGGTATTTGATGACGGAAGAACTTAGGATCGATTTCCCCGACCCGGCTGCTAGGAATCAGTTCAAATTCTCGACGGGTAAGACAATTGTCATTCAGCGGCTTCAAACATACCCTTACCATGGAGCCACAACAATGACCCATCACTTGTCTCCCAAGTCTTAAATTCCTCACTATCCTTGATCAACCATTCACACGTGCCGGCCTCACGCCTATCAAGTCCTGCATTGTACATTGAAGAAGGGTCAACATTGCATAGCCATTTTAGCAGATCAGTAAAGTCGTGGTCTGCTAATGCGGAAAGTCTTGCATTCATCTCTGAAAATGTGTTTATTGTTGTCAGGTGTCTCTCATAGCGCTGTATGTCACGCCACATCTCTTCGACGGCGGCAAAGTTGCGCTCTTGTTCGCGAACCCCACCCACCAGTGAAGCCCAGCCGTTTCCTTTGAAGGCGTCAACGATATGGCGGCGAGTAGAGTCTTCCGAGTAGTAACAACAAGCAGTGGCCTGGAATTTCAGAATTTGCCTATAGAGTTTCTCCAAGGAAGTCTTGTACTGCGTATGCGACTGCCGGAATCTCTCATGGCTGTGCCTTCCCTTTTCATAGCATTCGACGTAGAGTTCTTCTCTCATTTGGCTTTGTGCAATACGCGAAGCGATATACTCAAGCCCTTCTGCTAGAGAAGCCTTTTCCTCAGATATATTCATGAAGAGCTATATTATTTGATGAGTAAGGAGCCCGCAGATTAGATGTTGCAACTCTACTCACCGCAAGAAGACAACTGACTCCGGTCCAGGCAATGGATGTACACGGATTAGCGCTCGCGACATCCCCGATGTAGTCGTTAGCTAAATTTACAGCTGTAATAAAGGGCTGCTTGACGTCTTTGGCTTGGCCTTTAAAATTGCCTGATCGGAGTTCCAAATCATTTTTGTTGACTTTGTCCATCTTGCTTTGTAAGATTGCTTGCATCCACTCTCTTCTATGCTGTTTTAAATTGAGGAGTTGGCCTAAGCCAGCGGTAACGCTGCCTCTGAGCTCGGCTTCGTAGTGTGTGATGAGCGTAGCATCCTCCTCTCGAAGCTTCTCGTAGGCAATATCCCAGAGCTCTTGAATTGGCATGTCATTGGTTAGGCGACCTTTGAAGTTTTCGGGCCATTTCAACAACGTATTCGCTTCATCTGGCGGTTCGTTGAATCTCCTGCTCTCTGCCTGCTGTCCGTGTAATTGCTGTCCATTAGGACCCGTTGTATCAGCTTGATTGCTGGCTCCACTTCCAAAAGCCCTGGAGAAGCGCTCCTTCAACCGATCTCTGCGGCCCATTGCTGCTGCAGTGAATGCGGATTGCTTGCTTGCTGATATATAGATGATCTTTCTTGCCGTAAGTAATGCTGTAGTAAGAAAGAAAATTCGAGCGGAGAAAAGAAATGCGAGAGCCTTGCTACCCAACCACACAATATTTTCAGCATGCTCAGCCTCGATTAATGAGTAATGACGACAGCTGCACTACTCATTGGACAGGGTTTCATATGGGATAGCCGATGTAAACATCCCGATGATTGGTGGTCTAAGCATCGCGTGTGATTGGTAGCCTGACGATTGGTCACTGATCAGTTCATCTTTCCTTAACGAAGGGTATGAATGGGACATCTGAAGCTGGAGGAAAAAGTTGATAATGATGAAGTACTGGAGATGATTGAAGTGGCTGGGTGTTCTTTAACAAGATACTCCATGGCAATTGCACAATGATTCGGCCGATGAGGCCAAATTCACATTAGCAATTAGACTGCTTCGTAGAGCAGATCGGATCTACGACGGCTTTAACGGCGGAAGAAAGCTGATTGGCTGTCGCCCAAGGAATCTCGGCGGAAGAAAGCTGATTGGTCAGTCCGCTTCACCTATTCGATCTCCGGTCCAACCACAGAGTCGAAATCTCGAAAGCAACAGCAAACAGGTCATGGAGATTAGCGGAAATAATGCCGAAATATTTGTAAATGACTCCTCAATTGCGTAGCAAGGCGACTTGTGCCGAGCTCTTTGGCAAGAGGGCCACTGTTATAAAAGGGTGGCCATCCCAACGCTCTTCTGGCTTGTTAGAAGCAGCAACAGCATTCTACAACAACAGATTCGACAATAAAAGGCAACAACGATGTCTCAAGCAGTTCCCAAGATTGTCACCCGCGCACTGGGTAAGAATGGACCTCAAATCCCTCGCCTCGGCCTCGGCCTCATGGGCTTGAGCGGACACTACGGCCTGCCCGCTCCAGACGAAGAGCGCCTGGCCTTTTTGGACAAGGCATATGAGATGGGCGAGAGGTACTGGGACACAGGTAAGCCAGTAGCCAACGAATTTGGAAACACTGATAAGACACTGGCTAATAAATCTTCATACAAAAGCCGACATGTATGGCGACTGTGAGGACCTCCTGGGAAAGTGGTTCGCCGCCAACCCGGGAAAGCGTGAAAACATCTTTCTCTCCACCAAATTCGGCATCCAAGTACAAGGCCGAAGCATCAAGGTCGACTCTTCTCCGGAATACTGCCGGCAAGCCGTCGAAAAGTCGTTGAAGCGACTCGGACTGCCATTTGTTGACTTGCTCTACGTTCACCACCTCGACAAGGTCACGCCGATTGAAAAGACGATCCAGGTCATGGTCGAGCTCAAGAACGAGGGAAAGATCCACCACCTTGGCTTGAGCGAGTGCAGTGCTGATACGCTCCGCCGTGCTTCTGCAATCCACCCCATTGCCGCTGTCCAGATGGAGTACAACCCGTTTTCTGTGGAGATTGAATCGCCTGAGCGTCGCTTCCTTGAGACTGCGCGAGAACTCGGAATCGCCGTGGTAGCATACAGTCCTCTTGGAAGAGGGCTTCTTACCGGATCCATTTCATCGAAGGAGGATCTTACCAAAGCAGGCGACATCCGAACCATGCTGCCTCGATTCAACGACGAAAACCTCGAGAAGAACTTGGCAGTCGTCGCAAAAATTTCCGAAATCGCAAAAACCAAGGGCGTCACTCCAACCCAGCTGGCACTGGCGTGGGTCCTGGCGCAGGGCGATGACATCTTTGCTATTCCCGGAACAACAAAGGCACACAGACTTAGTGAAAACCTCGGAGCCATGAGCGTCAGCCTGACTGCAGAAGAAGAGCAAGCCATTCGCAATGTTGGAAAGGAAGTCTTTGGAGCCCGAATTCATGACAAGGTTCCCGGTGTAAACATCTTTGGTGACACTCCACCGCTGGAGGCATAATTGCATATGGACGTGGCTGTACTGTATGAGAAGAGGAGGGTATGTAGCAGTATTTAGTTAATATATGCCATGCTAGGTTTTTGACCAGTTCTATGTGCTCAGTAAGGAGACTCTCATAGTTGCTGTTGATCATGTGAACAGAGAGGGTGTATATTAACATTGACATTGTTCTAGTGTCAGTGATTGGCCATTCAAATCCCATCCCTGAAATCCAGGTCTTGTAAAAATCGTTGCGGTTCTGGAATCTCGTCTATACACTTGAGATTGCCGCTTTGGAGACTCCACGTCTCTTGCATGCCATGAGTAGAGGACAACATACTGTGGAATGTGTCGTGTGCCTCATCGACACTCGAGGCAGTAGAGGCCAGCTCAGGCAACAAGGACAAAGGAGAATCATCCCACGCCCAAGACGAAGCCAGAAGACTACCAGCCAAATTCCCTGTCTCTGCTCCTTTGCGGGATCCGATAATATTTCTCGGTGCCCCTTGTTGAGAATCTTGCCGCAGAATATGAATAGTTCCCATATATGGAAACTCCATTTCGATGTTGCCTGCTTCTTCTCGAACAGTGCACTCCATTTCCATCACCTCGCTGGGCTCACTCCATGCACTATAGCCCAACCCATCTGCTGCAGATGCCTCAATAGCGCTTAGTTTCTTCAAGGCTTGTACCGCAGAGGCACACAGAACATCGTCATGTTTATGAGACACAGCGTCCAAGCTGCTAATGGCGCGCTCAACTAGCAGCAAATCTCCTGGGCGTTGGTGATCAACGGTGTTCTCGCGGCCAAGCCGATGACTGTCCAAGTGTGATAGCAAAAGAGTCAGAGCAGAAAGAATGATTTTGAGAGAGTTTCCGCGGTTCGAAGATGTCACGCGGTTGCGACCGATCGGGACAATAGATCGGGTGAGTAGTTCGCGGCTTGCATACATGGCGGAGATTTTAGAATTTGTATAGTCTGGCGCCGCCTCGTCGGTAAGACAATCTCTGATGCGCGGCAAAACATATGGTAGGTGAAGTAACAGCACAAGATTGTAATAATGCAGTTGAAGAACGACCTTGACAGTCATGTCCTTTAGCTCTGCATTCGTATTGGCATCCTTTAGCCGTGGAAAGGCCCACCAGTCTGCAGGCAGGGATCGCGCCGCCTGCTTCAACTCGTAATCGATGTCTTTGGTCTCGTTGTAATGGTTATAGAAGAGATCGTCTGTCAGTTGCCCGTGTTGCATCAATTCGTTTCTAGATATGATGCGACTTGTAAGTACGGCCTGAGTGCGCTCCATTTTCTCATGAGGTTCTGCTGGCACGAAGTCTTGCATAAAACTATCGTCTTTAACGGACATTGGAAGACAGAGCACCAAAGCCATATAACGATCCATGAATATGAGCCGAAACCATAGAGTCTTGAGGCATATTGGTGTTTGGCCATTGGTAGCTTTGCGTTGCTTATTTTGTCGCCGTACTTGTGGTATGTGCAGGCCCATCAGCTGAGCAATACTCAAGGCTCGGCGGAACACGAGCCATGCCAGTCGCGTTTGACCTGTAGAAACATGGTATAAACCTTCCAGCATCAAAGTCTCTATCCCTTCAGGCGAGACGACAAGCGCGTCTTGTGAGGTGACGTAGCGGGAAGCAGCCTCAAAATATTGATCTGCAACGTCAGTATTGGAGCGATCAAGGCATAATTCGGAAATCTCAGATGTGCGCTCCGACTGCTGGAGGCAAATGGCGAGTTGAAAGAGACTCCGGGCTAGATCAATTGGTTTGGGATTTGCCGTTGAAGATGTTGGGCGGGTGATTTGGCGAGGAGGAGCAAGTCGGAAAGGATCCGTGGACAAGCCTCGAAACACATGCATGGACATCATCAAAACCTTGTTGTGATGCATGATACGAGTGGTGATGCTGACAGACGGGAGTATGGATTGTAATAGGAGAGTGAGCGAACTGCATCGAGGCGAGCCGTTGATTGGGTCTAGTGGGAGTAGTGAACCGCGGGCCATCATTTCTTGGCGAGACTGATGAGTTGATGAAATCAATGACTTGGATCCATTGTCGAGTGAGGAAGCAGAGCTCCTTTCTGGCGCCTTGTCCAGCTTGGGGAGGAGTTTGCGTGGAGGGTTGGAAGTACTTGTCAATTTTTTGACTTGCTGTGCCGAGTTGTTTCGGTTTAGGGGGCAAGGATTCTGGTTCGAAGCACTGTGAGTGGTTGACTGATGTACAAGTTGATCAACCATGCCCTCGAGGTGTTCCATTCGCTCTCCAGCATTTGCATGATGATTCGGCTGCTCTGCTGCCTGTGTCCCCAAACACTCCTCGATGTGCTGAAGGACACACTTGGATCCGCGACGCTTACAAGACACGCAGGCGCTGGAGCTACTCTGCTCAAAATGGCACCGGGTCTTGCGTCGTTTGCATTCCCAGCAGCTTGTCGTGCCTCTCCGGAGCTTCCGGCGCTCGATTCCAGTGGGAGTAGATGAGCCCATTTCGGTGATTTCTGGTGAGAAGAATGAATGTGCAGTGCAAAGAGAGAGTCTGTCTAGACAGAGAAGCAAAGCTCAAGAGTGTCTCATCTAGACTCTGACATTACATCGTCGAGTAGGCACCAGTGACGCTGGCGCAGAGGCGAAAAGTGAAATCACGGCCCTAACGGAAGGAACAGACGAGACGTAAATGAAGCACTGATGAGGAAATTATGAGAAAATTTGACCGCTTTCGTGTTCGTATTTAATGTCTTTGGATGATGATGAGAAGTTGGAATGAGCGGATTCAAGAGGCAGGAGAGAGTCGATTCGACAGGTCGAACGAGACTTACATAATGGGCACGGCAGCCAATGAAAGTGCGTGCATCGTTGGCCATCGGTTATCGGTACGTACCGCCTACCCTTCACCCACGATTTACAGCAAGCAAGTTTCTCCTCTACGTTCAATCAAGCCGGCGTGATAAGGTGTAGATGATATTTCAGCATCTTGATTTTGATGCAAAAAGATGTTCTTAATCAATATTTCTTTGGAAAAAATTAACGGCAGCGATAATGATGCATTCACTAAAATACATTATGGTGACTTGATAGCGGCCATGATAGAGTCACACAGAAGGATCCATGCTGTAGATTTATATAGGATTCACAAGACAGTGATTTAATCAATAAACGACAAACAAAACACCTCACCCCAGCGGCCAGAAGCAGTTAACCATGAATAACTCTATAGCAAACAGAACACCGACGGTTGTTCCTTGTGGTGATTCGAGACGGCTAGCTTGCGTGAATGAAGCCAACTACAGCATATATTGGCTGACATGACACGGCAACATCCTCTATTTGGATCGTCTCTTTGTAGATAACATCTCAACCATTCACCTGCTATTGTAAGCGTCAGTTTATTTCTCTCAGTAACGAACTGTGTGCTTAGCAAGAGACCAGTTACAGTACCAAACTCGAGATACGCCTTCAAAGCCGTTGCTAGGGAGTTATGACACTCCAAGCGCACGACATGTCCACATCACATCACAATGATCTGGAGCTACTTCTTGCCAATAATAATATCTTTCCTGAGGGCTTTCGACATCCACATAGCTATTCAGCTCCCGAACCGAGTAACCTGGGTGCGATATTGAGCCAACTGTCCGCTCCGAGATCTAGAGTCTCTGGGAATGGAGAAGATGATTTCTGAACATTCTAGGAAAGGAACAATTCTCTTTCGAGAAGCACGATAATGCGGAGAGTCATACTGGTCTTGGAAGGAGTTTTCGACGACAGAAGTCTCGACTCGGATGATATAAATGATGGCGGAATTGAGATAGATAACTCAACCCCGCTCGTTGAGGGCGTCGAAGTAGTGCTTCAACCAGACTATTTTGATGGAGTTACTTTTGGCTCTATAAATCAAGGTGTAAGAGACGACTTGGGTGGTCTCATCATACCGAGCAAGCACATCGGCGCCCCGATAGCTCCAAACTTCTTCTTGGAAGTCAGAAGGCCATCTGGAAATGCCGTCACTACAAAGACGGAGATGTGCTATTATGGGGCATGTGGCGCGCGAGCAATGGACGCAATGCAAAACTATGGTCGTTTTGAGCCAGAATATGACGGGAATGCGTATTCGTTCAGCTCAACCTACATTAATGGCCTCTTGAAAATTTACGCCCACTTCATCGTTGATCCAGACCAGACTGGCGGAACATTGCCTGCCTATCACATGTTTGAGCTCAAGGCGTTCAATATGACAAGCACCTACAAGGATTTCATTGACGGTTGTGCTGCTTTTCGAAATGCACGGGAATTGGCGGCTCGGTTGCGACATGGCCGTATTTTGAAAGTAAGCTAGCCGGGATTGTGTCAGACACTGTGGTGGCTATACGATGCGATTAGAAGGAACGTACAGTGGTAAACGGACAGATTTCGGAGAGCGATGACGAAGTTTGATATGATTTCTGCTTTAGAGAGAATATCTTCGAGGTAGGTTAGGTCCATGTTATTATGGTTAAGCCTTTGGTCTTGTTACAAAATGGCAGAACTCGTGATTTGACAGAATGAGAGCCCGCCTAGGGTTAATTACAGTACAGCGGTTGGATCTCAAATTAGCTTGCTTACAGACGCATATTTTGGCGACCATGACCGTATCTATGAATGACCAGTTCTCATGTTGTAAAAAATTTTGTACGATTTTTCACAGCTGATGCTCATACAACAGCATCACCGTCAACGCGCACGCCATTGAGAGCGGCCTCCAAAGATCAGAGCTGCCCGATATTTAAAATGCGCTAAGTTTCATATACCCAGCACATATAAATGGCAAAGGAAAAGAGTGGAAAATAAATAAATAAATAAAAGATTAAAAAGAAATTCACGGGATAGAAGAGGTATGGAGTTACTGTCAACCCTTCCGAATGAATATTCGGATTTCGACTATTCACTACGATAGACCATATATTCTTCCCCTGTCTACTCTGTATGATCAGAATACAACTCGGGAAATACTGTCTAACAACCCAGGCCTGCTAATCCGTAGCTGTAATGAACATATAATAATTTAACAACAAGCAAATCGTATTCTCTTACATTCTGCGGGAATTGGACAATGTCGCAAAATCTTCGACAAATAACAAAACTACCTACACAGCCATCAAATAGACAACTCAAAGTACCACATTCGATGTACCCCCAGAAGCAACATCCCCCCTTGGAGGAACTGGCGGTGGAGTCCCCCCAAACAGCGTATTCAGTCTCGAAGGGGGAGAGGTCGATTCACTGGATGTCTCCTCCGGGCTTTGAGGTTGAGACGCCGCCCCAGAACTTCCAAACGGCGCGCTATGTTTTACCGGCGGCCGTCTGCCCTGCGCGTAATCTACCAATCTCAATTCATCAACACACCAGCTCTTATAACAACCATGAAACGCAATGTTGGGGTAGGAGAGTACCAAGTCCCCTGGATAGAAATCGGGGTCTTGCTCAAGATAAGCCCGATATGTGAGAATATTCGTGCCGGGAGGATCGTAAATGGAATAAGGCTTCCCAAATAAGCCGCCGCGACTCGGAGGGGTTGCCGTTGAACCAAAAGGTGATGATGTAGAAGAAGAACCGAATGCTGGCGCAGCAACGGCAGGTGTTGTGTTGGAACCAAAAGCCGACGGTGTGATAATGGAAGCTGTTGTGGTTGCCGAGTTAAAGGGAAGGGCTGTAGTTGTTGAACCAAAGACTGATGACTTTGTAGAGGGAATGGCAGGCTTTGGGCCAAAGAAAGAGCTTATCTGAGCAGGGGTTGTAGTTGTCATTGAGCCCAAGATTGATGGCGTAGAAATACTAGCCGCCGTCGAACCAAAAGCTGATGGAGTAGAAGTAGTTGCTGCAGCTGAGCCAAAAGCTGACGGTTTAGAATTGTTCGCAGCAATCGAGCCAAAGGCTGATGGCGTAGGAGTGGTTACTACAGTTGAACCAAAGGCTGACGGCGTAGAAGTGGTCGCTGCTGTTGAGCCGAAGGCTGATGTTGTTGAAGTAGTCCCTGCCGTCGAACCAAAGGCTGACAGCCTCGAAGTACTAGTCGCCGTCGAACCAAAAGGCGATGCTGTAGAAGTCGTCGCTGCAGCAGTTGTCGAACCAAAAACCGGCAGCTTAGCAGCAGAACCCTGTGCTGCAGCAACAGAGCCAAAAGCCGAAAGGGGAGACTTTAACGCAGAAACTGAGCCAAACACAGGAGTTGTCGTCGTTGCCGTCGATGTTTTGTTGGAACCAAAAGAAGGGAGTTCTGTAGCATTAGCTGTTGGCGTTGACGTCGTAGTAGAACCAAAGATGGACGACTTAGGAGCAGCCGTCGCAGGCTCCATTCTCATACCAAACGGAAGAGGAACAGGAGCGGGAGCGGGAATCGCAGAAGTCTGGCCTTGCTTGCTGGACTCAGCGGTCGTCGATTGTCCACTGTTGGTTGCAGACGTAGATGCAGCTGCGGGTTCAAAGCTCGCTAGGAACTTGCTGTTCAGACCAGCTATTTTTCTCTCTGGCAGAGAAACAGGAGGTAGCTTGACTCGAATCTTTCTCTTAGAAACATCTGTCTCAGGAGCGTCTGTCTTGGTCTTGGGAGAATCTGTCTTTGGTGCAACTGTCTTTGGCGCATCTGTCTTGGGTGCCATCTCGACAAGTGCTTCTGGTAAATCTATCTAATTACATTAGAAAATGTGCGTTCCCGCCTCGTCATCAGACAGTTCTTCTGGTAGGGTACCTGAAAAGTCTCTCGGCCGAGAACGCTGGCAGCTTTGCAAACCCGTCTTCAATTTCTCAATCTCGTCCGCCAGTTGGCTCCTTTCTCTTTTGACCTCGTCCGACTCTTCGGCCAGTCTCTTCACAATCTCGTCGCTCATTTGTGTGACGATTCTTGCGTTCAAGATGTCGGGGAGCTTCGAGATCAGGCAATTCTCGACAACTAGGTGGACGACGTTGTCCGTGAATGTTCGCCGGCTCATCTTGAGTTGTCAAATGTCAGCACATGAAAGAGTAGAGTTGGTAGGAAAAAGTGTTGACTTACCTGGTAATGTGTCAACATCATGTCAACGGCAATGTCAATACCGAAATGGCTATAAGCGTTGGTATCGGTTTGAATTAGGACATTTAAAACATCTTCAGGCTTTAGCATCCGGTACTCCGTTGTATTGTAAGCAACAGAATTTTGATCAAGGAGATCAGCAGAATTGGATTTCATGCGCCTAAGTTTGCGCCTCCATACTCCCGCTCGGAATTCTATCTCAAGCGGGATTCCATGTCCGGATGTATAAGGACGCATAATTTCGTCGAGTTTGTCCTTGAGAGTATTGTTCATGGAATCGAAGAACGGATCTACACACTCGGTCAAGATTGCGTCTCTTGTTCTCTCGTCGTCTTCCAAGATGTAATCGAATATCTGATAAATAAACAGTCTCGTTCTCTCTACAACATTGTCTATGTGGCATTGAGCTATGCGTTGCCACGGCTCAGACTGATCTCGGAAAAGCTGCATGATGAAATCGTTGCTCGGTAGCCCAGAGAACTCCGCGCCTTGACTATCCGATGCGAGTGACTCTATCCTGGTAAAGGCTGTACCTTTGTCTTCTACCACTGGATCTGGAAAGTCGTATAGGTTGAAGTATGAATCGGAACTGATAGGCATATTGTCCAAGGCATCGGCCAGCATTTCCTCGTCAGTTAAACCTTCCAACGGGTTCTCTCTGGGCTGAGGTTCGTCCCAGTTCATCTTGTACTTGGCTCCCTTTTCCCTCATTGTAACGTCAAATACATAATTCAAGTTTCGAAGCAATGCTCTCAACTTGCGCAATTTGACCTTGCTGCTTGCTTCTGGGTCTGAGGGGGTAGCGAAGAATGGATCATTATATCTTCCCTCCACTGCATGCTCTGCCAATTTGTGAAAAGCCGTTGATGTGCTAAGAAGATAATCACGCATCTCGTCGGAAGTGGTCCTCGTTGTTCCCAGCTTTGCGAGGCGTCTTTGGCGATTCTGCAGATTGCCATCAATATCTCTGATGAGTTCGGGCAGACTGCTCTTGATCTGCTTAAGCAAGGCTGCTCCAAGACTTTTTCGAAGACTTTCCACACCTCGGTTGCCGAGAGGTAATGCAGACCATGCTCCTGTTTTGAGGAATTTTTCCTCTTCGGCGTCTCTCTGATCAAAGTCCAGCTCTGCTTCTTTGGGTCCTCGGTTGCGCAAGACATGCCAACCTAGGCGAAGCTGGTGACTGGGCTCTTGCCCTCTCGCGAGACGCAGATATTCATCTTCTAGATTTGACCCTGGGCACAGATCGACTTTCGTGATGACTCCAATCGTGCGCTCCCTTGCAGTGTCATGCTTGAGGGCCATGTCGAGGATTGCATGCTTGGACAAGGAGAGGTCTGCTGATACGACCATGAGAATGATGCTGTTTTTCTGTTTCATGTAGTCCTCAACCATTTTGTCAACGACTGGCTTCCATTCTTGAGGCTGTGAAGATGACCCGGAATGGAATATTCCGGGCAGGTCAACAAGAGTCAGCGAGGGAATGTCTGGCCCGGAAATTTCCACTCGCAAAACATGTTTGGAGAAGCCGGTTGTCTTTCCATCGGAAACGCCCATGTGCTTCTTTGCTCTGCTGACGATGTCGGGCAGTTCCGGTCTTTGGAATCCGCTCTCATGAAACGGCATGCGCGGTTGATTAGCAGCATCGACATCAGTCGCATATCGAATTCTCAAGTCAGTGCTGTCTATAGGCGCCCTTCGAAGCACCAGCTCTGTAGGAAACCGAGTGCAGATGCCATCGCTGACGGGGAAATGAACTCGAGATATCGCCTCGAGAACGGAGCTCTTGCCTGAGCATTGATCGCCCACCACGATGATCTGGGGCAGGTCGATGCCGGCGATGCTTAAATCTCGAAGGCCATCAATAGTATCGAGAAGTCTTCTTGTTTCTGCATTGTTGAGCTGCTCAGCTGTCGCTGAACCGAGGGCTGTAGTGTCGCCCATGGTGATATGATTGTGGTTTGGAGGAGAGAAAATGGTGTTTGAGGTGGGATGCACGCAGCTGAAAGATGGCAGGCAGGGACTGTTCAGCTCAGAGGGCAGGAACGGGGTCTCGGCCACTTAAGCGCCGAATCCTCTTAGGGACTATAAACAACAGCAACTTATCTACCTAGTAGGATAAAGTGATTTTATTTTATTATTTTCTACTGATATCCGTATATTATGCAGATGCTGCCTATTGACATGAAAATTGCGCTCTTCAATTTACTCCCATCTACTAGCATCTATTACCTGTAGTAGGCAGCCCAAAATACCTTCCAATTCTTTGACCTGAGCTGCTGCCTACCGAGAATACTGGCACATATTCACTGTTTCAGACCAAGAGCTGCCTCAGCCACCCGCGGCAACATATCAAATTATAACAGCGACAGGCTGCCTCGCGAAGAAAATGTGGCCAAAACATGCAACCAGCAGCAAGACCCTGGTCTCCTTTTCCCCCGCTTGAAACAGCTGACCGGGATTGGAATCCGTCGTATCAGCTGTCACATTTGGCGCTAAAGCTGCGGCTGAACAGGTTTGGGGAAGATAAGTGAGGAGCGCGTCAAACTGGTGGTGTGTGTTACGAGAACTTGTTCATTAATTTTTGGGAATACTTGCCAGCATATCAAGTTGGCTGCTAGATATGTAGGCATCCAACACCCCAGCGACTACCTGAGGTTCAAGTGTTCGAATGTTAGGATGCTCGGCTATCCAGCAGATAATAAATATCTGGCTCTTCAAATTAGTGCTACTTTCAGCTACTATTAATATCTTGTTCTAGTATCTGCCACTATCGCCGTCTTTTCTTAACATCTGCTGCTATAGTTAACTCTTTTAGTCTCCGGTGTCATCATTTACTGCTACCTGATAACCTATGTAGCCCTAGATTTGAGACACGGGATGCTGGATATCACTCGAATTCGTATCTTAGTGTAGCCAGTAGACCTCTAGCTGAATCAAATCTTTAAATTATTAACTACTAAGTATGTTACAATGACTCAAATAGGGATACACCCTGTGGGAATGGTCCCGTATTATCCTTCTGGAACACAGTATCCACGTTCTGCACCGTAGCCATGGACACTGAACCAACAGTGTTCAAGCTGTACACTCTAACCTGACTCTTCTTGCTGAAAATGCTACTAAGCAAAGACTTTGGCGCGCCGCTGTCAATTCCAACAATCTGAGTCTGGCAGTTCTCCTGATCAGTATTTGAGCACGTTGTGCTGTGATCGTTGAAGAACGAGTACAGGCCCGCCCCGTAGCAGAGAATATCTCGCGAGCTGAGGACACGCAGCGCCCAACCGTCCTTGCAAACGCCAGAGCGGCCTTGGCAGAAGTAGTTGAAGTCTGGGTCGGTGGAGCCAAAGATGCTGGTGATGAGGTTGGAGGGAGACTGGAACTGGGTTGCGTTGGGGTGTGGTTGGTAGTAGGCGGTTTCGGTCTGGATGAAGCCCATGAAGATGTTTTGAGTCTTGGAGAATTCATACTGGTAGAGGGCGTTGTGCTCGACGGCAGTACCCCATCTAGAAGAAAGGCAGTTAGCAAATTATTCATCGTAACTTCATTAGGAGATTACAGGGGACATACAGCCAAATGTTTCCAGCGGTGCTTTCGACCAACAAGCCACGCACGCTGTAGACGTCAATCATCCGAAGGCTAGGATCCTCAATGTCGTGGTCAGAGGCCCAGAGCCAGCAGTTCTCCATGTACAGTCCCTGGGCAACGGGTGTAACGTGCATCATGGTATGCGCCGCGATGCAGTTGGGGTTGATGACGTCGCTTCCAATATTCTGGGGGCAGTTTGCAAGCTGCAGGTTGCTGCCCTGGAAACCACCGACTCTGACGTGAACATCCCACATGCCTGAAGGGCTGGATGCTGTGCTGGCGAGGTTGTATTCAATGACGATGGCACCGCTGGTAGAGCCTTGTGTGCTTACCACCATGTTTGACCACTCGATCTGTCCAAATTGACCGGGCAGTCCAACCTGCACGACAGGCTGGGGTGCGGATGCCTTTGAGAAGAATGGGCCGGATCCCATAATGTTGGAGAATGCCTCACCGACGATGCGAGCTCCAGGAGGGATCCTGATTGTGCTTGTGACCTTGTAGATTCCGCCATCCACGAAGAGGACTTTGCCTTTGCGCACAGCGGTGGCAATTGCGGCGTTGAGTGCCTTTGTGTCGTCGGTAACGGCATCTCCCTTGGCACCCAAGTCGCGGGCGCTGAGGAATTCGGAGACGTCGAGATCGGCATACAGTGGCTTTGAGCGTGTGTAGAAAGCTCCATTTCCTACGGTGAGACTGGATGGGCGAGGGAACGGAGTGGCTGGTCCGTCGACATATGTCGGGCCATGGGGATTGTAGGTGTTGCCTGTAACATAGCCCTTGATGGTGGTGTGACCGGTAGAGCCAGCCAGAACAGTATTGCCGGTAGGGCCCTGAATTGCGATGGGGACGTTTGAAAGCTGGATGTTTTCGAGGTTCAGGTTTCCTGCTCCCACGGGCTTGGACGTGGCGGTTTTGGCCGTCTTGATGAAGATGTCTGTGTCGGAAATGCTAGAATCAACCATGGTGATGCCACCCACACTAAGGGCTCCGTTGCCGTCGACAGCGCTCATGTCCAGGCCGACGGAGCAGTTGTTGATGGTGATGCCGGCGTATGTCCAGCCCCAGTCGAAGCCCTGGCGAATGGCTGTCTGAGCGTTGTGGAAAGTGAGGTTGCGCATGGTGAACTGCTGGCTTCCGAATTGAGCGCCGAATTTGCCACCAATGAAGGTGATGTCGGTCAAGAAACCACCGGAACCTGTGATGAAAGAGTCAGCAAATCGTGGAACTCACTCAAAAGTGATAGCTGGGGAGCGTACCATCTTCCATAAAGATGCCTTGGTGGGCGGTGTTTGGTGCATCGCTCATCACGATGCGAACGTTTTGAATGCTCGTAGCCTGGTCATACGCATTAGAATTGATTGTATGATTGTGGGAACATTCATGAAGCACATACTTGAGCGGTTGGCCAGTGGATTCCAGTTGGACCAGAGCCTTGGTCGTTAACAGGCGGGACATCGGTAAGATCAATGATGAAATTGGCAACCTGTCGGTAAAAGATGTTGGTTGGGCCCCAGATATGGTTCTGCAAGTTTCACATTAGCTTCTGACAAAAATTCATGGACATGTCTGCCAAAGTCAGAGAAACACACCTTGTCACCATCAATAACGCCCAGGCCAACGCCGCCGAAATTCGGGCTGGCTTTGAGAGTTGGCAAGTTGACGGCATCACCAATCATCATGGTAAAGTAATAGTCGATGATTGGAGATGACACCACGTACGTGCCCGGTGGGAAATACACAATGGCGGGAGTGACGGTGCTGGACGAGCAATTGTCTGGTCCGCAGCGACCACCCGAGGTCATGGCAAGGTTGATGGCAGCAGTATCATCAGTAACGCCATCACCTGAGCTAGATGGTCAATGAATTGTTTGCATGAAGATAGTTGAGAAGATTCGCACCTTTGGCACCGTAATCCATCACATTGCGAAAGACCTTGTAGTCAGAATCCGCAAAGGGCGCGACGCCTTGATGCTTAATCTTATCGAGCCAGTATTGTGTGGGTGGTGGCGGCGTTGGCTTCTTGCCAGGCAACTTGGAATGCAGGCCATTGTCTGCCTTGAAGTCGAACCAAGCGGCAAACTCTTGCTGAATGTTGTCAACAAAGGTTTCGATCTGGGGAACGAGGCGACCAGAGCCAAAGCCTGCCTGGGAAAGATGAGGCAACGCCAGAATTGGTAGCAGGACTCCGCGGTTGAGGGCCTTCATGATGAAGGACAGAGACGCTGAGGAGGGGGGAGAGGAGGAGGAGGAGGAGGGGAGGTTGAGAACCAAAGTCAACTGCCCAGGAACAAAGGGTTTGAAGACGGGAGGAAGCGAGGTTCATATAACTAACTGCTCGTCGAAGCTAGTGTGATTGCAGCTCCATTAGCGACATGGGTGCGGGATCGACCCAATTGATTGGGATAATTTGTCCATTGTGGCATTGGCCTTCTTCTTTCACATTCTCTCTCTGTTCCTGTTTCTGTACGGTATTCCGGCATCCCTGTTTCCCCGTCTCAGCTCCTGTCATCCGATGATGCCACGATGGAGCACAACTCCCAGAGCGTGAGCCGGGGACGGTGATGATGATGCCTGTCTGGACCAGAGCCCTAGCCCTGAATAGGCCTAGACACAACACTGACAACCCCAGTTATAGGCGGTAAGCTTTGCGGGGAAGGATCAAGAATACGCTGTAAATCTTCGGTACGGTCCCCGGACTTGGATGGATGGGGCTCATTTACCGAACACTCCATCGGACTGTTTTCCATGGGCTGAAGCTGCGCCCGCGAATGAGGACAGCTGGGGAACACTAAAGCCGCCAATAGGCCCGTGAATTCGCCGGTGGCGGCTGGCAAATGATGCGAAAGGTTTTGTTTTGCTGCAGTGAAGCTCGATGACCAACCACCAAAGTGGCAAGGCGGCCCGGGGAGAATAGGCCTTAACGCTGGCCTCCCCCATGGTCATGTCAGTTCATAAGCAGTCAGCCTCAGTAACCCATCCGTGCCTGTACGTCTGCATAGGGGCTATCGTTCTACAGTCGGCCCGAGGAGGGTTGGGACGATGAGGCTAGAATTCGGACATGCTGGAGACTATCGTTTTTGTTTTGCTTCGGCTGATGAAGCTTTTCCCCAGATGTCGTAGGACAGCAGCCAGAAGACTTATCGACGGCGTTTTTTCTGATGGGACGATTGGAGCAAGAGGGGAAAATAGAAAGGACGAAAAAGAACAAAGAACAGTTTGGACATGGCTGGCAAATGCCTCGCCTCATCTCACCTTCTCGAACAAGCGCTATACAGGAGTTCCCAATGGCATTGGGTCCAATATCAATGATGCCTTTTGCAAGTTCCAGAGCACTGGCAGCTGTCCAAGGCTGTTTCACATCTCGATCTCCCAGTCATCGCCAAGGCCAGTCGCAAGTCTTAAGCCTATTGCTACTGTTATCCCCAGCGGCTCGATTGTTGATCCGGCTCGTGCCAGACGAATGTCACCAGAAATAGCGGGGGGCTTCAGGGGTAACGCGATCTAACTCTGGATTTTCTCTAGCGCTGGGAGCTATTGACAGGCACGAAAAGTAAACAATCGGGCCATCGAACTGATGACGGTTTGGACATTTGACGTGATTGGCTGGGCAGAGCTCTTGGAGAAACGCGTGCGAATGTGCTGAGATGAAGACAGAACGGATTCTGGCTAAAGAGCGTCACGGAGCAGCCAAGTTGAAATTGTGTTGAATTAGTCGCAGTGCATGAGTTTGCAACTACCAATGCTGTGTGATGGCGTTCTTCTTGGCCGCCACATTGCAAACCCAATGTGAGTGCGAATAAAAAGGAAGGCGGATGGGTTCTCCAAGCAGGCCCGCAGTATGGCATTTGGTGGAAATGGCATATAGAATAACCAGACCCGTGTACGCATTGTCTTTTACCGACTCTGCAATACAGCCGACGAGGCAGCAGACTAACATCTCCTGGGCACTCTTTGGTGTGTAGTAACTATGGCGGTATGCGGCGTCGGACGTGTGGAGTGGCATCGTCATCGTATGCGGCAAGGTCTAGTGCAGTGCTAGTTTGTTAGTGCTGCGATATTGCTGGATTGCAGGCGCTGATTGACTGACTTTTTGAAGACTTGCATGTCGGCGACTGTGATGATGGAGGAGATGAAGGAGATGAAGGAGTTTGAGGAAATTTTGGCAAAGGCAAGGCCTGCTATTGCCTGAGGCTGCTGGAAAAGATACAGCAGAGTGTACAAATAGACGAGCAATACGCGAGCTCGCTTGAGCCTCAAGCGAGAAGGGCGTATCCCACAAGAAAACACATTGGAAAGTACATCTAGACTTACTAACCGATTGCCCCCATGGTAGGGTAAAGCCAAGAGCACTGAAAGCCAACAAATGTCTTCTAAAATTGCTTCAAACTTGCTGTAGCTCATAGCTTTTAAACCTATCAGCTGTTTTGCAGGCTAATACTGGTACCAGCTGGGCAAGTCATCCAACATGCGGACCGTCCTCATCAATCTTCACTGCCAACACAGACATTGAGGTTCTGCATTCCGGGCAGACCAAAATGCCCACTGTCTAAAATGCAAGTGACTTGCACTCAATTTTTGTTTCTTTTCTCCAGTCTCAATTGGACAAGATTATTCAGCAAGTCTCTATGCTCGAGGCTCTGTCTGGCTGTTCGTCAGAGATCCTTCTTCTCAAAGGGTTTGTACCATCTGGCAGTTAGGCAACAGGAAGGTACTTGTTCACGTGGCTCAACTCGCAGCTCGACATCTCCTTCTACTTCTCTTTCCACTTGACTTCAGCACCTTTGTTCAATCATTTTGTCACACAAACGACAATCATGTTCACACAAAAAACTATTGACGCTGCCAAATCTGTTTGAACGGAACGTACAGCCTTTTTCCCCCTTGTATTCACTGGATGATGCAAATTGCTGATGAATTATCTCAAACAGGAGAAACTTTCTCGAACCTTCACTGCGCCGTCGAGCTCATTCCATCCAATGTCCGATTCCAAAGCTTCTATACACTACCCGGCAGCGCCTAGGCAGATTAAAGTTGATGGACATGTCAATTATCTGCCGCCCGTTCCAATTGAATCACCACCATCTACGTGGAAAAGCGGATATCAGAGGTCAGTACCAGTGGTAGACAGGTTGCTCATTCGGCCAGCCGTCCATTCGCAAAAATTGGATTTGTGTTGACTAGCTGCTTTTCTCTTACTTGAACCAATCAAATCCACACAATCATGCCTGCAGCCGAATGGGGCCAATCCTACGTCTCTGCCAAGACAGCAACCAACCGCGGCCCCCGACATCTCGGTCCAATAAGGCCTAGGACGAGCGTGTTTTGCATTGCCGACATCGCCATCTCATCTCTGCGATACGCTTGCAATGGAGCCGCTGGGCGTGTTTTCAAGTGCCGGCACCACCGCCGATCTGTGCCAAAAGCTTCTGTTGCTCTGCAAGGATGTTAAGAATGCGGCAGCGGAGACTGACCAGCTACGGCGGCTCCTCGCTAATTTCCAAAGAATCCTCACCAGCGTTGAAGAGATGCGCAGTAGCCCCAACAATGCAAAGCTCAAGCACACTCACCAACTCAGCGATGCCGTTCATGAAGCCCAGTCACTATTGCAAAAATTGGGTGATGATCTCTCCCCCTCTTCAGAAACGGCCCACAGAATACTGCGCAAGATCAAAGGAAGCTCAATCAGGTGGCCCTTTGAGAAAAATGACATTCTCGAGAGAATGAGTAGCCTAGAACGATGCATGCAAGTGATTAACGAAAGCCTTCAAGTTGATCAAACGTTAGTACACGGCGTCAATTCTAATCCCTTCAAGTCTTGGCGGTCAGTGCTAACTAGAATATAGCAACCTATTGCTCGACATCAATTACAGAGCTATTCTTGACAAGCTTCCTGTCGCAGGTGATGCCTATTTCGATTCCTTCGACGAAAGCAGCAAGGCAAGATGCCTTCCAGAAACTCGAGTGGACCTCCTTCAAGAAGTTTCCAATTGGGCCAAGAATTCAGACTCACATGCCGTATTTTGGCTCAATGGCATGGCAGGCACCGGCAAGTCGACCATTTCTCGAACAATTTCGGAAATTTTCGCGAATGAAAGTCGCCTCGGGGCCAGTTTCTTCTTCAAGAGGGGCGAGGCTGACAGAGGAGGACTGGCAAAGTTTTTCACAACAATGGCCGCGGATCTTGTACGCCGACAGCCAATATTTGCGCCCCGAATCAAAGAGGCGATTGAAACTGAGCCTGGCATATCCACGAAATCAGCATCAGACCAGTTCCAGAAACTAATCCTTGGCCCTCTATCTACTATTCCTAAAGGTTCTGGCCAGGAGAGCCCTATCATCGTCGTGGTCGATGCCTTGGATGAATGCGACCGAGAAAAAGACATTGAACTCCTCATTTGGCTTTTTTCTCGCTCATCACAACCAGCCTTTCCAAAGTTGAAGTTCTTCCTAACTAGCCGCCCTGAACTTCCACTCCGCCTAGGTTTCAAGAAAGTAGAGGGAACCTATAAAGACTTGATCCTTCACGAGGTACCAGCCAGTATCATTGAGAACGATATGCTGAGATTTTTTGAGTATGAGCTTTTTAATATACGAAACGACTACAATCTCTCAAGGTCGGATGATCTCAAACTTCCAGAAAGCTGGCCTGGCAGCTCCAACCTCGAGATCCTTGTCAAAATGGCTGTTCCTTTGTTCATTTTTGCTTCAACTACATGCCGCTTCATAGCTGATCTCAAGCACGGTGACCCCCGTCGTCAGCTCCAACGAGTCCTTCAGTACGAAGCAAAGGCTCCAGGATCGCGTCTTGACGCGACATATTTACCAGTCCTGGACCAACAGCTCGACGGACTGTCTAACAGTGAAAAAGCAGAAGTTGCTCAAGAATTCCGAGCTATTGTTGGCACAATCATCATCCTCGCAAACCCTCTGTCGATTACTGCATTGTCACGAATGCTTGATATATCCAAAGAGACCATTTCGAACCGCCTAGAGATGTTGCATTCTGTCTTAGACATTCCGCCTTCATTAACCATGCCGGTGCGAATGTTGCATCTTTCGTTTCGCGACTTTCTGTTGGATCCAGAAAAACGTGACAAAACCCCATTGTGGGTAGAAGAGAGACAGGCCCATGCTACAATGGCCAATCACTGCCTGCGCTTACTCGACAATCTCAAGCCAGATATGTGTAGTCTCAAATCTCCAAGCATATCAACGGTGGATATCCAACGCGAGACAATCGACCATCATTTACCTCCTGAGCTACAATACTCTTGTCTATACTGGGTGAGTCATGTAGAACATTCGGAAACGAAGCTTGTTGATGGAGGTTCAGTCAGCGAGTTTCTACTGCGCCATTTTCTCCACTGGCTAGAGGCATTGAGCCTCATGGATCGGACTCGAGAGATCATTGGATTGATTCAAGTGCTTCAAGCGCTTGTAGAGGTATGCTCCTATTTACCCTCTATAGTTTTGGGTGTGGTTCTCCAAGTACTAATAACCTTTGCAGCCAGAAGCAGGTATCAAGACATCCGACTTTCTGAATGACGCGAAACAGTTTGTGCGCACCCATGCCTCGACAATTGAGTCGTGGCCCCTCCAAACATATTCTTCGGCGCTTGTTTTTACCCCATCGGACAGCGTAGTGAGGGCCCAGTTTAAAGACAATATTCCTTCATGGATACTATTTCCGCCGCCAGTCGACCATAGCTTGAATCCGTGCACACTGCTGATAGAAGGGCGTAGCAATTATATCGAATGTATGGCCTTCTCGCATGACTCGACGTTGTTAGCTTCGGGATCCAGAGACCAGACACTGAAAGTATGGGATATTGTTACGGGCGAATGTTTGCAAGCAATGACGGGCCATACAGACTTTGTCTTGTCGGTAGACTTTTCTCATGATTCATCACGGTTGGTGTCTGCGTCGTCTGATCATACCATTCGTATTTGGCGTACCGACACGGGAGAGTGTATCAGAATACTCACCGGCCATTCCGGCATTGTGACATCTGCAATATTTTCACCTGACTCGACTTTGATAGCATCAGGAAGCGAAGACTCAACTGTCAGAATATGGAACGAAGAGACTGGGGAGTGCAAGCATGAGTTGCTGGGCCATAAAGACCCCGTGACAACTGTCGCATTTTCACGAGACTCAACACTTGTTGCATCTGCATCTCACGATGGAGTTATACGTATCTGGAGCACTAACGGTGGTACGTACGAGTCTACTATGCACCAGAAAGAGGACTATCATCCATGGCTTACGATATTCTCACCTGATTCAACGCGTTTGGCAGTCGTTTACGGCGGCGGCGTCTTGCAATACTGGAGACTCGATACGAAAATTTGTGAAAGGCGAATTCAGTTTGGAAACAGTAATCTCAAGATAACACACGCTGCAATTTCGCACGATTGGAAGTATTATCTATCCACCACCACGTTGGGGAAAACATTGCTTTGGCGAATAGATACGGAGCAATGTGTTCATGCATTCAACCCTCGTATTGGTTTCATCTCGTCGGTCGCCTTTTCGCCTGATTCGACATGTTTTGCGTCGGCTTCAGTCAGTGGTGAAATCGGTACGTGGGATGTCGTGGAGCAAGACCAAAACCAGCTGATGGCTGATCCAACCGCCATCGACACACGCCCTAATAGAATTAAATTCTCGCATGACTCATCTCTTGTTGCAACTACAAGCCTGCATGGCAGCAGGATAATGGTATGGGATGCTAGAACTGGCTGTTCTGTCCAGAAATTGAGATTTCCGGGAGATGCGTTAGATGACATGGTATTTTCGCATGACGGCTCACTTATGGCATCAGTATCGCTTGGTTCCTCTCCCAAACAACATGTGTGTATCTGGAAAATGGATACAGGTCTTGGTACGGACGTTGAGTACCACACGCCGCCATTCATGGATAGAGGGCGTTTCACATTTTCCCATGACTTGCAGTTCTTTGCTATCAGCTTTAGAGAGACGATTTCTTTGCGTGGTAGAGGCAAGAAGAGTTGGGATTACACCAATGAATATGGCCACTGGTTCTGTCAAGTTGTTTTTTGTCATGACTCCGCAGTCTTAGCAGCGGCCACAACCGGAGGTACAGTACTTTTATGGGAGACAAGAACCGGTCAACTTATTTACCAGTATTCTGTACCCGATACCGAAATCGAATGCATTGCATTCTCTCACGACTTGGGACTCATCGCTATTGCCACAAAGACATGTCGCATTCACATTATTCATCGCGATAGCGGCGAGTGTATTCGCACGATTGAAGACAGACCTGGAGATATTGACGCACTAGCATTTACATATGATGCTTCATTCATCGGTGCTAGCATGGTTGGGAGAAAAGGAACATTCATATGGCAAATCGAGACTGGCCAACTCTTACACAATATGCATCTTTGGAATATGGGTCGATATGTACAATTCAATAGCAGCACGCAACACATCCCTACAAACGGCGATGCTGACGGTCGAGAGAGCCGATTGCATGGTGTAGACGATCACTGTTGTGGCTACGGCCTTCACTCATCTGGACGATGGATCGTATGGGGTACACAGAAACTTCTCAGGTTACCCAAAAGATACGAAACACAGAAAATCGCGGTCAGTGACCGTGCAATCGTTTTGGGTTACGAGGGAGATCGAGTTATCATTATTACTACGTCGGCGAAAGAGGGACCGGATTTCGAGCATATATCCAAGATGCACGGAGGGACAGCATGAATCATCCTCTTCTGATGTGTTTGTGGACGAAGATCATGATTTCGACTTCCATTCTATATTGGCTCCTCTTGTTATCTTTACTTCATCACCAGGACATTTCTAAAGCGAGGCTTTCCTGCCAGGAGACTAGCGATCGCTTCTTGAACATTTGTCAAAGCATACTCTTCCACCATGCACCTGATGCCATGCAGCTGAGCAAACTGAATCGCCTCTTCGCTGTCAATTGCATGGCCGCTAGGCCACCCATGAACACTTCGACCTCCATTAACAAGCACAGCGGTATCGAATTCCACCCCACCAACAGGAGCCAAACAAAGCAGTTTACCACCAGGGGCAAGTCCATCGACCAGTCGGCCTATAATTTCGGCGTTTGGTGCCGTTTGAACAATAATAGAGGCGCCACCAAGTTTAGCAAGTTCAGTAGGGCCGTCGACCTTTTTCGTGTTGATGTAATGATGCACGCCGAGTTGTGTGGCAAAGGCAGCTTTGTCGTCGCCGGATGAAAGAACTACGACCTCATATCCCATCTTGCTCGCATACTGAACGGCAAGATGGCCTAAGCCACCGAGACCCTGAATAGCAACAATGGCGCCCTGTTCAACCTGCAATTTCCGGATGCCGTTGAAGACTGTGACTCCTGCACAGAGTAGAGGGGCGGCTTCTGCTAGGTTCATCTCTTTGGGAATACGGACTATGGCTTCTTGACGGAGAAGTACATACTCGGCAAAACCACCATCTTGGGTAACTCCGTTAATCGTTTGGTGTTCACACATCTGAAACCTTCCTTTTTGGCATTGTCGACAACTGCCGTCATGCCCGCCATGCCAAGGGCCTCCGACTCGCTCCCCTATAGTAAACCGATTGACATCCTGGCCCAGTTCAACGACATCTCCGATGAGTTCGTGGCCTGGAGTTCTAGGAAAGACATCTCCGAGGTGGCTCTGGGCTACTGCGATGTCTGAGAAGCACACGCCGCATGCTAACACTTTGACAAGGACTTGGCCCGGTCCTGGATGTTGAAGTTTCACGTCGTGAAGCTTGAATGGTGCGTTGGCTTGGGTAAGAATCACGGCTTTGTATGTTGTGGGGAGTGAAGCTGAAACCATTGTGACGTGAAAGAAAATTGAGCCCCGAAAGACAATGGTCTTTTTGGAGCCTTTCAGCAGCCGGATATCCAAGGAATTATGTATCCGAGCCTGAGTCACCTAGCTATTATGAGCTGTTCCTTTGCTGGAGATATGCGTGGCAGAATCCGCGTCGACATCCACGTCTCTTCACTGGCGACACAGATTGGTGCCTCAAACGGGTAATTCCCACATGACACCGAATTGGTTTATTAAGCTTGAGGGCGAAAAACTGTACGTAAGTCTTATTAAAGCATATACCTCTCTTCTTGAGATTTATAAAGCTACTTACATCGTATTTAGGCATGCCAAGAGTATCCCGTGGACCCCACTCAGCGGTTGGACATTGCCTGAGAAAATTACTCGAAGAGGAAAACAGTCGGTTTTGCGCCGACCGATCGGGGTCCACATTATGACCGCCTCATGCCGTTCAAGAGGGTGGAGATTCAGGGACGAAGAGTTGGGTGGACGGACAGTATGTCCGAGGGTTTGTGGGGCCGATGGACAGTGTGAAGCCGGTTGAGCAAAAAAACTTTGTGCTTCAAGGTGCTTACCGGTTTACAGTTCTGACTCCGCAGCAAAGTCAGGGATAACTGTACAAGTGTTGGTCGAAACAACCAAACGATGAGCTATCAGACTGCAAGTGGACGAGTCCATGGCAGCCGTCTGGTTGATCTGAGGCGTCACACGACATCACTCTCAGTATGCTTAAGGGCTTCAAGAACAGACATGGAATTCTGAGGCTAAAGCCGTCAACTTGCTGGAATCTATTCGTCTACAACCATCTCTCTCAACATACAATCGCCTTGCAAAAAATCCCCCGTGTCCTCAGTTTGCTAGGTGCTTGCTCGGAAAATATCTGTACGCGATCAAAGTGATCTGGCTATCCGGATTTCGCAAATCAGCATCCTCCCAGTCCAAAAATCGCTCGAACCCAGACTTAGTAAGGACGTTTTGGCTGGCAAGGTTTTCCGCCGACGTAAACGCCGTCATGATCTCCAGCGGCTGCTCATCTCCCTCGGAAAAGCTGCGTTGATCCACTTCGATTTCAGCCTCTTCTCGGGGCAGCTTGCACCACATGTCCAGCCACCCCTTGGTAAACTCGGTCGCGTATCCCTTGCCCCAGGCGTCTTTGCGAAACATGTAGCCCATAGCAGGCCAGCCAAAGATGGATTTCAGCTGGTGGCAGCCGCCGATGCCAATCATTTCGCCGGTTTCTTTGAGGCAGATGGCAAAGTTGTAGTGTGCCCCGTCCTTTGGCGGTAGGAAAAAATCGAGCTTTGGCCGAGTTTCGTCAATATCTATGTCGGGTCTTCCCTGGGGCGTGTTGATCATGACCTCGGGCTGTGAGCGGATCACGTTCAGGCTTTCGAGGTCTTCGGCAACCAGAGCCCGGATGATTAAGCGATCAGTTGCGACTGGAGCCCGCGTAGAGTTGAGCGGCAACGGACGAACAGGCAAAGTTGTCTTGACTGTTGCCCATTTTGGCTTGGAGGGTGTTGATGACGCCATGATTTGTTTGACTATGAGATGCTTTGAAGGCGAGTTCCAGAGAAATGTTTGTCCTGTTGTCGTGTGAATCACAAATCACGAATATCTCTCATGGTTTTGGCAAAAGACCCCCAGAGCTTCCAAATGTGGCTAAAACCGCTCCTTCGCTAACTTCTATCTTAGCTCTGGTCAGGGCTAGAGCTATGAAGAACACAGTGTGTTAATCGACCACACTGTCAGCTAGTAGCCTCAGCTAGAAACCAAGAAGCAGTTTTCCGTGTTGCATGGAGATAAAGCCGAGCGGAGCCGCCATAGTTAGGCTCGATTTGCAACCAATCTGGGTTGACGCGGATGATGAATGCCAAGACGATCTTTGACCATTTCTGGTAATTTTCAAGTGCAGTTTGCATCGGATAGAACCGAGAGCTGCTGATTCACTCGAGAGATTCATTATTCAGCTGTCAATTTGCAAGATGATGAGGTTATCGTGGTCTGTTTCTGAGATGTCTCGCTGACTTTATCCGTTAATGGATTGTTTGCCAATTAGGGCAACTTTCTGGATTTGCGAAGAATTCAAGCTGACTTCAAGCATAAATAAAATCTTTGAACGGTCCAGACTGAATATTCGGATTCTCAAGATCAAAGTCATCAACCAACAACTCGAACAAGCTCTTTAAAATATGGCATCAGTAACAGGAAGCTGTAACTGCGGCTCCATCACAGTCTCATTGACTGCACCTCCTTCAAAGACGGTTGCTTGTCACTGGTATGTTATCCAATGCTCTCTCTATCGTGGATAGCCCCTGAAGCTGATATGTGTAGCCTCAACTGTCGCCGTGCCGGTGGGCGTAAGTAACAGACACAACGCCTAGCTTCACACGAATGACACTGATGCTCGATAGCATATTCCATCAACTATGTCGTCGACGAGAGCGAGGTAAAGGTGGACGATGCGCGGGGCACACTGAACGAGTATGAAGACTACAAGACTGCCTCGGGCAACTTGGGAAGAGTACGTCTAAACGCCTTGCCATACCGTTGGTTCTAAACCACATAAAAAGATGATGTTTCTGACAAAAGGCGTTGACCTAGAGGAATTTCTGCAAGGCTTGTGGAAGGTAAGGTTTCTTTTCGTTCGATATCGCCTGAAAGACACCTTGTACTGACGGTCAACATAGTCCGATTTACACGATCGATATCACCATGCCCGGAAAATTGCTCATCAAAGCGTCACTCTTTGATGATATTGTCGAAGATAGAATGGATGTGTTTTTGGATCGCAAGATCCGGTGGTCTAGTTGAGCTACCCTACCAGGTGCTGCAACAAAATAAAATAAAAGAAGAATTATTCACAAACCTAAATCAATAATTTTGCTAAGCTCTTAGGATTCAATATGCATTGAATAGAGCAAACATGATTCAGTAATCAGAATTGCGGAGCGTCAACGCCCGAGTTTTAGTGCTTCACTCATCACCTGATGGATCCAGCAATTAAGCTTTCACTGCAGCGTCCAATACAGGCCGTTAAGCTTAGTAAGCAGAGTTACCCTCTTATCCCGGCTTGACGATTCTGTGCTTACTCTCTCAACTCTTTACTCAAACTTGCCGTCTCACAACCCCGTTGAGCCAATTGAGCAACGGATGAAGCCGTGGTTGAATGAGCCCAGTTGATCACAAACATAACAATCTGTATCGCGAGAAATAATGGGTTCGGATGTCAAGCCTCAGGGATTCAACGTCATCCCATACGAAGACCCGAGAGACTTTAAACCTTTACCAGAAAACGGTAACTCTTCTCTTGTCCTAGATGTGATTCCGATGTTTCTGAAACTGAATCAAAGTCAAGCAAACAATTCTGCCATCAAAGATGACGTCTCCAAATCTTCCGCCAAGTCAAGCGGCCACAAACCGCTTGAGTTTGTCTCGGTGACACCGGCAAAGCAAAAGGGCAACAAGGCAATATCGACCGTTGTCCGCACGCAAGTCATGAAGGACTACTTTTGGAAACAAAGGAATCCCGAGAGCACCGACCAGGCAGCAAGCGAGAATCCGGCAAACCCATCTCAGTACAAGGGAAGATTTCGACTCAACTCACAGCCCAGCAGGACAAAGCCTAGAGCAAGCGTCAAGAAGGCAAAAGGTCGCGAGAGGTCCTCTAATGAAGTCGCCAGAGCGCAAAAGGGAAGGATTCTAGTGCCGAGGGGTCCGATATCCGATCCTAGCATTTACGATCCGGATGGGTTCTTTGCGAGTACGCCTGCGGGGTTGTTGGGCGGGAGTTTGGATCCTTTTGACTCGTTTTCTCTCAAGTTGAAGCCAGAGAGTTTGAAGCTGATTTACTATTGTGAGTCGGACGAAAAAGCCGAGTTGCTGGGCGTCGGTTGCTTGGATGAGGATCTCGCTGACCTTGGCATCGCCAGATAAACAAAGCTATTCCAAGGACTTTCTCGATCTCAACGTAGGAGGCGGCTACTGCTTATTCGATGCTCGGGAACACCGGGCTCTGTTCCATTCAATTCTGTATCTGGTTGCTCTCGATTTTAATCTCAGACGCGGCTTCTCCGATGCCTTTGGATGTCTCTATCATTCATCTGAGGCATTTCGGCTGATCAACGAACGGATCCAGAGCGCCAACTTTGAAGATGCGACAATAGCAGCGGTTGCATTGATAGGGGCCAAAGAAGTACGTTCTTGCCGTCTCTTTATAATCAGTATCGTAATGCTAATTTTATGGCGCGCAGAATCTCGCTGGCATGTTTGACGTTTCGTACATGCACATGCAGGGCCTGAAGTTTATGATTCAGAAAAGAGGCGGAATCCAGAATATCAAGGGCCTTCATCGCGGAGTAGTTATATGGTAAGATCCTGGTTCCCTGAGAATGTCCTCGAGATTATTCTTGGTCAAACTGACGATACTTGACTACCAGGGCTGATTTCTGTAACTCGAGCGTTTGGAATTGCCCGCCGCAGTTTCCGCATACCTCACTTTCTTCGAATCAAGATATCGAGTTCCCATCCGAAACATTATCATCGACAGACGACGTCTCACAAGACAATCTCGATGTTGAATCGCAAATTGTCTCCCTCGTACAGTCTCTTCGCAAAATATCCGCTGCAAAAGACGTACAAGGCCACAAAAAGACGGAAGCAAGCCATGTATACGACACCGAGTACAGGCTCCATCTTATCAAAGCCAGTATTGCCGATCGCGGAGCTAGCAGTAGTGAATTGGTTCCCCTATGCGTTGCTTTGAACATATACCTCTACCTGGCTATTCGAGAGCTTCCTGCAAGAGCTCAGATGATTCAGCGCCTGATTGATCGGTTACAAGCTACCTTCAATCTGCAGCTCATAGAGAAGCCGCCTTCAAATACACATAAACAAAGCTGGATATTGTGGATGTTATTCATCGGATACGCGGCTGCCCTTGAAAACAAACGACAAGAGTGGCTTGCGCAAAGTCTGAAGTCGCTGTACACCAAGTCCAGCTTTCGGGACATGGACCAGCTTCAAGAAACACTCAAGAGCGTCTTGTGGCAGGATAGCTGGAGTGAGTATTACTTTAAAAAGCTCAGAGAAGAAATCGCTTGAGGGAGAGGGTGAGGAGAGACATGGGTGGGTACAAATCGCCATCATTTTGAACAACAAAACTCCTAGACATTAATTTGTACAGCCTTGGGTATAGCGCACTGTCATTTCGTCGTTACATTCATTCCATCATTCCCACAATGAACATATCTTCATTGCGTCTTTTTTGTTCTTGTGACATCCATCCAGATTTGTGATTGGGCAAAGACGCCGTGGTTGAATATCTTGTAAGGCTTATCCGGATCGCACAGCGTAAAGTCGAATCGCCGGATGAGCTATGCGACACAAACACACAGTTAGCGGTCAACTTGCGCAACGCGACACGAAACCTTACCTCGACAAACACTTTGTTCAACTCAATCAGGGCAATGGATTTACCCAAACAAAGCCAGCGACCATAACTGAAGATGAGATCCAGAGTGCTCTCCATTTCCTTCAGTTTGTCTGAAGAAATGTTGAGCCATCTCTCTGGTCGGAACTTCAGCGCATCTTCACCCCAGACATCTTGTCGCCGAGTAATCGCCCAGATGCTGTAACCCACTCTTGTCCCTCCTGGAATAAAGACGCCGTTCCAGGTATCACCTTGTGGTGGAACCTCCTTCGACATGAGACCCGCGATTGGCGGGAAAATGCGGAAACCCTCTTTAATCACCGCCTGGAGGTATGGCAACACTTTGGCCTCGCTGTCGGTGATGACATCGCCTGCAATGTTGGCAGAGGCGATTTCTTGCCGAAGTTTACGGAGGATTTCGGGGTTTGCGCATAGCTCCAACATCGTGGACCTGATGGCTGATGCGGTTGTGTCAGATCCGGCAGCGCTGGATTACTCAGTAAATCAGAATGAGTCAAGCTTGAGGGGGGGGTAATGAAATGGCTTACATTTGCAGCAGGATTTCGGACTCGGATTCGGTTTGAGTGAGGCCGTGTCGGATGAAGGACCCGAGCATGTCCCGCTCGGCCTTGACATCTGGCTTGAAACGTTCTGCCGCTACATCTCTTGCGATGCTTGACAAATAAAATGCGGAGTCAACATCCACGGTCTTACTCGTGTGGGACAAACCGGTGCCAGGGGGTTGAGGACAGTCTACTCACCTCATTATCCTACCAAAAGCAAGTTTGTCTTTCGCCGATGGGAGCAACCCTTTAAGAATGGGAGAATTCAACAGCCTAAGCAGCCAGGGGAACACAGTAACCACCATAACCATGGGGAGGTTCTTCTCGGTTGTCTCAATGTACTCGTATACATCAGTGTCTGTCTCCACAAAGCCAAAGGGCGCTCCGTATGCAATATCAGAGATACAATCCAAGGTGAAATACTGGACTTTGCGGCCAAGGTCGACGGGTGCCTTCTTGTCAGCGTATCTGCCTAGCAGGCCCATGAATGCCCGGACATTGTTGTCCATTTTCGATTCGATGTTGTCAACGTCGCGGCCAGCATACTAAGGCTCTCGAGCGTCAGCTTCTTTCCAAAACTCCCTAGTAGAAGATATCATGATACATACACCAGCGGCCATTTTGGATCGCAGAGCGGAGTGTGCGGCCTCATCTCGTGTGGACAAACAGTTGTTTGAGGTGGGGTTGAAGCGCATGCCGTCATACCAGCTGGACCGTCGATATTCTGTTTTAACATTGCACATGTGCTTGACAAAGACGGGATCATCGGTGACGAGGTCGTTGAGTCCGACTCGAGCGATTGTTCCTGTAAAATGGCAAAGTGTGGTTAGTTGTGTTTCATCAAGCCAGTGCATGCGGCATAGTGCAGTTGGACGCTGTGGGCGTCGGCTGCTAGCTGCGGCCAGCTACTAACCGTATTTCTGTGTCACTTCCCAGAAGTCGAGGTATGACCTGCCGCTATCGACAGACCTAAAGAGCCACAAGTTTGAGATCTTGGCTAGCAACGGCCCGTCGAAATGGCGAAGTCGATAGTATTGCCATGTTGAGGACGACACAAACCACGCAACTATTACCACCGAAGCGAAAAGAGCGACGCTAACCGGAGAGATGACGCTGAAGAAAGAGCCGACACGGTCGACATAAGACCAAACACGATGGGCCAGTTGCGCCGTGTGGCTCAGCATCGCGAATAAGGCGTGAAATGCAACTTCAGGAGGTATCTCATGATAAATCAGGAAAAAGAAGGCTCAAGCGAAAAACGTCGACGAGTGTGTGCAAATATTTTCATCCTTGCTGCGATTCTCAGCCTTGGCCGCTCATAAACATGGTTCTTGGGGGCCATCCCACATGCAGCCCTTGCCAAGGATGACGATAGCAGTACTCGGTATATAAATGGACAACTCAAGAACCAATAGGCTCGTAAACAAGCACTTTGACCGTCAAAGTATCACATGTCTCCACCGGCCAGGCTCATTTCAGCCAATGCCCGACAGATCCGGACTCGAGACGTAACCCAACTCTGGCCAAGAGGGTGTCGCAATATAGCCAGGGAAGAAGATCTCGCATTACGTGACCCCCTTTGACCAAAAGACAAATGCGGTTCCGTAGTGGATGCGAGTCAGGAACCCGCTGTTGAGTTGAATCGCTTGCTTTTACGCGGATTTCGACGGCTAACGTCAGCAGACCATTCCGGTTCAGTAATCCAGATAGCAGGCGAAGACATATTAGTTTGTCTCCATGAAGTTTGCTAATGAAAACCACGGACTCGCGGAGTTGAGTCAGGCGACAACCCGTTACTCTCCCAAGTAACATCTTAGCGACAGGCGGGGCAAAGCAGCTGCAAGACGAAATAGGGCTGTGCTTTTTAGCTCTTGGGCAATGCAAGAATATGCTAGAATACCCAGGATTGACTGCTCAATCGACTGCTCATATGCAAATAGAAGCCTGTCACTTTAGCTAAGTGGTGCTAGTAAGCGCCAATTGCGCCTGGTCCGCGAAAATTGGCGCTATCCGTCCCGCAAGGCTAGGATGCTCAAAAGCCTCCGGATTGTCTAGGAGGCCTCGGCAGGCTTGGTTAGCCAAGACCAAGGCACCTCGGCCCTGAGACCGGTAATTCGGGATGGATTGATTTCAAGCACTTGCCTTTCTTAGCTTGGGATCTGAGCTCACGAACGGTTTGGAAGCTCTGACGAACAGGTAGACTTGCTTCCCGGGCAGGGGGTGGCACTAGGGCGAACCACAATGCATGAAGACCAATACAGCATTTGTAAGCCCCCCAAACTGGTGGCCTGTTTCCTCTGCTTGGGTTCTGATTAGTTGCAGAATTGTGAGAGTTCCGAGTCAACTGCCTGTCTGACCAAGATGTGGCTTTGCGCACTTTAGAATATCAGTAAACGTTGATTGCTGTCATTGGCGCCAGGTGTGTCATCTTCCAAGGCTGTGATATGTTTGGAGCCCGTTACGTGATGATTCTGAAAGTATAAAGTAAGAAACAAGAGCACTCAATGTGCCATCGGTATAGACACAGCCAACGCCACAACTCCACAAACCATTGGGACAGCGCCTACCCGGACGAACCCGGACGAGGCTCAATTTGTTTCAATGTCTTGAAACAAGTCGATTGAGCCGAAAAATCACGCAGAATGCAACGTTTAACCTGTCCTCGTGTAGAGTTGGAGTGAAGATGCTTTCCAAGATTGCGACCGCTTGTAGCTACACAACCGACAAGTTATACGAGGTGTATTTATTCTGTAACATCAAGTCAGCGAATCGAGTAACTTACTTAGGGGTAAGAAGTAACAAACGAAACACTGACAGATCCATCTGATGTAAGCCTCTTGTTTGAAGAACATCTGGCTTGGCTATCCAAGGGACAATGTTGCCAGCAGCGCGATCGAGAGAGCGTGAGGTTAGTAAACTCACAGAAGATACCTGCACAAACTGAGCCATTGAGCGACGTATGTGTTGTTCCAGTGTAGGAAGATTAATTTTTCCTTTGCTGCGACGACATACTCGAGCCAGGTTTTGAGAATGGTTCTTGGGAGTTATTGTCCAAACAAACAAAGAGTATATTGCACTTGGGCACAAAAAATGTCGAACAATTGTTGCTGTCGTCAGCAGAACTTGGCCATCAGCAATTCAGTAAAGCCAGCTTTCGAGTCGTTATGATCTCTCACCATGGTTCATATATGGCCAGCCGCACATTGCGAGTGCTAGGCTCACTGTTAAGACCTTCGGATACCTAAAATCCCTGTCGAAAGAGCGTTGGTCGAGATGTATAGTGATATCTGACTGTTTCGTAATACGTTGGGTGATCATAGGTTGTGAAGAGCCAGATCTGTAACATACCTGCCGTTAGGAGCATCATGTTGCGTACAGGTACGCCGTCTGTACGGACGTGTTGTAGCCCGCGCCTCATTCAGCTGAGGTTGTAGCTGAAGCAAACCACAGTTACGTGGTACTGCGCGACAGTATTGTGCTAACCAAAGGTTAATAGCTTCTCACAACACCCATGACGGCATAGAGCGAGATAGTTGGGTTCAAATGAGAGACGGTCTAATGCAGCAGTAGCCTTCTTCTACTGGACGCTCACCAATGCAGCCGCCGGAAACTACGCGGATCGGAACCCGGAACGAACCCCTGGCTAATGCAGATTCGGCAGTCTCTATCGAAGCCGGGAAATGGTAAGATGCAGGGCAAATTAGGCTATTGCTCAAACACGGGAGTGGTGTGTCGATCCAGGGTCGCATCACAGACGCTGTGTCCTGGAGCTGCTTCACAGAGGCGACATGTAAGGTGAGACGGAAAAGAGATGCCGGCATGATTGCAGCCGAGCACCCAAGACACAAAGATCGGGCCTAAATCTCATGGGTCAAATATTTGTTCAATCTCTCCCTGCAGTGCAGGACAGAGTATAGCGTTTGATTGCTCTCTTGATGCAGTCAAAGCAGCCAGCTACCTTGATTGTTTGCTCCGAGGCCGAATGGGCTTTTCCGGGCCGCTGCTGAGAGTGTCATCCAGGATACAGCAAAACGGATAAATGTGCCACATACCCGAGTCTGATGCGAAGGCATTGACAGCATTCTCATTTCAAGTTCATGCCATATCGATTCTTCGGAACATCGCTGACAAGCTAATGCCCAGTGAGCGAAAACTGGCTGACTGATCCAAGAGGCTCGTGAGATAGAGTTGGCGGGAAAGGGTGGAGTTTCGTCGTACACCCGAGTGGGAAATAAAATGTCAGCAATCGTAGTCCGATTTGGGCATACGATCAATTGATATAAATGACACTGAAAACGCAAGTTGGGAGACGACATCAATCCAGTAGCATTTATTTCTGTCGCGCTTCCAGTCTTCCAGGTTCATATTGTACTCTCTTCATTGTGAAACCGAATTCGACCTGTGCTTCGTCGACCGACCGCTGTATCGTCTTATTGAGCTTTCCGAGCTCATCTGAAAGGGAACGACAACATTAGCCATCAAGAGCTGTCCGCAAGAAATATTCTACAATGCACCTGATTCTTACGGGCGCCACTGGGCTCATCGGCTCGAGTGTTCTCGATGCCATGCTCAAAATGACCGAGGTGACGAAAATCTCGATTCTCAGCCGCAGACCTGTCGCGATGGCTGAAGACGCCAAAGACCCACGGGTCAATGTCATCATTCACAAAGACTTTTCGAAATACGATTCAGAAGTGCTAAGCAAGCTTCAAGGCGCCACCGGTGCAGTTTGGGCCCTGGGAGTTAGTCAAACCAAGGTCTCGAAAGAGTGTGTTGGCCGCATTACTTAGTTCATGTCAGAAGCTGGAACTAACTGACCCCGTCGCACAGGGAATTCATCAAGATCACAAAAGACTATCCTCTTGCAAGTGCCGAAGCGTTCTCCACGCTTCCACCAAACAATGACCCATTCCGGTTCATTTTTGTATCCGGCCAAGGCTCAACGCAGACGCCAGGTCGATTCACAAGTCTGTACGGCAAAACAAAGGGCGAGGCTGAACTTGCCTTGTCTCAGATGCGCATCACCAATCCTCGTCTGTTGGCAGATGCCGTGGGCCCTGGCTTTGTCGATGGAAAAGATCATGCAGCAATTCGGCCATACCTTCCGAACCAGGGTCTCTTTATCGACGGCACCAAGATGTTGTTGAGAAAGCCGATTGAAGTGGGCGCCAAGTGGCTGCATTGCCCGAGCGAGCCAATGGGACGGTTTCTGGTTGGAATGGCATTGGGAGAATATGAAGCTCAGCTGCGAAGTGGAAACGTTGACATGGTAACGCTGAATGGAGGTCTGAGGATCATCAAGAACGTTGCGATGAAGCAGCTGGTTGGCCTCGAGGATGCGTGAGGGAGAGTGACTTTGAGAGGCAGGAGACGAAAAGTCTCACCTTTTGGTCACAAGATTGTCTGTTTCTGGGAATATGGTTAGCAGCGTGCAAATCTTGGCGTTGAGGGAGTTGGATTGGAGCATGACTTTGACAAACCGTAGATGGATGTGTAAGACAGACAAAGAGACGGGAAGAGCGAGTTCTTCGGCTCATGTTGGACATGCGATTGTTTCTGCGCTGTATGGCATTCTAATAGATGAGGGGAAAAGATGAATAGGAAAAGAAAAGACAAAATCTGGAAACAAATGCGTGCTTGCCAATGTTGTGCGTTCTGCCTCAGGTATAATCTTCGTTTACAGCTGTTAAGCGAATTGTTTTGGGTAGGCGCGTTAGTCAGCATCGTGAACCAAGGCAAGAGCTTCAATTGCCCGTCGATGCTCATCTTACGAGCATAAGGTCGATGACATGCAAATACATGAATTGATGAGTGCATCTCATATTTTTGCACTCATTAATAAAAAATAAAAATAAAAACCCCATCTCATTCACGCAGCGCTTGGATCATGTCATCATTGAAGCTGAGGCTATCTGAGAGTGTACATGGCTTCGGAACGAACTGACGAGTGAGATGCATGAGGCAATCACTGTGAAGCTTAGTGAAGAACATTTCTTTGCATATTACTCAGTTTCTACACTACATCAGGAATAATGTCTTGAATCCATCATTTTCATTACTTATTCATGATCGTGAGATTCAACTCAGTGTTGCAACGCCGCTACGTTTTTCCGTGGCCGGAATCGGTGATACTGACATGCGACATTCTGACGTCAAATTTCCAGGCATCCAAGGTCTAACCCGGTCATATCCGCATCATCACAAGCGGCCAAGAACTCAATTACCAATTTACATGCAAGCCGTGAATTTTATGTAACCAGCAATGTTTCATCCAAATAGGAAGATGATCGAAAAACATTGAGGCTGTATCAATATTAATTGCGATGCTCCAATTGGTGTTGTATTTCTTCAGATGCATTATCAACCACTGATAACAAACCTCGGCTGCTTTCGTAGCGGACATCAGGGTGCCCGACGCACTACGAATCCCGTTGGGCCCTGTAATACAGAACGTTTGCGGGCAATTGGCCACCCTGCAGCCCCTGTAACTCATGCGCTGTAAGGTTTGGAGCAAAAGCTCCACAGCCCGCGTCATCGATGATGCGACGATAATTCCAGGAAACCTAATGTTTATTATAAGAAAGACAAGGCCTCGCCTCATTTTTGTCATGAAATTATCCGATTCTATCTCCTCTATCAGTACCTTATACGAACAGCCTCAACTTTGATTATTTTTTTGCTATACTTTACAATTACTACTCCCACGCCATGTATATCCAAAAACTTACCGCCGCCGGCCTTGCTCTCGCAAGCATCGCATCATGTACGGCAAATCCCCGTCATCTTCCCCAATTCTCTTTCTCAACAAAAACACAAACTCTATGAAATTTACCCCTATCTAACGCATTACTTTTAGCTGGCGATACCGTCTCCAAAGGCCACGTACTTGACTTCGCAGTAGAAAAGTGCATCGACAGCGACGGAAACATTCGCTGCACCAAGCCCTTCCCCGTCAAGGAAGGTTCATGCTACCGGTTCGAGTGGTCGACGAACGGGGCGCTTGCCCACACGACAGTCGAGGTTAAAGACGCCGGGAGTGGCGAGATTGTGTACTACCGCGATACCAACGGCGAGTGGAAGCCTAAGAAGAACGAGATTGTGTATCTTGATTTCAAGCCCAAGATTTGGGGGCAGGGCAACGAGACTGTGGAATATGAGGTCAAGAAGTGCGATAAGGATGATGAGCTGTAATCGAGTCATCTTGGACGATTGAAATATCTTTTAATAATAATAATCTGCTGTATCAGCATTGAATCTCGAATACGCACATTACTAGCCCGTTTATGCGCAGATGAAGCCGCGCCCAGTGATGAACGTGATGCTGCCTGTACATATTGTGGTATATCAAAGATCTATCCAAAGAGGCTCAATACACACACCACATCATACCTAATAAAACACCACAGACTGAGATCATCACCATGTTCAAGGCTCTACGCCATTCGTTTCAAATTAAATCTTCATTTGCGGGTCGTTTTGTCCTTTTTGTTGGGAGCAATTCACTCTTTGTCCACAATCGTATTCTCTTTCATCAATATATTTTTATCTACCTGTTAGTAACGGGGCCAGCATCTACAGTACATTAACTCTCATCATTGTCTATTGAGTTCATAATGGATTGGTTATAGATGGGTACCTCTCTGAGGTGAAACCGCCACGTCCCACTAAAGAAATACGAAACATCACGAGTACCCCAAAGTAAAGTTTAAAATACTCCCATCGATAAGGGCCATTTCCACCATCACATTAGCATTCTGATCCCCTTTGCTCCGATTATGTCATCCCTCGCTCCATAGGGCTAAGATTCAACGAGATCCGAGATCCGAGACGCCGCCATTAGCGGATCGAGCTGACTAGGGTCCACCAACATTTCACTTTAAATGAACTCTCAAGTCACTATTTTATGTACTACGCGACGATGCTTTTCAAAACACCATTTATGTATTCCGTTCTCATACGTGTCCCTATCCTCGTAACCAAAAGTCTTAATCAGTACCCTACTCTTGTAAGAAGTCTGTGTACCTCGATGGTATAAGCCGCCCTCCCCTCTCCTCCATTACCATTACCACCATCTCGGTCACCATGTAGAACGGAATATCCCAATCAATGCTTTCACTCGTTATACCTAAGCACGGAATGGGAGTGAACGCTCATTCTAGGCGCCACCAATCCCGCTGCTCCTGCAATACCTGGTTAATAAAGTAGCGCGGCAAACGTAGTCTCTCTCCCCTCTGTCTCAGAATATAATCAGAGGCCGCAATGTAGCTAGAGACAAAAGCGTCCCACGTCCGCTTCTGAATCGACAATCTCTGATTCGGTCTTGGAATGTAGGGGCTCTGCTTCACAGCGTCCACAGCCAACTGCACGCCGTCTTCATTCATTTCTATTGTCCGGGCTTTCTCAAAGTGACCGACTCGGAGTATGGTGTAACCTTGAGGGAGAGATTCGAGCGACGGGCCGGGCTCAGAACCAGCTTGTGAGCGTTGACTCTTAACGCTCTTCCATGAGCTGAATAGGAAAAATTGTACTCCACGGGCATCGATACAGGCGACCCAATGCAAAAGCGCCAGAGCAACGGCCACTCTACGGGCCAACGACTCAACGTCCAGCTGTAGCTCTATCATTTGGTTGAAATACATCTTGTCGTTGTGATATGAGAAGCACTTGGCGTCGCCTCTGCCCATCATCGAACTGAAATAGAGATGCACTGAGCAGTATCTGTAGGTATCGGCTCTGCGGTCCTTAATATGGGGCACATAGTTACCCACGATGTACTGATCCAAATCCAAAATCGGCACATTTGGAACTGATAGTGGAAGTGGCGGAATTCCCTCGGTGCCATCGTCTTTTGCTGGAAGATAGCATATTGTCTCAATTCTGTACTCCCACGATGGAAGCCCGCCGAAAGGAATTGCCTCATTTGTGCTGACGTAGGGATATCGTGCGACTTCGACGGCAGTAAATTTCCATCCCTGAAAGACTTCAAATATGTGCTGATACATTTCTTTGAAAACCGGTGCTTTTTCCATTCCCCGTGGTATGGGCGGCTGGTGCGGGCTCGGAAACGGAAAGGATGGCCTGCCAAAGCCAGTGGCATTTCTTGGATGAAGCCGTATGGGAAGATTGAAAGTGGGCACTTGATAATACCACCAGCCTCCTACTCCTGGGAAAGCACGCTCATAGTGGAATCGCTTATTAGAATAGGCTAGTTTACATTCTTCACATAGAATGAATGCCTTTCCAAACGGAAAATTTGGCGGGGGAACGCTGTCTGGGAGCATAGGCGACGTTGAATGACCTGGGCTCCCGCTCGGAGTGTTTGGACTCTCACTCGGAGTGCTTGAACTGTCACTCAAAGTGCTTGAACTGTCACTCGGAGTGCTTGAACTGTCACTCGTAGTAGATGCCTCGGAAGTGGTTGCCCAACTATTTCGTCTCGGCCACATGGAGGTGTCGGCTTGCATCATGCTGTCCGGGGTAACGGATGAAGGAGGCTCGGAATCGACGCTTGAACTATGAGGGCTACAGCAAAATGCGCAGACGATTGGAGGACACCGTGGCATGGGATTTTTTCCCTTGTCCTTCTTTTTTCCCTTGTTCTTCTTTTTCCCCTTGTTCTTCTTTTTTCCCTTGTCCTGCTTCTTCACAGTTGGGCTCTTCGGTATTTTGTCTTGATAAAATGACGAGACCTGAAGCCATTCTGGGAAATGCTCCACATCCCAAGGACTGTCATGCGTTTCGGCTTCGTCATGGTCACCAGGGCGACAGAGGGCCTGGAGGTAACTTAGCTTGATGCCATGAGGATTCATATCGAAGTGGTGTGCGACTAGGGGTGTCCATGTTAGCATGAGTACCTTGAGGGGTGAGGTTTAACCTATACATCTTGATGTCTTAACTATGATGGCTAAGGAATAAGAGGACACGAGCTGAAGGCAGAGTATAAGTTGAGAGCTGAATGCAGTTGAAGAGTTGGATGAAAGTCAGATGAGAAGATGCAAGCCGATGCAGGGGGGGAGGCTGCCTATTTATAAGCGAACGGCGATGGCACTACTCGGTCGAGCACGAACTGAACAGAGATCAGCAGCTGTGGTGCTTAAGCCAGCCCGTCATACCCCTCTCATCTAGACTCGGGAAATTTGTTGAGTTCGGCGTCTGAGAGCTGGTTGAGCACTTCTATTTTCCACTGTGAGGGCGAGAACCTTGTTCCGCGAAGCAGATGGACCATGAGGCTTTTAGAGTTTTATGCAAGTACAGGCGATATACTTCACTGCTCTCCTTGGATAGCGCACCAAGCACACTATCAAAGGCGTCAGAGAAAGGTGGCCTGGTATTCATTTGTCCAGCTGTCTGTAAGTTGCGGTTCATCCCCATAGCTTTTTTATGTCTCTAATGTTGACCCATTTCAGTTTGCATGACTGCTTCTATGGCGCCCATCAGATAGCTGTCGACGCGTGCGGTCGTAAAGTAACATGTATAGTCGAGCCATCATCCAACATATCGCCAGGAATCTGTCGACACCAGGCGATGTGCTGTAACTGGCACATCGCCGGGCCCCTGATGGCAGATGTTCTGGTACTGGAGAGGGGGTCGACTCATCAGACCGTATCAGAAGTTACTATGTCCGTGGCGGCTCCGGCAAAGTCCCTGGTGGCGGGCTTACCCCATGCTCTAGACGAGCTTTGCCGAGAGATACGCCCATCGATACGCCATCTCTGGGCCGATATTGAGTTTCAACAAGTCTCGGTGTTCAGCTAGATAAAAATAATGAACCGGGAGCTGCATCAAAGCGCTCGACGTCATGGGGCTATGTTGATATTCGGACAGCTTTTGGCCGTATGCTGGGACGTATATACACGAGGATGAGCAGCTTTATACCAAAGACGTGACGAATATATGACTGCAACTATAGTCAGCCTCTATATTCCGTCAGAATGGCCTGAAGATCGGCGTGCCAGGTAAATTGTTGTCCGCGTACCTACCTATGCCACGTCCATTGAATTATACAGTTCGACTTGCGTCGATATAAGGGCATCTACTTTCACGTTGTTTTTGGAGGCTCACTAAAATGAACACAGCTGACGCCTGTTGACATGTGGGGATTTAATACCAAGAGAGGCAAAAGACTAAAGCCTATCTTGCTAGAGGGAGTGCCATTGGACTGCCTCCCTCGGAAAATGGGACCCAGACCCAGTTTCTCTACGCAATAGTAGATCGAGTGGCGTCTAAAAGGGGGAATGCCCAACCATCAAGAGGGTGCCATCCGGTTGGCCAGAGACGGGGCGCGCTGAGTGTATCGAATCTGTTTGTTGCTCTTGATTCAAGAGTCCATCCATCAGCTCTTGAGCATGGAACTTGCCGATCAAAGGTTGAGAATGCAAGCACCTAGTCAACTATCGTGCATATCGGACAAGGACGAGGCTGTGGACTGTGTGACGTATTTTGGGTGGAGCTGACGCAAGGATATGACGATTAGTTGAGGTACTTTTTGCTTGTGTTTGGCCCTCCAATGAGAGGGGTAAGAAGGGGGGTGAACGGGGGTGAACGGGGGGAGTGCAAAGGGCAGCAATGAAGCATCCATCACCAGTCCGGGGGCGGGCGCAATGCGACAGAAGTGCAGAGAAGAGGCCGGAGCGGAAACTGACCAGTAGGCGCTTGTTGGAGAGGCTGTTGGAGGGTGGAACTCTCGGCCAGACTAATCAGAGGTTATTTATTTTGTTTCAACGTCTCAGGTAGATCACCACCGCATTGGTCCGATCGTGATCCGATCTTTGGGGGCGTAGACGAAGGTGGCGTGTTCGCCTTACCTCTGCCCTACGGGGAACAACCTTGTTCGGCGTGATGATTCCATCGTCGGCAGCAGAGGAGGCTCAGACAGTTGAGATAAGCCGCCGTCGCTAGAATCCGAGAAGTTGGCGGACGAAGTGTTGAGACGACGACAAAGGGGTGGCCTAGATGATGCTGGGCAGAGGTTTACGTGAGGAGAAGAGAGATGGTGCGAAGGCGGTCACGGGTCAGTCACGATGTCACGAAGCACACCAAAAATTCATTCAGCTTGTCGATAAGGTCGCCGACATCCAGCATCAATACATCATCATCATATTTCAGCATTTCGAATTATTTATTAATTATTTGACATTTTGATGAAAAATAATGGTTATCATGGCCTGAAAAGCTGGTATTCATATCGGCCATAGGGCTACAATATTAAACATTTAGGGGTATAAAATAAAACACCAAATTGAATAGCGCGATATGGATCATAAATATACCCCATATTCATTTATGTATTTCCAAATACTTCCAAAATATTTTCTACAGAAACGTCTTGCTATTCTATCTGGAAAATTATTTGTTGATACTTTAGGCACTATCATGTTTGGTAGCGCAAGGCTACCACCTGCCCGGCAGAATTTCAGTCCTTGGGCGGTCTGATTCCTTCCTTTGGCAATCGCCAGACACTCTCTGTCATTGCACTCATCTTTTAAACTTTTCAATCGTCTTCATCGTTCATCGCTTCCATCTACATCAAAATATTCGCATCAATGCTCTGCCGATTTCGTCGAAATGCTCCCATCCTCATCCTCGTTGGCCACCAACCTCGTCAGCTTCGGGCATGTAATTTGGTACGAGGATCAACATTAGCCTAGTCCATCTTTCGCAGATACCAATTGCTCTGCAGCCTGTTCTAGCAATTTGACCTCAATCCCATGTTTTCATCCTCCTTGTCAACCATACTTGGGACTGTACCGCCCCTTTGTTTATCGACGAGCTCTCCGTAGCAGAGGCATCATGTGATGATCACTAAGCTGCGTTGCATAGATATCTCCACGATCATTCTACTACATGTTACCAGTCACACATTTCGACACAATGACGATTACTTTGAAACGAAACTCGACGGAAGATGATTTGCAGCAAAGGTATGGGTAACTCTTTGCAAACGCAGTATCGAGCCCATCCCGTTTGATCGTTTTACAACGCCTTCTGACTCGATTAGAGCATTCAGAATCTGTCACAAGAGCTGCAAAGAACGCAATTTCTTTCTCGAACGGTCGAATTCTCCCCTACTCGATATACGCTTCCGAATAGTACTCAGGACATCCACTGCACTGACCCAAGCCGACGGGTGCCCAGTTCAAGAAAGACCAACATAGCGCAGGTTCCACACGTGTCACGCATCATTCGATGATGACAGGACAAACTCCAAGAAGGCATTTCATCCAGCAGGTCGAGGGTGAGCTGGTGAGGGATCCTCGTTTGGAATGGGCCAACACTAATGTTCTAGCCTACCCTGTTACTCTAGGATACTAGCTATCGACGAACATCTCGATAGTTTGACATTTCCGATATCAACTATTGTCGCCATCTTTGTTGCATTCGTTACCTCCATACCACAAACAATCCCCATCATTGTCACCCTACTGTTCAATCTCGTTTGTTTCTTTACAATTCACACAAAGGCGAAATAAACGCCAGCCATCCATATGCACATCAGTGCACGCGCGACGGTAAGTGCCCTAGCCTTTTTCTTCAACGTTGAAGAGTCGTCCCTTACAAGATGCCATGCCCAACTACGGAAATCATCAACAGCAACCCATTTGATCTGCTCAACGAGGAACATGACATGTTTCCCACGACGCACAGAAATCTCAACAGCAGCACGTCGTCAAGGAAAACTAAAGGAATGCTAAACAAGCCAATCACCTCCTCGCCCACCCACACCCGACCGACCCAACGGCGGCAGGCCAACAGCGTTTCATCGACGCGTGTCACCGTTGTTCTAGCCCCCAAATTTCTCAGTGAGCCAGCCCTGTGAATGCAGGTACAGCCCTGTTCAGGCACAGCATGGGTCACCCCTGCGTGTTCACGTTGAACTGGCAGCATACCACCATTTACGCGACATTTCAGAACAAAGAGCCTCAAATCAACTCTACAGATATGACGCTGTATGAGGCATTGGTGCTTTGCCGTTTTTGAGGGGCGCATTCATGTGCAAAGCATCAACAGGACAGGGGCTTGATTCGGCGTTCGGTTGGGCTTAGAAGACCGGTATTGGCATCGGACATTTACACACGCGCCCCATTGTCGCCATGAAAAATACTATGCAATCATGACACCCCTGGACAAGCACGATCCTCCATATCCTGACAACCACCGGGCAGGGCGAACAGGGCGGACAAGGTTAACGACACCGCCTACACCTCCAGGGATTTGAACAGCCCGTGGAGGGGCGAGGGCTTGATCGCCTCGAGGTCAAAGCACAGCGGCGAACTCCAGCAATGGACTTTCCGAGACGTCAAAACACACGGACCTGTCAAAATATGCTTCTGGAGCCGCGGACCAAAGTGGATGAACCGAGACCCGGTTTGCCAATTTCGCCGGCCCCGATGATCAAAAATCCGTCGCAACAACGGCAGCACCAGTGATCTTATTAGTGATCGAAAACCTATTCACTGCGAGTACATTCGGTCACAAGTTGCGAAACAATGGCTTGATTTGTGATTCTCGAATAACAAATAACATGGTATAGTAATTACGCTTGTCTAACAATTCCCGATAGGACGGGCCGTACTCTCTCTTGCAAGAGCAAGGATGAAACACAGACAATTATTGAGGAAAAAAATCCACAGTAAAAAAAAATTCCCACGCAATGCCAAGCATTAACCAAAAAACAATTGCCAGGGGAAGATTATTCTCAAGGAAAAACAAATGCCCAGCAGAAATGAGATCTCAAGTAAAAGGGCTTTGTCAAACAGCTTTGGTTGCACATCTATAGCCGGCGAATCCGCCAGAATTTGAAGCTTTCGGGTCGCTCGAACCACGTCGGGATTAGAGCCCAGGTAACGCTCGGATTTAAAGCTATTCACACGTCAGTCCCGCGAGACGCGGATCGCCATGGGTGCAGAGTTGCTGCTCACCTCCAGTTGAGATTAGCTCTGACTACGCATTTGATGCCCTCAATGTACTTTCGGACTTGGACATCGGCCTCTTCTCCCCAGCTCGGCACACTGGCCTCTGCCCTGTCCCAGCGCCAGTAGCGGTCTTCAAGGAGTTTGCCTACCTTGTCAAATGCTTCTTGTGCCGACAGTCCATTGAGTCGACAGGCCGTGACCATGTTGTG